GTTGATGGGTTGCTGGGGCACTAACTGTGCTGATGAATGGGAGGGGGGGGGGGGGGGGGGGGGGGGGGGGGGGAGATAAGGATGATTAAGAAAATAGTAAAGACATGAGATTTGCTAAATGCGGCCTTTCGTAAAACAGTTTGCCAGCCGTATTACTATCAGCAAAACACAATCGAAGTTCACTGGGGTTGTTTATTTTTCGCATTTTTACTAGCTTGAGATCTCGTACGTTGGTTCAGCACTGCCCATTGCTGACGAGTCCAATATGAAAAGTACGAAACTTGACTCATCAACCCCATCCCGTATGCGTATATAGCTTCTATTTTCCGTCCTTGCTGACGGAGCGCCGTTGTGGAGACTTGTTGTGAATCAGAAACTTTACGTACGCATTATAGTTTTTTCGATGATGATGACGACGACGACGATGATGATGATGCTGAGATCACGGTTGTTGCCGTCGCCGCCTTCACCGCAGCCACCAGCACCAGCGGTTCAAGGAAGTTTATTCAAGGCCTGAGGCAGACACACACACACACACTCTACATGCACATCTGAGCTGAGGTCTCTGTTCCAGCAACCGCCCGAGTCACAACGCCACGCACCATACTCGCAGCGCGAACCTCACAGGCAGGTCATAGCGGCTACCTCAATCTCAGCACTACCACGGGTGCCTTACACCCACCCACAACCTTTCACCTTTCCGCCTCGCCCATGCATATACATCTGAGACACCGGTGCCGAACCTAGCCACTAAAGACTTCCTCAAAAAGGTGTCTGTGTAGAGTACGTATGTTGTATCCGTGACATCCTGTTCGCCCAACCATTGAACTCTACGCCGCATCCATGCAGCATGCCACCAGCGCCTATGTACAGTAGTATGTACGTACTTGCGTTACTATCAAATCCACACACATCACCACCACCAACAACAACAGGGCGAGATAACAAGGTTCCGACTCCCCCGTGTAGATTACGCCAAACAAGCGGAAGCAGGGAGGTGGGTTCTACGTTACCAGAGCTAGAGCCGCCCGGTTATCAAGAACTACATACTTGTTGTATTGCATATTCATAGACGCAGACGCGTTGGTTGGTTGGTTGGTTGGTTGATTGGTGGGGGGAAACAGTCGCCCTAAAGCGGTAGACTGGGCGGTTAAGGAACCCAGTCCGAGGTTACTATTTTCAGCAACTATGGAACTTTTTTTGTGTGACCCTCCCTCCTCCCCCGCAAAAAAACGCAAACCGCCACGAACGCAACGGGCTGAAAAGAAGTTATGGCGTGCAGATGCGTTATCCGTGCCGCGGGGCGGAGAAGGCGGAAACTCAAGGACCCTTGCTTGTCCACTCGACGGGTTCAACAATGCTGACGCGATGCTGTTTCGTTGTATGTACTATACATAAGGGGGAGGCAAAAAGGGTATGGACATAGTTCTACAGATGGACGGGCGTTACGCGCATGGCTGATGTTATATCGGGCGTCTATGTACAGTAGACGCGTATATGTTTTGGCATAGCATCAGCCATCTATGTACGGGGTATGTTGGTAACATCAAACACGCTTACAGGCCGGATTCATCACACTGGGACATATGCAATGCGGCTGATGGGGCGCTTTTTTTTTTCAAACCACCAAGCATGTTCCCTTCGTAAATGTTATGGGTATGGATAGCGGTCTGGCTTGCTGGCTGACGACCAAGTGACGATGCTACCATGGGTAAATGTAAACGCGACCATGTCTCTTACTCACTCTGCCCGTCCGTCCGCTCCACCCCATGTGAAGAGATGCCTGTTTCAGATTCGGGGTTGAAGACGCTGACGAAGAAAGGTGGAGCGGGTTGCGTTGGTTGCGCAATCGAAACCCGACTTGTGAGGCGGGAAGAAGAGACACATTGCCCAAGTGGCAAAATATGGAATACGGGGTGGTGGTTTCTGGTTCCGTTGGGGCCCGTTGGGCCGATGAGTGTGGAATGGTTATTCGCGGGTTAAATGGTACACATGGCCACCAGCCTCGTTGCGCTTGCTTGCTACCTGCGAGACAAAAGTTTCGTAGGGTATCCGTGTAAGGAATAACCTTGTGGCGAAAAGAAGACGATGGAGCCTGTAAAGGTGTCGTCAATGCAAAATGAGGCGAAACGTGCTACTCACAACGAGCGTCATCAGCCGCTGTGCGCGTGAGCGGCCGGCAATACGTAGTAGTTTGGGTCTTTTTGCTCTTCTTTTCTTTTCTTGGGATCGCTGGGTTGCAGGGCTGCCCTCCCCAACGGCCCGCCTAGCAGACCCTGCGCGACACACCGATTTAGACAAGAAGAGAGCGACCACGTGAGAAGCGATACACTATGGCGGGTGCACAGAGCCCCGGAATCTCGTGTTTGCCGCAAGAAAAAAGGTTCGTGCATGCGTGTTGGAGAATGAGACTGAGTGGGTGGCAAGAAAGTGAGGTTTTGGTTGATTCAAGCAAGAGTCACATGCTCGTGGGCAGAAGGTTGATCGAAAGGGGGAGGATGGTGGCGCAAAAAGGCGAGCTCACGTGCGCGGGCGGCTTGAGATGGTGCTCGATACAATTCATGGGCAGGCGGCCCAACGCTAGACAAGCTACAAGGTTGGCGCCTGTAATGGAAAATCGCTTATGGCGGCTACGGTCTCTCCATGGGAGAAAAGAGAGAAAGCAAAACGCTATGGCGGTGACGTAGAGCTATTGAACTTGGGGGGCAATATGTCGGCAAGACTCTTTGAGATTTTTATTTGCTCATGCAACAAAGGGCCGTTGGGGGGGGGGGGGAAAGAAGGTGAGAGGAAAGTTATGAACAGCGAGATGCAAATGGAAGGAGGTGTCTTGGCAATAGCTGACTTGGAAGGTACCGAAGAATACTAGAACAGAGCAAGGGGGGATGTTGGGAGGAGAAAGAACCTAGGGACCATCAGAGTACATTATGACTGCATAACTCGCCGTAAGTATAACACGGTGGTTCTCAGTGGCCCGAAAAGCGTGGTGCTGGGTGCACAGGGCAAATATCGTACACATCACCAAAGGTTGCAAGGGGAAGAAAGAAGACAATAGAACAGAGTATGGAAAGAAAAAAAGAGGGTCCGCTGGGCCCCCTAAACCATGAGCTTATTTGCTGCCAGTGAAGCAACAAATAGATTATTGCTTCCTTAGTCATTAACGACGACGATCCGGTCCAACTCCCCTAAAAGAAATGGTGCCACTATTTTGTGGCTGGTGGAAATTTGGGGCCAACACAATGGGAACAACAGCGTCAAGGTCATACTTACTATAACTTACTAGTCTGAGCGGCGCGGGTGTGCCAGCACGCCCAAAAGAAAGTTGACTATGGTCAAATAATAATTTAAAAGGGCCATTTGGAAGGAACGACCACGACGGCATATACCGGAAAAGGCCCGAAAAGGACGTGCCGCCGATCCAATCTTGAGAAGAAGAGAGGGCAGGATTTAGGTTTGGGAAAAGTTTGGTTCGGTGATTAGCTGCCGCTGACTAGGGGGATGAGGGGCACTAGGACACGTGTATGCCAATGGAGAGAAGCAACAAAGCTCACGCCCCAATGTGATCTTCGGTGCCGAGTGGAAGGGACCCTTTGTAAGCGAAAAATTTGGGAGTTCAATTTCGAGGCGCCAGCGAGTTGGGTTCCATGGAAGCATGGCCTATGCGGGCGATCTTGTGAACCATGGTGGAGAAAGGACGGGTGGCTTTCCCTAAAAGTGAGTTTTTTTGGGGGGGGCTTTCAATGATGATAATGATGGTCGGCTACGGTGAGTCCAGTGTTGGGGCTCTTGGGACGGCGGGCAAGCCATTGTATCATGAGGCCGATTACCCTGAGCATCCGCGGCCGTATCATTGGCGTGACATGCAAGTGAGCATCGTTGGGCGAAAGCCGCTGATGCGATCAGAAAAAGAAAGTCTATCTGCACACACGGGTTCCTTTCTTTGTGTGTCCAAGGACGTAGGCTGCAGAGTTGATCGGATGGTCAGGGTATAGCAGCTTTGGAGAGTGTATAGGTGTATCAGAAATATAGTGATGTGCAGGGTACTGCATCACTTGGTGGGCGGGCGGATATGATGACATTTCTTGTGACTGTTCAGCCGTGTGCGACAATCATAACTCAAGACGCGCAAGTCAGTCCGAGAGATGTCCCACTAGCGCCGATGCCATGGTATGTAAACAGTGTCAGACAGAGATGGATACAGTAAGCATGGAACGATACAACGGCCAAACCTGATGTGTCGGGACAGCTGACTGCCCATGCAAGCAGTCCTTTTGCAACGCATGAGTGTGTAGTAAAAGAAAAAGTAAAAAAACAGAACGCCCCCACGAAGTTTGGTCCAGCCATGACAGTGGCGAAACGTTAATGCCTGAATGACTAAGGGTTGATCTGACAGGTTTGCGGGCCGACTGTGAGCGGTGTTCCGTGTGGCCTGGGACGATGCAAATCTACTACTATTTTCTTGTCGAGAATACGAGGTGCAGAGCTATTGTAGTGTACACCTAGTAAATAGTTGAAGCTATACCGAGAGAACACGGCCACACTGGGTGGCGGCATTGCCGAATGCAAGGCAGGGATGAGGCTCGCCATTACACTCCGTGTGACAGGTATATTTAATCTTTTTTAGATGTTTATAATAATAGGCATGTAGTACTTGGCCAGTTATGCCATCGGTAGACATGGTAAGTGAGAGCAGTAGCTAGTATGTATATGTTTGACAAAGAGCCAAGCAAGTAGATGCAAATGGAGAATTAACAATGTTAGTTGAATAGTGCTCATGAATCGACACAGTAGTTTTGAAGCAGAATGAACATGTTTAGTTTCGCAGGTGAGCATCAAAAGGTCCACAGCATGAGATCAGCCCGTGTCAGTCATGAGGTTGAACTGTGCAAACAACTCTTTTCTTTTGCAAAAGCAACAAGACACTTTGCGCAAATCAACGAGGCAGGGCCAAACAGAGTACGGTAAGGATAGTAAGATGAGGCTGGACACGTATCTACAAGTGTATCCGGTGACCGTCTAGTTTCTACTCACATGGAGCAAGTAGATTAGCATGGTGGCTGGTCTCAGTCGACCAGTGGGCGCCACGTCGCAGAATGTACCAGCCATCAAGAACAATGCCGTGCAGACGAGAGGGTGGAGTGGATGTTTTGTTGCTCACACGGCCGCGGTTAGAGTTTGAGGAGGTTAGAAGGTTGACATGGAGGGGGCGGGCTTATTGTCCAAGGGCAGCTATCGATAAGATCAAACGTAGGTACCGGAGCTAGGCCAATGACAGCTCGCTTGACGCCATCTGGCGGTGAATATGTAACTTTGGACAAGTCGACTGAAACGCTCAAGCTTTGTGGAGAAGACATGGTAGGGAGGAGTGCATGAATGCGAATCAGACAAATGCATGGATGGCACACATGGGCTGAAGAGTAGTTTGGAGGCGGGTGAAAAGGGGGTTGTTGTTGTTGATGATGAAAGGCAGAGGCAGATGACGAGCAGATGCTGATGATGAACAGTGGTGCATTGGGGGGATGCATACGAGGCATACTACATGGCTGCAAGTGGTCGAGTGGTACTTAGCACTGTGCAAATAATGTGCTGCTGTGTGAAGAGATTGCTAGCGCAGGCAAGGCAAATTAGCACCGCGTATACGTTGTGGCTCAGCCGTCACCCGCGGCCATGCCCTTGGGAACGGCTCTAGTATGTGACGAGAGGTCCGACGATATTGTGGCCGTGGGAGCGGCGCGCGAAGGAACAATTTCGCTCATCGATGATCTCCATTGTCTCTGCTCACAGACTCACAGACTCCCGCTCTCGTAGGTTTAGCCAGCCGGGCGGCGGACCTGATTGGCATCTGTGCCCACGCACGGATGAGGACGGAAAGCAAGGAAAAAGAATTGGAAGCTGCAGGTGGTTGCACGGGTGGCTCGCTTGCAGACAAGGTTTGCAATATGGCGGATATGGCAGCTCCTGACGGTTCGTATGCAGACATGGATACGGGAGCTGCTAGAGCGTTATTAGGATTCAAGCGGGTACGAGTGGAAGGGAGTGGAAGGCAGTGGGTGTAGGAGTGGAAGCAGCCATGGAAGCAAGGCCAGCTGTACTGTTACGATTCACAGGCCCGGTGGGTGGCCGTGGATCACGACGAGTTGGCGACCGGTATTATTGCGCAATGCGCCACGACTGCGACTGGCAAGACGACGACGAATGACCGGTGTGACTGGGACAGCAATAAGGCGGCGACGGTGGTGGGCGGTGACGGGCAGTGGTCACAGGACAGGGTGGGCGACGGTGATTGGCACAAAAGTCAGAAATGATGGCGGGTGGGATTGGCTGGGGGGAACAGGGTGAAAAATTCTGGTAGACGTAGCGCCACGGCAGGAGCAGGAGCGAACGGTTCGGTTAGTCATTGACACAGAGGGCAATATGGCAGGCAGCCAATGGCGAGGGGGAGTGAGGGCAGGCGCTGGGCTGGATCGGGCAGCGGCAACAAGGGCCCAGGGAAGGCGCCTTTCACGTTGGTGGCCACGGAGCCAGAGGGCAGGAGCGAGCTAGGAGATGGTGGGCGGAGGGCGCGAGCAGCGAGCATCGAGGGAAGGAGCATAGCAGATTGAGGGACAGACCCTGTTGGTGTGGGCAGGGTGGTGAGGAAGCCACTCCACCCACTCGAAACCGAAACGCGAGGGCTCTGGCGAGAATGAGATTGGAGGCCGCAGCGGGCCTGGTTGCTCTGAAGGGCTTGTGGTGTGGTGTGGCATGGCATGGCATGGCAGGACCTGCGGGCGGCATGACAGTCAGAGATGCAGGCCACAGTGCCGCAGCGTTGCGAGATCGTCGTTTGGACGGGCGTGCATTCGTCATGGGGGGCCAGCGCAGACTATCGAACGCCGGCCGTGCACTCGCACTCGCGGCTTTTGTCGACGTCGTCAGCCTGGCCGGGCTCTGGCACATGGGCGCCGAGGGCCCAAACAGCGCTAGCACTCTTAGAGACAAGAGCCAATCTCTCAGCCTTTGGGTGCTTTGGGCCTGGGGCGCGCCGCGGTCGTTTTCGGAGGGCGAGTGGGCCCGCGTGGTGGGCCGTGACGACTATCGAGCGAGGCTTGGGACGGCGGGCATAGCGGCCATGGATAGGCGGAGGCGGCGAATCAGCGTGCACGAAGACCAGGGCGACAGGTGTCCTCGCTGCGGGCTGACGAGCAGCGCAGCGCAAGTCGACGACGGCCACGGCAGAGTGCAGGCGGGCCCCTCGAGGCTGCTGCACTTGTCGCATCGAGCCCCCGCTGCTGTGTGTCACCCTCGCCCTGCTGACGGCCCAGCTGATTCGCCCTTGGCCACAGCCGATGGCCAGCCGCCATGATTCACACCCTCCCACCCGGTAGCTGCATGACGGCCTTTGTTGGACCCCCCCCTAGTCTCCACCGCGCCCGCCTGGACTGGCCACAGACGGCCCACGCCCCTGCTGCTGCTGCGCCGGCTTGGACCACCACTGCCCCAGCCAGCTTCCAGGGTGGGCTCCACCACTCGACAGGCGCCAGTGGATCCAGACGTTAGCCTGCGTGTGCGTCTGTGTGCCACTCTGTGTGTGGGTGTGTGAGTCTGAGGGCAGCGATGAGTGTGAGCGATGGCGCATATCGCTCATGGCCGCCTGCACTTGCTCTGTCGCCCCATCCCAAGTCGTCATAGCGCCCCTCCTTCCCTATATTTACCAAAGACCGGGGCCACCCGCCTGGCCAATAGCCGCCCGCGCCCGCCCCAGCTCGCCTCTCTTTATCACTGCTGCCCAGCCGTGCCCATACACATACATCATATCCCGCCTCACACTTTACATACACACCCTCCTCCGCTACTACTTACTACCTCCTCCACAACAACAACAAACAACATTCCTCCTCCCTCTCCTACCTACCTACCTACCTACCAACCACCTCCCTTGAACTACTCATAACACCCTCTCACACCCTCTCGCACACAATCACATTCCTTCGCAAAAACCTTTCCGCTCCTGCTGCTCTTTGCCAAAAGGTTCCTGCCCAACCACCATCAATCAAGTCACGTGACTTGCCTCTTCCGGTTAACTCACCAAAACACACATATCCTTTTATAATAGCGTCTTCTTTCCCGTCGGAGCCCTCCGTCCAGGATTTCTCGTTGCCTCTTCCCCCTCCGGACAAGGCCATTCCACCGCATTTCCCGGACTCTCCGCTGACTTTGTCCTTGAGGCCTTGATTGGACCTGCGAGGACTACTTCACCTCTTCCATCCAAACCATTAACATGTACCCGACGCCCCCAGCTTCTCCCTCCCAAAATGGATTCTGCGCACCGGAAGACCGCCTAGGCCAAGTCCTGGCTGGACGCCTCCAGTTGACTGGCGTCCTTGGTGTTGGAGCCTACGGCGTCGTCTACACGGCCGTCGACATCCAGACCAACATTCCTTACGCCGTAAAGGCGCTCAACAAGGTTGGTCTTGAGCCTCGCCAAAGAAAGTTCCAGCAGCGTGAGATCCAGCTGCACCACCAGGCCAGCGCACACCCCAATGTCGTCTCGCTCGTCAAGATCATGGACGCGCCTGACTGCACCTATGTGGTGATTGAGTACTGCCCAGAAGGCGACCTCTTCTCAAACATCACTGAGCAGGGAAAATACGTTGGTAATGATGCCATGGCCAAGCGCGCCTTTCTCCAGGTTTTGGATGCCGTCGAGTACTGCCACTCCATTGGAATCTACCACCGGGACCTCAAGCCGGAAAACGTTCTCGTCACTGACCAAGGAATGACTTGCAAGCTTGCCGATTTTGGACTCGCCACCACTGACCCTGTCACATCGGACTTTGGCTGCGGCTCGACCTTTTACATGTCTCCAGGTAGGATTATCTAACTGCCAACACCCAACGAAATCACGTGCTAACTTTTTTGTTACAGAATGCCAGACATCATCACCTAAGCCTTACTCATGCTACGCATCGGCCCCCAACGATGTCTGGAGCCTTGGTGTCATGCTTGTCAACCTCACATGCGGCCGCAACCCATGGAAGCGCGCCTCATTCGACGACAGCACTTTCCGTGCCTTCATGAAGGACCCCAAGTTCCTCAAGACCATCCTTCCCGTCTCTGACGAGCTCGATGCTGTTCTGAGGCGCATGTTTGAGTTCAACCCAGCCAAGAGGGCCACCATTCCCGAGATCCGCGACATGATCATGCGATGCTCGTCATTCACGGCTACCAAGTCGGCCGTCTCATCGCCAATGCCCACTCCTTCCTTTGGCCCAGTCGACTACGCTCAGGATCCCGCTTACAACCAGTACTACCAGGCTCCCGCCGTTCCCCAGTTTGCTCCTCTGCCTGGCTCAGCTTACGCCCCATCGCCCTTCCAGTCGTCCACCTCTTCGGGAAGCTCAAACTCTGACGGCGAGTCCGTCTTCTCTGCTTGCTCGTCGGCTTCGTCGGCTTCTTCGAACTCATCCTACCACGTCTCGCAGTCGCAGCTTCCCAAGTTTTCTTCGCGCGTTCCTCAACCCCAACAATACGTTTCCCCCCAACCTCCTGCCAACACCTGGTTCCAGCCTTTCATCCAGGCAGCCAACCTGGTCAAGCACGTCTCCTTCCAGCCTTCGATCATGGCCCCGGTTCACGTCTACTAGACTGCTCTTCTTCTCCATGGCGCCCCCATGGACTTTTTTGCTTACGAATATGCTTCTTGTCTATGTGTTTATACTATTTTCGAAAAGTCACGATGAGATGAATAGCCATTGATTTCTCGTTAGGTGTTGGGGTGGATTGTTTCCTTTTTTCTTATTTTTCCACCGCGTTACAAAATTAGACCAGTATGGGCAAATTTCTGGTCTTCAACATTAGAACTTTCTGGCCGCGATGGCTTAGCATGTTTAACTCTGTCAAGCAGCCTTGATGGCATAGAGTCTGTTTCTTTGGCAACTTCAATGGGCTTTTGCCGCAAGGATTAGGGAGTGGGGTTTTTTGGGCATTTCTCGGAGTTGTCCTTGTTTGAGCGTTGGGCTCGTCGAAGCCCTCGCTCTATCACGTTCATTTAACTTTTCATATCAAAGATACCAGAGCAATAGCTCAACAATGTACGTTAGTAGGTCCCAAAAAGAAGGACAAGCACAATTTGCCTTGAGCAAATATTCAAATGACAAAAAAACATACCCAATGGCGCTTGCAGCAACAGTTGCAGGCGACCAGCCAAGAGCAAGCCACCTCTTCCCACTTTACAGTCTTTATTGTGCCATGTGTCTTATCTCTTTTGATATCCATCATTCTCCATGTCCAGCTATACTATGTCGTCGTAGTCGTAGTCGTCAATTACTGGCCTCCACGACACTAGCCCACGTATCCGGCCCACTCGAGTCAAGGTGCCACAACGCATCAATCTGCAACCTCCCCACCACGATTCTGCATCCGGCCCAAAGCACACATGAACTAGTGCGCAAAATCAAAATGGCATCCAACCATGGCCCTAGTCTCTCCACCATCAAAGCTCCACGCCCCGGCCGTCGTCCGTATGCATCTGCAAAGCCCCCATGGCCATGGATGCAAGCGGCCTAGTGCCAACAGCAAATCATCGGTTCCACTACGGCATGAGGTGTGCATACATAACCTTCTGCGTGATGACCATGTAAGTGTGCAGTAGTCTGTCTTGACTTGTCCCAGCTGATTGGCTCAAGGCTGCGCCCTGCCTTGCTCCCTTAGCCTGTACAGGCTTAACGCACATATCCAAAGGGATGAATCGCAGATGGTTGTCAACGGATATCAGACGCAGGTGTTGAGGGGACGGTGGTGGGGCGATTGATGACTACATTGTGGGATCGAGACTCCTTGGTTGGGGCTGGACTCTCTCTGTGTGTTTTTTTGACTTTGGCGCCCTGGCTCTTGATATTTTTTTGCCCTTGGAGCAGGTGTTTGTTGGGAGAGAGCAGCCGCCCAACCGGCCACCGCTCAGACCACGCGATGTTGAACCATGTCAAGACGTTTTGTCAACAATAACAGTGTACACACACTCTCTTTACTCATGTCTGATAAACATACATACTACACTACACACCAAGGCAAGTCTCTAGCTGCATGATCGTCCGCAAGCACCTGATTCCTGCTGCTTGTTGCAACTCAATACCCGCAAAAGAAGAAAACGACACGTAGGCAGCAAACAGTGAGCAGGTTTCAGTCATACCAACCCTCACTCGTTGCAAAAGGTGACTCTTTGTCTCTCTATCTTGCTCGCTCATGCTTGACGCCGGGTCAGCTGCCCACCATGGCTGGCTGGCTGGCTGGCTGGTTCCCGAATCAACCACCAAACGTCCCTCAGCTTCCGTTGGCCTTGTGTCGTCTCGGATGTCGGTCCTTCTCGGCCACATAGCGTGTCGCGTAGAAATGTATGTACGCCCGTATGGATGTACATACGCATGTGGATATATGTATGTGTATCTACTTACATGTACCTTTGACCTGCAGAAGGGCGTCACCGGAATCGCGATGGACCACCGTTAGATCACTTTTTGTTTTGTTTTGGCGGCAGCCAATCCCCATCCATGCAAGCGAGAGCGGATGACGAAGAAAAAGTAATGCTATCACGTGTCGCCAGTCTGCAAAATCAGCAACGCCGTTGGTTGACGTGCAGCCTACCTGGCTGTCATGGGCAGCAAGTGTCTAGGCATAGCTGGTGCCAAGCCGCGCGGCTGGAAAACTGAGTGTACCAGTCCATTCACCAGGCAGCCTCTTGCTCCTTCTGCCACTAGCCCATACGAAGAAATGCCTCAATCTCATCCTTTTGCATCATCGCAAATCATCTCGCAGCCACCGTCGAGGTCTGCGCATGCACCCTCTGTGTTTCTCCCCATCCTATGGAGCCAGCTGTGCAAATTCGGCCATGACTTTTACAGCTTATATCGCTAATTTGCCGAAATCAGGTGCACAGATATTGTCCCGATCAAGGCATCATGTATTGATTCGCTGGATGAATACATACACACACACGTCTACAGGCATCCACTTTTGTCTCTGACGCTCGCTCACCGAGCAACAGCAATGTCACCCAAGACGACGATGCCACGATCCGAAGGAATGGCCTGGCCCCTTCAACGGCTCAAGATCTACACCTGCTACCATCACCTCGTAATTTCGAATCCATGTCTACGAAACAAACCCTAGAAGGCGTTGAGACTCGCTCCCCACATCCTTGGTTAAACGCTGGAGACTAACATGATTCATCGCCACTCGCCTAGACATACCATGTGTCCTTTACCGTGCTTGCATATCCTTGATTTTTTCCGAAGCCGCCGCCTGTTCGTACCGACTTTCCATTGTCCGCATTCAGGCTGCCTTGTCCAGCCACAAAAAACGCCTCGGTTTGCTTCTTTGGTCAAAGCAAGATCCATCAGCGTGTGCCTCGCTTCTTGTCACGCGGCTGCTTGCGGGTCAATCCTCACAAGTGTACTTGGACGTGGCAGGCCGTACACCGGACACCCTCTTTTTGACTAGGGATTGCTACCTTTGCTCAAAAGTAAGGACTGAGCCTTGCGCAGTAAGCTTCGTGGCTGTTCGTCCCCGTGTCACAGTAATACGGGAAGCCGTCGTCTGTATGTACACGTGCCCGGCTTGTCGGGTCTGCATACTGATCTTGTAGATAGCATCTGTGCTGTGCTTTGGAGCCTAATACTTGGTGTCTATGCTTTCCTTTTGAATCTGGGGCACGGCCTCATCCCGTGAATTATCCCTTCATCAAGGCTGACACTTTGACAGCACATGTGCATGATGGTGGGGCTGTGCATGTGCTACGAGCAAGTGGTACTGTGCCTAGCAACCAAGTTGACTTGAGCATAGTCGAAGCCCGTCCTCTACCATGTTTCGACAAAATCTAGCAATTCTTTGGATCAGGCACCGAACAATCGCACCATGCAATGTCTCATGGGCGGCTCATGCCAAACACCTTACCCTGCTCGCAGTCGTACGTAGAACACCATGCTTCGCCTAGGTTGAGAGGCTTATATTTTGTTTGCTACACAAAGAAACACGCAATGGCACATGATGGTTACACAGCCTGCCTCAAGTCGCCGCTCAGTCTCCTCAGCCACGTTAGAGTAACATTTTACGAGAACATTACATCGTTAATCAGTCATGGCACAAATCCCCCACACCTAGCACAGCGTAGTGCCAACTTTCAGCGTGTGCCCGGCCCCGCCGTATGCTAAGGATTTCTCTTTCTACAAAAGCCATCATCGATTGCTCGGGTAGTACAATCATTATCTTATATGGCTGGCTGCAGGAGAACTCATATCTTTGTGCCATGTAGGTGTACCACTGCACTTGAGCTTGCTACATCCCCCACACGTACGACTGAAGGTATTGGCTCTTACGCCTTTCCGTGTCAGAGACACCGGCCATTTTCAGTACATACGTAAATTATAGGCCGGGAAAGGAATGTGGTAAATCGGCAACGAGCAGCAAGCGACAGCCCATTGTTCCATGCTTGGAACTGCGCCCAAAGAGAAGGAGTGTGGAACTGGCAGGTGGCGGGCGTTCCGAAGTGTATGCGTATATGCACTTTGTTTCCCATTGAGTAGATCACTCTTTCGGTCAGTTTCATCGTCTGCTGTACGGCCTTCAATGGCGTGACAGCTGGAAATGTGCTCCCTTTGCACATCCTACAAGGAAACGCTTTCCGGGCCAAGCGCCTACCAATACGACCATGTTTGCCTTTTGCTCGCTCGGACAATGAAAACGATACCCAAAACCCATGAAGCTGGTACCCTACGCAAGGCTGCATGATCGGTCATCAGCACAGGGCATCGGGCATGAAGAAGCGTCGGCCATCGTTCGCTCATGCCAAGTGTGCAACACTACGGGGTGCGATCTGTCTTCTCTACGCCCACGTTGTTGACTAGCTTCATCGACTTAACGCGTTAAGCGCACTACTACACAGCCACTTACTATTCCGAAGGCCGTTATCATCAATATGGCCACCAGCTAACATGTGCGGTGGTGCCCGAGTATGGGATACTGCAGGTACACTGAGTCTTGCCGAACTCGCGAGACATGCGGTCAAGAGCGAGAACACGGTACAGAAACGATGCGCGTCCCTTGGATCAGCAAAGAAAAGCGCTTATGGAATCGGCAAGGAGTGGTTTTGGCCGACTCGCATCTGTAGCGAAAGAAGAATGTGTCGACCGGGAGTTTCCGAAATGTGCTTCCCCAGTCTATCCTGATACTTCTCACATATCTCTCTTCACTCTAATCTCTGAACTCGTACGATTTACACTCTAGGTCCACAAAGCCAACGCCGTTATCGTGCTCCGCTACCAGCATCAGCAGCCAAACTAGTACCCTACTGGTGCAAATAAAACTACACCATGCTTTTTGTCCCCATCCACAACTTTGAGCACCACCAACAACTAGCCTCTCACTAACCTTTCCGAAAGAAAAAAGTAAAGAGCCCTTCAGCCTCCGTGGAGAAGGCAAGAAAAGAAAGAGCCAGTCTGGATCAAGTTGCTACGACTAACGTCTCTTTTCCAGTTCAACTGTTACGTATTTCCGCGGGCTGATATTCTCCTCATCCCCGCGGCGCTAGAAAAGACAAACACAAAAAACTCAATGGTAGGCGTGACCATGAATAAGTGAAGAAAAAAGAAAAAAAGAAACATCCCAGCAACTTTGACTTTGCGTCCCATTCCATCCCACAGTATCACCCCATGCATCGGAGAATTCGTATTCCAAACTTTTCACCTATGCTTAGATTAGCAATCCAGAGCCCATCCACACACCCACAAAAGATAGTAGACGACGCATGATCGGGACCCAAAATCGGGCCCTTGGCCGTTTTTTTCCCTTTGTGGGACCCGAAGGACTCCTAGCTGCATACGCCGTGTTGCCGGCGCGGCACTAGGGGATGGAGCGAGGGTTGCCCGTCGTTGTCCGTCAAATAACAGTGGCATAGTAGAAGAGGGGTCCAGACTGTGGCAAGTTATTGATTTCGAGGTCGAGACCAGTCTTTGCACTATGAACGTGAGGAGGAGAGTTGAGCTGAAAAGTGTGGTGTTGTTGTAGTTAGTTCGTTCAGTGGCGAGTCTACAGTGTTGGACGTTCGTCGTACTTTTACGATATTCTGAATGCGTTGTAGATGTGTGTAGAGGATACGCTCGACCGCTTTACTATTGCTCATCATCCGCTTCGCCATCCAAGTACTCGATATGCTCTGATTTCACACCCTCCTCCTGATCCTCTTCTTCCTGAGCTCCATCCCCCAAACCCGCACTCGCAACCCCCTAATCTCCGTACTACACTCCTCCATCCCCTCCTCGGGCCCCTCAAACTCGAAATCCCCTTTCTCACCTTACCCATCCGCACGCAAATACCTCTCCACCAACCTCAACGACCTCACCCTCCTCTCCTAAATCACACCTCCCCATGCTCAAAAAGCCTAGCTCTAACCTCACGAAACCACTCAAAAAGCACTCGACCACGTCGCCGTATACCCAACATGAGCGTTACCCCCGTATTTCCCGCGTAAAAAAATAGCCCATGAGCTGCCCAGGTGAAGAAAAAAACGACATTACGCTGCGTTCAGTCTGCGGCGAAGCGCATCGAAACATAGCTATGCGGAGCCCCTTTAACACAATATCTCCACGGCTGGGGTAGTAATATCTGGTGCGAAGGGACATATCAGCGGACGCGGTGCCGTATTCGATATCGCTAGCTTGAAGAACAGAGCGTGCAGCGTTGCCCACGCAGCATATCGCCGGAACTCGAAGATATTATACCCCACAAGTGGGAACGGTTAAGGGATAGAATAGTGTGCGGGTGTCATTACTAGGTGCTGTGTTTAATGTCTTATTCGAGTAGTGATAGATGTGGAGAACGGAGAATAGGACGGGGTGGAGTTGGGGTGGAAAGGTATGTGCGTTGGGAGGTTGAGTGAAGAAGAAGCATGGCGCGTGATGAGCCCGGGAATAGTCAGCGTTGCGTAAGTTGAGGGAATATATTATGAATGATGAAAAGGGGGGAAGGGTTGGGGGGGGGCGTTTATCACTCATGGAGGATGTCGTATAGCTCCTGTGTATTCAGCATTTCGTTCTAGGACTGCAAACAAGCCCAATTACGAAGTAGCAACGATACATGATGAACTGCAATATTATCTTCAATTTACATATACATCCAACGCAAAATCTCCATTACCGCGCCGATCGATCAACCTCGACCGGAAACTTCTCAAGGCTCTCATACCACTGCAGTGTGCTCCCAATCATGAACGCCCAACTACCCCAAAAGGTACTCAGACACGCCTGATACTGCGCCCAATTACTGCTATCATATCCAAACGCTGGACACAACGTGAATCCCACGCCACCGATCAGATTCAAAGCTCCAATCCACCAGCCGAGCGTTCGAGGCGCTGGCTTCCACCATGTAGGTTGCGTTTCGATCATAAACAGAAAACCAGATATGATAAATCCCAAACCACCCACAATCTGCGGCGTCCAGTAAAAAACAATCCTAACAACCCGCGACATGTTATCATAAACCCCCGGCAACGCTGTAAACCCGGCAACCCAAAAAATCGTCGCACCCACAAACTGCGCCAGCGACGCCAAAAACCCCAGACTATGAATATAATGCCTCTGCAACTCTTCCCTCCCAGGCCACCAAACCCACTTCCTTCTCTCCGCCTTGTCCACACTCCCACCCTCCTCCCTTCTCCTATGCGCATGCAAGCACCCCCCCTTCTCCACCCTCATCTCCACGCCCTCATCCCCCTCAAATGCTCGTTCAACAGCCCACCCAAAACACCCCGACCGCCCTTGATTCACCGCCTCAACAAGCAACAGCACCGACCCCGCTTCAAACACCGTGGCCCCAACAAACGCCGTTATCCCCCCGCCATACAACTCTTCCCCCTCAAACTCCGTCCCCGGTTGCACCAAAGGCAAAAAGACGAAAAACGCATTCAGGATCCAGAGCACGCTGCCGAGCGTAAATATATGTGCGATGAGGAAAGACAGGTCCCAGATGGGGTAGTAAGTCGCCATTTTCCAGATATTAGACAAGATGGTGTGGGGGGAGGTGGTGGGGCGCGGAGTGGTGCTCCCTGTAGTGACGGAGGCGTGGGTTTGGTTTACCGAGATGGCGTGTCGGCCTTTGCGGTCGTTGCGCGAGGTCCATTTGAAGCGGATATTTGGGTGGGAGGGGAGGTGGTAGTGTGCTTTTGTGGGGTTTAGGAAGGGGAGGGGGCCGGTTATGTGGCTTGGTACTGGGTGGAGTGTTGCATTGGGGTTTATGGGTATGTGTGCGGGATGGAAGGTTTCGTTGCGCTTGGGGTTGTGTGGATTTGGTGATTTCATGGTCAGTTGGGCTGATGCCGGGTGGGATGGCGTTGCGGTGCTGTAATGAGCGACGGTGCTTGTAAACAGTTGGAATGAATGTACCTTTCACCTATGGTAAAGTGATTATTCATGGTTATGGCAGCGTGGAAAAGTGTCGTAGTTTACGTCATTGCATCGCATGAGAAAAGAAGAGGTCGAGGGTTATATCCGCTGGCTATCTCCGATGGCACTCAGTAAGTCCAAGGTTCGATCATTCTACTTTGTATTGATGAACACCAAAACTCTTATAATCCTTTCTACATGCGTAGGATCAGGCGTGTTATAATTCTTTTTTGACGTTGAACTTTTATGATGTATACTTCAATGTAAAGAGACCTATCGTCTCAGGTATAGCCAGCATGAATAAACACGCTCCCTACTCAGAGATAACCAAACCATGCTTTTGTATCCTTGAAACTAAAGCTCACAGAGCAACTAAGTTGAGATGAAAACACATCCCCAGTGATACTCCTGAGAAATATGCCAAGATCAAATTGGTATAGTAACAAACACCAAGCTCATAGCTTTCGAACAACATTAAGACAATAGGAAAGAAATAACTCGGCTCATTTGATTCCAAGTTGCTGCGTAAACACAAAGAAACGCCATCGCTCATCATACACGTCACTAGTCATACAAAACCATACCAGGTCTAGCCCATGTTGAAAGTAACATCCTCCACACCACCCACCTCTGTCAGATACCATCATTAGTTCGTCTTCCCCTCCCTCTTTCCCTTCTCCCTCTCACTAATCTTTAGCCCCCTAACCAGTTGTCGTGTCATTATCCTCGAGAGCTCTTTGGTATAATCCTTCATTCGCATGCTAGACTTCTCCTCATCGGTCTTTCCCTCATACTGCTTTTCGCTGTATGGGGGCGACGCATTTGTATACCGCGCATACTCCTCCTCGATGCGCTGAAAGTTTGAGTGGTTGGAGGTGCTGGAGTTGGACCGGGATGAGTTGGAGACTGGCGAGTGTGTCGATGGAGACGGGAAGGAGTGATATGAGTAGGACTGGCGCTCAGCGGAGCTTGTTGTTTGCATGGTTGAGGAACGTTTACTCCTAGTTGAGGTCTTGCCAACAGAGGAGACAGAGTCGTGGCGTGATGATATTCTCGAAGTAGGAGTTTCGCGTTCGTTGACACTGACGGTGGGATAGTGGTCCATGTTTCTTTTATTAGGGGGGCAACGAGGTCTGACTTGGTGGACTGAGTGGTGAATAGGGAGTCAAAATCAGCAAGTAAGGGGGGATTTGAAGAAATAAGCAGCCTGCTCGCCAGCCTCGCATATAAGTGTAGGATCCAGACCCATATGCGATGATGCACATCGAAGACTCAAAGCGGCTGCCTACATTCCCATCCCAACAATTACGATATGGATGGCACAGACGCAGGACAAGCCTGCAAGTCATACCACACCCCTCGACGTCATTGCAGTGCGGTAAAAGCCAGCCACCCTTGGTCTGTCAAGGTCCAGAAGGGGCAATGATGGGTGGCCAATCAAGGAGATGACCGGTGCAGCGACTGGAATGCCTCTTGATTGTCTCGGCGGAAGACAAGGCTCGGGCTCCGCGGTGGCTGCACGCAATAACGGAGCGGGTAACAAGTTATGGGGTTGTTGGCGAGGTGACGCTGGGATGCATGGTCGGTTGCGGAGAGGCGTATGGGAAGCGAGGGAGGTGTGGCGTTTGTGATGAACGGGGCCGATGATGTCACTCATCACGCTCACCCGAGCCGTGTCGCACCCTCAAGACCTGAAAAAGCTGAGCATGTGGATCGTAAGCTGAAACAAGCAGATCAAGGGCAAATGTTGGGTATCTAAGAGAACAAGTCCACCGGCGTTGACGAAACGCATAGCGTGACGTGAGGTCGTGTGCGCCATGACGACGACTTTAAGATGACATGGTGTGCATAAGGGAAGCAGGTACCAGTACCGACCTCAACGAACTGAGCCTACGCCCGCACCAGACCCTTGAACGCATCCCTGAGCTTTCCCATACCCCGTGACCGTTTGGAGTGGCTCCTCTGCCGCTCCACCTCAATCTCCGTTGGTGCGTTGAAGTTCCCGCTTATTCTCCTCACTTCGCCTTGCGATGTGTAGTGCGATGACGAAGCTGTGTAGTAGGATCCAGCTGAGGAAAGTCTCTCTGGGCGATCTGCGTTGTCCCCATGATACGAAGATCGTAGGTATGCAGAGATTAAGGCTTGCTGGGGCAATTGCTCGATTTCCGATGGCGACAGTACTCGTGGTAAGGCTACTGTTTGAGACTGGTGCGACTCTGCGCGCTTTCGAGTAAAAGATGTGCGGTGCCCAAGGTGTTGACTAAGACCTCCTGCGATGTCACTCATAGACTGTCTTGCTGGATGGAGTCAGAGATCGAGATTCCGTGCATACGATGGGCGGTACGTACCTTCATGATGCTGCTGCTCTTGCATACTCCGTCTTTCCATCTTTGGACCTTTGCCTGAACGGCTGTCGATATCTTGTGATATCTGTAGTTTGTAGATTCAGTTCTCGGTTTCAGTGGACACAAGAGAGAATGCGCGATACTCGAGTGCTCAATCAGCTATGATAAGAATCCATGGCAAGTCCTGGAAACCTAAGGCTCTTGAACAAGTACCGCCCCCTTCCATACTTAACCACACAGCCCTTCATTGCCATGATCCTACCAACGTCGTGCATAGCGTTGTTTAACGTCATCGACTCGACTCCAACTGAGACGAATAGCCGGCCAAGCCAAGCCTGCTTTCAACCAGCTTGGCTGCTTTTGATATTCTGCCATGGTTGCCTCAAATGCGATACAATCTGGTAGTATCGGCGTCATCTTGAAAGCCGCAAGTTCGGTTGAAACGGATGCTCGGTGATGTGAATGGTGGGTCTGCATGCAGGGCAGCCTTAGCGGTGCAAAGCAGAGTATACAGTGCATACGAGGCCACCAGCACATGGCTGTGAATACGATCTCAAGGCGAACATTCTGGCAAGTGATGTTTGTACGAAGTAACTAAGGCGAAAGACACGATGAGCAGTCTAGTGGCGGTGAGATTCGACTGCGCCTTGTGAGGCTTGACAGCTTGCCTGACCACGACTGAGCCAGTCGGCCAAATTCAGCCCTCAGGCAACCAGCCAGCGAGCAATCTGAAGGAGGCTCATATTAGCAAGAGTACAAATCTTTGCAGCCTGAGGGGAATGGAGTGGCATTGCAATGCCTAGGTGTAATGCAAAGGGTCTTAGGGTGATGAGAGGATCAGGACAATAAACGCACAAGAGGCCGCCTAAGTATCCGGAATTGTCATGTGACCCAGCAAATCCCCATGGCAATGCCGTAGTACTCTACTCTAAGGAGTTGCCGTTTCGGCCTCCTTTCATATCAACCGAATAAACCAGAAACCAACCAGAGCCCATATGCTGGCCAGAGAACACCGAGTCTTGTTTCATCCCTCAAATGTACAGGGGGCGGTGCGCGAGGGTGTTCGGAGGGTTCATCTTTCGCTCCGCTTTGCTCAAACATCCATGCAACCCCCATCCCCCTTCTGCACAAGTCCCAAAGTGGCAACGAATCTTGCTGACCATATCCATTTCCATACTTGCATTGTTGTGCTCATGTACACACAGCACAAGCCCCAACTCCAAACACAGCAAAGATATTCTTCTCGCAACACCACGTCTGCTATTCTATGACACATATGCTACACCCTCTGTTAGTTCTTTTACTATTAAATATAGTATCGTATAGCTAATGGTAAATACCTTAGGCCTATGAGCGCGCGAGCTAGGCCAACGCGCCCTTGTGTGGCGCAGCGGAAGGCCGCGGCTGGCCTGACCACCAATGCCGTCTCCACCTAGTGGGGGTCTTCCGAGATGACGATGCGAGATCTAGCTGACGCGGTGCTTGCACTCCAGGGAACTGGGCGAGCGGAGGAGAGATCTCTTGAATCAGCCAAGGGTGTAGATTTTCTATTAAATGGGAAAGGGGCAGGGCCGCCATGATCATGTCGTGCCCTGTAGCAAAAGCCTCCAATACTTTACTTGTTTTTTGGGGTGCTTCAAGAAACACCAGAAGCTTCGATCAAAAAAAGACTATACGGCCTACCTTTTCGCGACACTGGGTGTAGGGTGACTATACTTGCTTCTTAAGTTTATGATATAGAGGTACGTAACGCTGCTGGTGAGTAAATTGTCAATTTCAGACGTATACGTAGCCTTGGTTCCGACTTGGCTGGCGTACACGCTCAGTGTTCTGGATTCTGGTAAGCACCATCCCTAACAAGCGCCGTTTCTAGGGTAAACGTACCCCGTGATACGTACTTCCGAATCACGCCGACCGTACGCAGACACTAAACTGAACCCTAGCTGAACACCCCCCTTCCCACCAAATATACACACATACCTCCGCCTGATCCTCCTTGAATCGTCAACCAAAAGAGAAAGTCGAACACATACCTTTCACAAGTCCTACCACCACAGTCGCTACCGAACTTTGCTCGTGTTCTATCCACACTCCCCGCATAATAATCGCCGGCCCGCACCCGCAGATAAGGACTACGATCATCATACACCACCCAAAATGGACACACTTCCTGATACTTCGCAATCCAACTCGTCCAGATGCTCGACGCCTAGCACACCCGACACACCCGTCTCGCCCGCCTCCTCGACCACAAGTTCGTACTTTAGCTCGTCCTCGTCCGGCGAGCCACAGGTCCCGTTTCAAATCATCGTCACATTCGACGGCAAGGTGCGCGAGATGCTGCGGATAGAGCGGGAGGAGAACTCGCCTATCCAGGTACCGAGGCCACGAAAAGCACCTAGGCCGAGATACTATGCAAGGAACACAGACTAGAGAGAGAGAGGGTGGCGGTGGGGATTAGCCAGGGAGGGCGGAACGGTTCGGATGGGGCAAAAAAGAAAAAGGCGTTCGATGATTGGAATGGATTCACTATGGCGTTATGAAAAGGAAAGGGATTTATCGCTTGCGGTGGCTATAAAGGATAGTTGAAGCCAACAGGCCTGAAACACATTAGCAGTTGTCAAGAAGAATATGGGGTAGGCTTCTGCTCGGTATTCATAATTATCAAAGATTTTATTTTTGCTTGGAAGCTATAAACACTGCTTCGATTACCTTGTCTTTTAAGAGTGCTGCAACTATCATGTTCTCTGCGTCGTTGCTAATGCTCTCTGTTCCAGCACTGGAGTTTTAGTGAGATGAAGGTTGACGAGAGCAAGAGCACTCGTATCTTTTAGCGTACCTCTCGCGTAGGACAGAACTACGAAACGATGAGCCGCAATTTTGTGAGTCTCTCCATTAATATGTATCACATTCATTATCAAAAACTTGATAAAGGAAAAGTAGAAACACCGTTCATGATAATATCCTACACTTGATGCACTGGACGGGTATGCGTATTTTCGCCTTCACCAAGAACATCCCCCCCCGTTGAAAGGTTCGCCGAACAAATGCTATTCTACAAGAATGTGCAGAAGACATGACTAGTAAAGCATCTCCGTGACGAATAGAAACACCCAACTCGACCCCGAAGAACTCCGTGCTTTTTTTGTACCATGACCCAGACAGAAAATGATAGCGGAAATCCCGAACATCGCCTTTTCCAGTTCGTCATTATATCCGTGCCCATTTCCACGGGATCGTCATTACCCACTGTTTGCCAGCCAGCCCGATGGAGTTGTGATCCCGTAAGCAGCCGAGAAATGCCAATGACTAGGTAGGAAAGGTATTATGAGGAGAAGAAAAGGAAGACCGGCCCTGACTAAGGTCCACATATTGCCTATGACCAGAGTGCGCTGGTAAATGCAGTGGCGGAAGATTATTGGTGCCTCTTAAATGCACTCTTGGTGTGAATATCGAGATTCGGCCACCAGCCGACTAAGCTATTGGGCGTGGGCTCTGTTGAGCATGCGTGAAGAGAGCGTTCAGAAGGCGTTCAACCTGAAAGGGACAACGAGTTAGTATGATTCAATAGACAATTTGTAAGGAGCCTACGTACTTCAGGCGCCGCCTTCACGAACGGCAGCTCCCAGAATGCATATGTGCGGTTCTTTAACATTTCCAGCAGCGTAATGATGAGACCCCATGGGTGCGGGCGGTGAACCAACAGGCGCTCCAACAATACACGAGTGATAGTCTCTTGAATCTCTGATGCCAGCGAGTCCTCGCTTGGGGGTCCGAAGAGGTGCAGTAGCGCATAGCTGTAGAAGTGAGTATGCGTGTTTGGAAAGCGCAATTGGTTCGCGATGGCGCTGATAAAGTGGAACCTGGCCTCAGGGTGGAAGTCCTTGGCCAGCCTTTCAATGAGCTTGGTAGCTGGGCTCTCTGCGTCAAAGATTGGCACTGTGGCTGATCCTGTACCAAGAGTCGATATGCCAATATACAATATGATCGCGTGTACCAGCGCTGGATTGGCTGTTGTTGGGACAAGCTCAAATCCTGCAGGCTTGGGCTCTGCGTAATACACCGCGCAGGTGACTGTGTCGACGTCCTGGTCCTTCAGTTCAGAGCCCTTCAGCAGATTGTCAATGGCATTCTTGATGCCTACGTCTGAAAGTATCTGCTCGATATCGGCACGGATGACTGGGGCTTGAAGATCGTGCTCGAGGCGGTCTGCCTTTAACCCTGCAGTAAATGGATCTGGCATCTCAAGGATAGTAGATGGATATGCGCTGACAATCAGGTTACGGAGCTGTGTGCAATGCATTGGAATGCTGTTGCAGAACCTGAAATGGTTCTCGACCAGGAACTCGGGGAAGTCATGGTGGATAACCAACAACACGCGCAGAACGCCCCGGTAGAACTGCTGGGTCATGATAGTTTCTCCAGTGGGCTTAATCAGCTTTCCAGTAAAGATCAAGAGCGTCTCGATAAGCTGAGCGTAAATATCCCAACGCTTGTCGTCTTGACCCTCCTCCAGCATGGCCGGCACAAAGATACGATGTGCAACCAATGCGAGCCATGAGAAGGCAAAGCGTTGAATGTTGGAGGGCTGAACGATCAAAAGAGCTTTGGCAACCGCAAGGAAAATGTCTGCCTTTTGTTCTGCCAACGACTCTTCCTTCACTGCATCGTTCAGGTGGAACAGGATCGTCGAAAATAGGCGGAAGAACACCTTCTGGTTGAAAGCATCTTCTCGGGTGCTGTGGTGGTTACAAAGGACGAGCACTACGACGACGAGCATCTGATCCAAGTACCTCGCTTTGCTCTTCTTGGTGGCACCCTCTTGTTCACCTTGATAGATAAGAAGGTCGACGATGAGTCGACCAAGAGCATCGACCTTGACCGTCGCAATGTCTTCGTTACCACTTCCATATGGGGATGAGTGTTCCTGCTCATATGCAATCACAGACGCATCGATGCAAGTGCGAAGAAATGCGACTGAAGATTCCTGAGTCTCCAGCACCTTCTGTTGGTGGAGCTGGTAGATGAAAGCACCAACAGTTTTCTTTGGCATGTTTTCCATCTGAAGATGCACCCACTCGTCAAAGACGTAGTCGAGCTGATCTTTGTGGCTAGATGCTGGTGGTGTCAGTGACTGCTCATTGGGCGACGCTTGCAAGTTGGCAATGACACGCTTTCCAAGCTCAAAGCCAGAGTCTTCTGCTAGCCAAGTAGTGAGAGCGTCGATGGACATGGCAAAGTCGGCACGGAAAGCACTAGGGTGCTCATTGAGCAAGAGTTCTTCTATCAGGCTTGACAGCATCTCTACTGCAGCGACACGCCGTTCTTGAATGGCCTTGGCAATTGTTGTGTTCAAGCGGTGCATATCCATGAGATTGACTTCCATAAGGGCCACCATGACGGTAGCCTTGAAAATACGGTCGTCGTCGTGAAGAGTGGCCAACCACATCAGCACTTGTCGTGATGTCTGGACGGACAGTTGGCACAGATGACTCAATAGATGAGCCATGACTTCGACCTCCAAGCGACTCAAGGAGTCAGAGAAGAGGTGGTTTGTGACTTGTCCAGCGATACGGAAGGCCCATGTCTCTTTGTTAGGACCGGCGAACTCGATGCTTGAGATGAGCTGGTCGAAGACTTGGTGGACACTGCTGCTACCAGGTTGGAGGTCTGTTATACGCTCCTCTGGTGCCTCTTTGATGACGCGGGTCAACTCGATGAGGAGGTCCTCTACACCACGCTGGCCTCGCTCAAGGCCAGGAGCGTCCATGTAGCCGTTAGGCTGTTGCTGAGTCAGCGCTGCATGGGGTGCTTGAAGACTCTGTAGCCTAGGTTGTTGCTGGGCCGGCTGTCGTGGCTCAGCTGGTGCAGCACCTGGGGTTGGGAGGTTTGGCACCGCCGCAAATTGGTCTTGGAGGACATCTGGGAGTTGTCGACCGCCATCTTGAGAGGTGTTGTTAACGTGCGGCGCGCCTCGCGACTGCCTGCCAAAATCTTCATAGATGGCCAACTGCTCCCTGTTCAAACCGCCAGGCATCTGTCTGTATGGCTCCGGAATGTAGAATGCCCATGGACTGATGTTTGCATCCTTGAAGGGCTCATTTGGACGAGAGCTACGGAACATGCGACGTATACGGACGGCTTCTTCGATTTGCATGTCAATTTCAGCGAGAGATGACATTTCAGCTGCTTGCTCAACGGTGTTGCAGACCAGGTCAAGGTTGTCGTTGACAAACATGATGATATGTCCCTCTGGCAGTCCCTGATCGGGAAGATCCCTAGCTGTAAGGCGGATGTTGTTCTGGATACTCATACGGAGGGGCTCTTTGCAGGTGACAAGAGCCAAAGAACCGGAAAGAGCTTTGACAACAGTATGTGCTGCATTGCGAAGCTTCTCCTCATCAGGCTCCATGGCAAAGTCTTTGTTGATCAGCTGCGATGTCGAGATTGCGGCAATAGTAACGGAGCGTTCAACTACGGGAGCAATGATTTCCTGTATAGCCTGATTGACTGCAGTAAGGAAAATCTTCTTGAGCGTCGCTGGCGGAACCGCACTATTTCCAGAAGGCGGGTATTGAAGCTGGTTGGTGAAATCGGGCAGAGCGGCCGTCATTGCTGCTGAAGAGAAGCGTTCATTAGGTCCACGTGCGCCGCGATTGAGGCTCATGATAGAAAGGTCGCCGAAGGCTTCCATGCCGTCTGTCACTATGGACCCAAGGAACTCTTCATCAACTGGCGGCCGTCCTCGGATGCTGTTAGTTGGCTCTATGTCCTTGTGGTCAAGCTCCAAGCCCTTGCAGAGAACTTCAATCTCGAACTTCTGGTTGAGCTTCAGGTCAGCAAAGTGATATAGCTCCATGAGCACACCCAGCATCTCCATCAACCATGGATTGGGAGGCTTAAAAATTGTCGACTTCGCGGCTTGTACCAATACTTTGCAGGTAAACGGAATCACCAATAGGAGGCGGTCTGAATCGTAACCCTCGTGCAACAGGTCCTTGAATGAAATGTTGCGGAATTTGATTGGCTGGTCGCGGGCTATGGTCAGGGATCCGAGCCACGAACCCAGGTTCTTCAGGTGGCCACGTTCGGTAGATCCCAAGGTAGAGTCGGTGTTCAGCATGCGAACAACACTGGCGTATGTCTCTCGAAGAACCTCGGCCCAGAGCATCTTGTCATTGAACAGGTCAAGCATGTCGAGATACAATTGCTGGAAGTTGGGTTGCATCTTTGCGCGCTCCTCAACGAGGTAGTTGGCGAACCATTGATGATGTCTCTCCTCAACAGCTTCAGTCAGGTCGTTAATCTTGTCACGCAGATTGCGCTCGGACACGTTGTTCAGTACAAACAAGACCTTGTCCTGAACATCTTCATCTGGGTCCTCGTATAGTTCTGGGCGCAGTGGCGGGTCGACATACAGACAGCTGAACTTGGGCACGGCTGGCTCTTGGTGGATATTCTCATCGACGCCGTTACCGTTGGCCATGCCCATACCATTATGGCCCTCGCCATTGACTTCACCGACTTGCTGACCTACTACTTCTTCAGCTTTAGCATAAATTTCAGTGCCTTGAAGCCCAGGTACGATAAGAAGTTGGTCGCAGTAGTTGGGCCATTCAGAGAGTCGATTCGAGAAGTGAATGAGAGCCTGAAGACCGAATTTATACATACTGTCTTCAGGACGGAACTCTTGGACAGCTTCTAGAACCATTGCTAACCCAACTTGAAGTGCGATCCGGGACAGAAGATTGAAGTTGATGATACCGCCAAAAAGCACAGCAGTCGTCGCCAATGCTTCGAGTGGGTACTCTCCGAAACAGTTGTACTCGTCGAACAAGCCATGAATCATGCAGGCAAACAGGTCCTGGTCCGCAGGATCGCGGGATTCTTTGTACTTCTTCAGAGCGGAGATGATGTCTCTAACATCGCTGTCGCCACTGTACATGTTCTTGAAGTGCTCTTGCATCTTTTTGTCGGCTTCTTCAGGAAGGGCGTTGCCATTTTGACCATTGGCGTCAATGACGTCGTCCACGCCCTCGCCATAGTTGATCAGGCGAGGATAGGCCTGGATACAGTTTCGCTGCAGGGGAAGTAGTTCCTGCTCGGGTAGACCACATTCTGCAAGGAACCAAAGGAGTGGGTATACCGTCTTCACTGCTAGTGGTAGGTTAAGAGGTTGATGATCGTCTCGGAGGCGTTGCATCTCTTCACCTGCCCGCGCACTGAGAAAGTTGGTCAGAATGCGACGGAAGAGTGGCCCAGCTTGGTCGAATGTCTGCTGTAGCCAGGGCTCAAGCTCGAATTTCCCACGTGCATGTGCCTGGGCAGCCAAGTCCAGGCTAATATCAGTGTTACTGCGGATCAGTGGCTCCAACCAGTTATTCGTCTCGGCATGCTCCAGGATTAGAGTGAGAGTCATCGAATCGGCGTTGTATGCGTCGACAAAGCGGTCCACGAGCCATTGGATATCCTGTTGCCACAAGCCGTAGAGGACAAAGTTGTAGATGGGTAGCTTCTTGTGAAAATAAGGATCAAACAGCTGCTTCAACGCTTGCTCTTGCAATGCGCCCCATGGCTTTGGGACTGCCGCTGCCGCTACAAGGAACTCTGCTGTGTGGGGGTTGATCACCAAGTCAGGTATGCCCATCAGCTGAGCCGTATGGTACGTCTCTGAGGTCTGGAAGATCATGTTGAAAAGAGCTGCCGTTGCGTCCAGCGAAACAAATGGATGTCTGACAGCCTCCTCGGCAAAGGCTCTTGCATCCTCTGAAGCTCCTTCAAATGTCTTCATTGAGTACGACGTGCGGAGCCTGGGGATCTGGGTTACGTCCAGCTCCTGTTTTGTGGATGACAGGAAAGCCACTACGAAATACAGCTGCGTCAAGTCATGCTGCCATTGACCTCCCCACAGTGCCTGTATGTCGAACTTTTCATTCTCTTGGGCTACGGGAAGCAATGCGTTGTAGATGGCCAGGAATTGATGTCGCTCGATGCGAAGGTGATCTCGGTCAAAGGCAAGCACTACGTCTTGCCAGTCTATTCGTTGTCCTGTCCGGTGCTCACGTAACGCGGCTACAAAATTCTTCGCATTGTATCCGGTCGAAAGGGCAAGGTAGAGCAGAACGGCAGCAACTTGCTGGTAGCTAATGTCGCGTGTCTCGGCCAATGCAAGCACTTCTTTGCATGCCTCGACCGTAGCCGTGCCTTGAGGCCCTGCCTGCTTGACTAGTTTGACAAGAGGGTTACGCGCCCCGTCAGTGAGCTCGACGAGTATCAACTTTGATTCGACGATGCCTGGTATCTGTTGGTGTGTCTGCTGATATCGCATCTGGACAGCGTAAGCGAGGCTCATCTTCTTCTCTTCATCCCAGCCTGGTGGCGGGTCCTGGAGGAGGCGTTCGACGAGTGCGGCGAGGTATTCATGAGTCATGTCGTCTGGCTGGGTCGGCTGCGCAATGGCCATGAGTAAGTCATCGCCTATGGTAGATAGAACCGCGTCGGCTGAGAAGTGTTAGTGGCTATAGTCAGCGAGCAGAGGGAGGGGGACGCGTACCTTTGGGCCGCAGATCTGTCTTCCTGCAGGCGAGCGCCAGCATAGTCTTTGCGACTGAGTCTAGTTTGAAATGAGATATGAATGTGGCGAGATCAAAGTCACGGAACAGATCACCCTCGCTGGTGCTGATGGACTCTGCGATCTTGTCAGCCTGCTCGGGCTCCTTCCGTATCTTGTGCACTTCGGTGAGCAGGATCTGGTAGCTGCCATTGGGGTCGGCATTGCGTGCGCCGGAGCCAAAGATGGTGGCTGCATTGTTCTGCAGCACACGGCGGAAGTACTTGGTAAAGACCTCCATGCCGTTTGTGTCGACGAGCTGGGGGCGCGTCAGTAAGGCAGGGCGGGGATGGGACGCGGAAGGGATGGGCGACGAACCTTCCTGATCTGTTCGGTTTGCGTGTCCCACTTGGCGCGGTCCTTGTCGTCCTTGACTGGCCCGAATTGGCTAAGCAGAAGAAATATCTGTGCGATGACGATGCGGGAGAGGTTCTGGGACGATGCGGCAGACGAGTGGGCCGAGGTGCTGGGGGAGCCGGTGGTGCTCGAGACTGAGAGTGAGGGCGAGGCGCGGACAAGCTTGGAGGCTCCTCCGCCGCTGTTTGACTGTGCACTGGCGCCCTGAGTAGCGGCTGCGGCGGAGGAAGCCAGGTGCGATGCAGCTTGGGGCGCTATGGTCCTGGACCCACGGGAGGACAGCAGCTGGCTGGCGGGGAGCTGCTGTCCTGCGGGCGAGAAGGGCGACGATGTCGACGACGAGGCGGGCGGCAGCGAGGGGAAGTGTGCAGTGGCGGGCGATTGGGCGTGGCGCGAGGGGTTGGGCGAAGGGGTGCTGGGATTGCGCTGCTGGTGCTGGTGCTGGTGGAGGTGGTGGTCGTGGGCAAAGGCCGTGGAGATGGGAGCGAGGCGTGTGCTTTGGGATTGTCTCGGGGCGCCCCAGGGGTGTTGCTGGCTCATCGAAGGAGGTTTTCCATGAGCAGCGCGTGGCGGCTGGAGGGAGAGGGAGGGGGCGGGAGGGGGCGGGAGGGGGCGATGGGATTGTAAGGTTTTGGGTGCGGGTGTGATAACCAGACGTTCAGTCGGGCGTGCAAGAAGAGCGAAGCGGGCTTGGCACGTAGCAGCAGAGGCACAGAGACACACCAGGGCCACGTTTGACTCGAGTTTGGCGGAGCAGCAGCAGCAGGACAAGCAGAGGAGGCCGAGGGTTTGCAAGTGTCTTTCTTTGTCTTACAGACGATCTGCTGTCATTGTTGCACTCTAGCCCACGTTTCCAGTTGCAGTCACGCAAACTCAATTGCTCCGTTTTGGTGGGTGGGCTCACCAGGCTGCCCTTCTGTGGCAGCACCGTATCCGGCGTACAGCCATACATAGAGATCAAGTAGTACCCCACACTCGCCTACCCTTCACCTCGCCGCCTCGCTGGTGACGGCCATGCCCGCCGCCATTGCATCTCACCACACCTACTGATGTATCCGGGTCCCAGTGCCATTCCAATATGACCCAGTATTCGTCGTGTTGGGCATCCAGGACGTGTCTGGCGTCAATGATGCCATTCCCAACACTGGCACCCTCGGAATGGCGGGCGGCCAGTGTGTGCAGGTTGTAGAGTAACCAATGCACACATACACGGACACCACAGTGACGACACCCTCACCACGCCCGCCGCTGTAGGCTTTACTTTTTGCGGCAGGCAACACATGGTCAACACGTCCAGGCTAACAAGTGCAACATAGCCGTCCGCCCGCTGGCCCTGCGTCATGGCAATGCAGCAATCGCAGTGAATGAGAGAGACTATGCATGCTAACCAGCCACCGCCAAACGCAGGGGACCGCAGAGATGGGATTCTACAAACAAACCGAACAAGGAGAACAGTCATGTGCGCTTGTAGTCTTCACCCGACCTGAACACACACACATACGTATGTCGTCCTTGGGCTCGCCTTGGGGTTGGCTGGTCAGCTTAGCGCTAAGTACCAATACCCCTCGCGTCGCCATGGTGATTCTCGCGAGCGTCAACACAGGGTTCACCGCCAGCACACCCTGGCCCACATCCCCAACATCCGGCGCTGCTCCATAGCCTGCATGTTTGAGTAGCCTGCCATTCTTCTGAAACCCTCTAGATAGCATTCGCTTTCTTGTATTTCCTACAAACTGTCGCAATTACCCCTCGCTGAAGTCGTGCACACATCCACCATGGGTGCAACGGCGACGGAGCCGCCCTCGGTCTCCCTCTCGTGTATGTATACCAGACTGCATTCTGCACACTAACAAGCTAATATTGCCAGTCGCCAACAATTTCTGGGGCAAAGATGACGCCGGCGTCGGTCCTATGCTCGACCGCATGCATGCGGCAAAAGTCACAAACGACGAACTCAAACACTTTTACGCCGCGCGAGCATCAATTGAAGAAGACTATGCACGAAAACTCTTGAATTTGTCGCGGAAGTCACTTGGTTCTTGCGAAACTGGCACTCTTCGACTGTCGTGCGATGTCATCCGAGCCGAGGTCGAATCCATGGGAAAGGCGCATCAGAATGTAGCCCAGCAGATGAAGACAGAGCTAGAAGAGCCCCTCGCAGCCTTCGCCGGTGGAATGAAGGAGCGGAGGAAGATTGTGCAGAATGGCATTGAGAAGCTGCTCAAGCTGAAAATGCAGCAGACATCGACCATGAACAAGGCACGCGACAAGTACGAGCAGGACTGTCTTAAGATCAAGGGCTTCCTAGCGCAAGCGCACATGGTCATGGGACAGGAAGAGCGCAAGAATAAGGCCAAACTGGAGAAGACGCAGATCAACCTGGCCACAACAAGCGCCGACTACGAGGCTGCAGTCAAGGTGCTTGAAGAAACCACAGGCCGATGGAACCGTGACTGGAAAGCTGCATGCGACAAGTTCCAGGACCTTGAAGAAGAGCGCATCGACTACACCAAGAGTAGCTTGTGGAATTTCGCCAACATTGCCTCGACCGTATGCGTCAGCGACGACGCTTCATGCGAGAAAATCCGACTGTCGCTTGAGGACTGCGACGTAGAAAAGGACATCACCGGCTTCATCAAAGAGTCTGGAACTGGCCAGGAAATTCCCGATGCGCCCAAGTTCATCAACTTTTGCAGGGGCGACGCAGAGACTTCGTCACAAGTCTCTGAGGACGAGAACTACTCAGTTGCACAATTCGCCAGGACATTGAATCCGGCGTATCGCGCTTCATCGCCAGCGCCTTCCAACTTTGACTCTCACCACGATCCAAACAATCCTTTGGCTCGAGAGATGGGACTCCAAAGGGACACACGTCCAATCTTACCCGACGATATTGATGCTCTACCCCTTCAACCTGTAGAGAGCCGTCGTCAGTCAATGGACAGGCCACGCCAGTCAATGGATAGGCCTCGCCAGTCGATAGACATGCCTCGACAATCAGTAGACCGGTCTCGCCAGTCGATAGATATGCCTCGCCAGTCAGTGGACCGGTCTCGCCAATCGGTAGACAGGTCCCGTCAGTCAGTAGACATGTCTCGGCAGGCGGCCGAGTCACCACAACCATACCTGGACGAACCGCAACAATATGTTGAGTCTCCACGACATGTCGACTCGCAACGGCAACGCGCAGAGCAACCGCGACAGTCACGGCAATATGTGGAACAGCAAAGACAATACATTGAGCAGTCACAACAGCATGTGGAGCCACTAAGGCGATATACAGAATCACCGAGGTTGCAGTATGCTGAACCACCAAGACAGCAGTATACCGAACCCCCGAGACAGCAGCATACCGAACCCCCGAGACAGCAGTATACCGAACCCCCGAGACAGCAGTATGTAGAGCCACCAAAGCCACAATATACGGAACCATCCAGACAACAATACGTCGAGTCACCTGAACCACAATATGTGGAACCACCATATGAGGAACCACCATACGAGGAACCGCCATACGAAGAACCACCATACGAGGAACCACCATACGAGGAACCACCATACGAGGAACCACCCCAGCAGCAATATATAGAGCCGCCCAAACCGCAATATACAGAACCGCCAAAGCAACAGCAGATTGAGCCTCTACGAAAACGTGCAGACACACTGAGACAACGTGTAGAATCACCACAGCCGATACAATCTCCCCAAGCAACACGGGGAGTGCAGCCAGACCCTCGGCTTGTCCAAGCACAAGAGCAGGCACGTCAACAGTATCAGCAAACCCCGGTACCCCACAACGACTACCCGGCAGATGGGATGACCCAATTCTGCCGCATCGGTGCGCCACCTGATCGAAGTTCAATCCCAAGTCCGGTTCGTCCTGCTAGTAGGGGTTCGCAGAGTGACTGTTCAAATCCCAATTCCTTCTCAAGTGTCGAGCCACCCAGTGGCTCTTGTTCACCTGGCAAGCCGATGGCTGCTCCATCGATTCCTGAACCTAGCCCGATTGAAGAGGGTACTGTGCAGAAGAAGAGAGGATTCTTCAACAGCCCGTTCGCGAGGAGAAAGAGCAAGCATGAGATCGAGCCACCAGCTCTCGCGCCCAGCACCCGGAAAACCTGGACACCTCCCTCACGGAGGAATACCGAAGAGAACAACAGTCTGACAAAGAGTTTTGTCATCAGGCCTACTCGGGCTATTGAGAGCAAACCACCTTCTCCCGGTCCGGAACCAGCTGATCCACGGGCAAACTTCCAGCTCAACGTTGGTAACAACGTATTTGACGTCGCTTCACCGGACAAGAAGAAGCAGGAACCGGAGCCTGAGGCGCAGGAAGAACTCGATCCCATTGCACAGGCTCTTGAAGAGCTGAGGGGTGTTACCAAGCAGACTTCAGTTCGTCAGCCTGAAGAGCGCAAACAAGCTGCTGTACGCCAGACTGCAGATCGTTATCACGGTCTTGCCACACCGGCACCTCCTGCTACTCCTGCTGTCGGTTCAAAGCTGGCTGGCAGCGTACCTACACCACTTTCTAGTGCCAGCATCACTGCGGCAAAACGGGGCACGCCTCCGCCCTCATACGAGCAGCCACCCATGTCCCGTCTGGGCGCCCCTAAGCCAGCACATACAGCTCGCCAGATGCAAAAGACCACACAAATGTATGTGAATCAAAAGGTGAACATGTTCAATGGGGGCGATGCAGCTCGTCCTCCAAGCCGGAGCCCAACGAAGCAAGAGGCTCCCCGTACTACTGCTGCTACTCCGCAGGCTGCCTCCCCACGAACTGCCTCCCCAGCACCTGCGCGTGCTGTCAGTCCACGACCAACTCTGCAAACGGCAAAACAAACTCCGTCCCAGAATTCCTACCGGACTACTCCAACGCAGCAACAACCTCAATCGCCGTCAACCTATCAGCCCGTGCAGCGACAGTCGACAATTCCCTCACAGCCTGCGCAAAGACCACCATCTCAAGCATCTCAGCGTCCACTACGCCAACAAGCAGCTGCTCAGGCAGTATCTCGGCCTGCATCCAGACAACAGTCACAGCAGCAGAAACCTTCACCGGCTACTCAGCCAGTACCACGACCTGCATCTAGACAGCAGGCACAGCCGCAGGTAACGCCACCAGCTGCTCAGCAGGCATCACGGCCCATGTCCAGACAGCAGACACAGCAGCAGCCAGCTTCTCCCGCAGCTTCAAATAATCGGACGGAGTCACCAAATCCCTATGCTCCATCTAGTGCTGGAGGCAGACCGCGGGCTCAGACAGGCACTGCTTCGGCTCAGGCTTATGGTACACCTATGGGTCGTAACACGTTCACGTCTTCGCGTGGTCAATCACCGACTGTCAACAACACACAAACTGCTGCATCACCCAAGCCTCTGCAACAGAAACCTGTCCAACAACAGCAGGCCTCGCAGCCAAAGCCTGTGCAACAGCCGCCTCCACAGCAAAAGCCTGTCCAACAGCCGCCTCCACAACCAAAGCCTGTGCAACAGCCGCCTCCACAGCCAAAGCCTGTCCAACAGCCGCCTCCACAGCCAAAGCCTGTCCAACAGCCGCCTCCACAGCCAAAACCTGTCCAACAGCCGCCTCCACAGCCAAAGCCTGTCCAACGGCAACCTCCACAGCCAAAGCCTGTCCAGCAAGTACCACGGCCCGCATCTAGACAGCAAGCACAACAGCCTTCCCCACAAAAGCCAGTTCAGCAACAGCAACCTCCACAACCAAAGCCTGTCCAGCAAGTACCACGGCCCGCATCTAGACAGCAAGCACAGCAACCTCCCCCACAAAAGCCAGTTCAGCAACCGCCTCCTCAGCAGCAGCAACCCTCACAACAGAAACCTGCTCCACAAGCGTCCAGACCTGCATCCAGACAACAGGCACAGCCGCCTCCCCAGCAGCAGCCACCTCCTCAGCAACCCCCTCAACCAGCCTTTGCGCAAGCCCAATCCCGTCCACAATCCCGCGCGGCCGCATCTTCTCGAGCAGCAAGCCCCAACCCTCAATTTCGCCAATCCTTTGATCGGCCTGGTAGCTCTCTAGGCAGCGAAATGGCCTTGGCCCTTTCCACCGCTGGTAGCGAGCGCGGTGATGGCAGCGTCTACGGCGGAAGCCAGTACGGAGGCAGTGTGCGCGGCAGAGCCAATACCGCCCGCCCGCAGAGTTCGTACATGGGCAGCGAATTTGGGTTCAACGGCGGATCGGGAAGCTCCGTGAGAGCGGAGTCGAGAGTGCGCAGTAAGAGTCTTGCTGAGCCAAAGAATTATAACAGTCAGGGACGATTGATTTTGAATTATTGTAAGTTTTCCTTGTTTCCTACTTTTTTTTGAAGGAATTTTTACTAACGATAACAAAGCTCGTGCCATGTACTCGTACGCAGCCCAGATTCCAGAGGAGCTAGGATTCCAAAAGGGAGATATCCTTGCTGTTCTCCGTCTGCAGGATGATGGATGGTGGGAGGCTGAAGCAGTGGGCAAGCAGGGTCGACCAGGTCTTGTGCCCTCCAACTACCTGCAGCCTTGCTAGATGGTATTTGAAATGTTTTGGAAGAAAGAAATAAGGTGAGATTTAATGAATGCGTTGGTTTAGTTCATCTTTGTTTTCTTGTATTCAGCGAACTTTTTGATTTACACATACCCACTCTCGTTCCTATAAGCTCATGTTTGGCGTTTTTAAGGGAGATTGTTTTAATTGGGTTTGTTGGTTTGACGAAGCGATGGGACAGACAGATGGGCACATATATGTAGTGAACGAAATTGTACATGATTCAACGCACACAACATGAAGTCCAAACACACACGTGAACATTGAGAGTAGGCAGGGAGATACAATACCGTATCATGGAAAATCTTGTTCTGATTCGGGTATCTAAATTTGATTTGAGAAAAAAACGCCTAAATTTGCTGCTTGATGTAATGCAAAGAACGACTATCCATACGCGCCATTGCCCATGCTTTTCTCCACAGAGTCCCGTTGGTCTTGAACCAATCACTCATACGTATTCTCATACGGATCAGCATCATCGATATCGTCATCCTCGCCGTTATCAAAGTACTGTTCAGCATTGTAATCGTCGTCCGACTCTTCCGAGTCAGTAGAAGCAGCAGACCAATTATCCTCTTCGTCCACAGCATCCGGCTTATCCTCGTCTACATCTTCTTCGTCCTCGTCAGCGTCTGAGTCGCCTTCTTCTTCGGCGCGGGCTTCGGCCTCGTTGGTGCGCAGCTGCTCGGATCGGATGAGGCGCTCGATTTGGGATTCGGCGTTTACTTTGGTGACGCCAAGGGTGCGGCGCTTTTTGGTGGTGGCGCCGTCGGCGCGGGTGCCATCTACGTCGAGAGTTGGGCGGAGCTCGGCTGGGAAGAGGTCGACGACTATGGCTTTTGTCAGGTTCCGTGGATACAGGTATGGTGGTCTACGCGATCAGCTTACCGTATGGGCGGGCGTCTAGCTTGGGTAGTCTTCTGCGTACTTTGAGGTACTTGGCAGAGTACGTCTGGTTGCCGGTGAAAGGGTCGAAAAGCGAGGCCTCGGTGGGCGCAGGCTCGTTGGCTTTCCTCTTAAGGCCGTTCTTCATGCCGTCGTTGAGGATGGTGTAGAAGGGGCCCTCGTGGATACGATCGCGCACTGCAAGGTGGTGTCGGGCCATGTCGAGCTCATCGTTTGTTGGTGGAGGCGCCTGTGGAGGAGGAGCTTCCTGTTCATGTCTCAGCGAGTGGTCCAAAGGCGTGCTGCGAGCGCATGATATGAAGCCAGGCAACGCGATGCGCCAAGCCCATCGTGCTCACTTGACTCTGCGCAATTCAAATAGATACGCCATGATAGGGTGAGCTCACGGGAAAACGCTCAGCAGGGCCTTTTTGGATGTCGAGGCCAGTCAGATCCCAGTTGAGCTCTGTGCCTGCAATAGTAACTGTTCCTCGTGCGGGATTGAAGGCTCCGCGCGCACCACCTCGCCCTCCGCCTCGTCCTCCTCTTGCTGCTGGCGGCATATTTTCAATAAGCCTGCGCGACCCGTGTGCTGGTTCCACCTCAATCAAGGCCAAGGGCGATGTCGTCAAGTTAAGAGTTGGGCAAAGTTGCCGAGTCAGAAATTATTTGGGTGCAGCTCGAGCCGCGGTCTGCTAGGGCTGAGAGTGGGGTCCCAATCTGCATCCACCCACCTATCACCCCGCCACATGCCGCCTTCCAGGCTACAGGGAACGCGTGCACTCAACCTAGTACACGAAATCACATGAGCTGGAGCTAGAACATTCCTTTACAGCTCATTCTATCAGCCGTACTCCAGACTAGTAGCAAGACAGAGGTCATTACCATTCCAACTTGAGCCCTTGTCCTCTCTACTGTACCATCTGTCCCACTGGAGCTCAACCATGGCCACGCCAACAGCAGTCCTCAGTGAGCTCTCTGACCATCTGCAAAAAGTCGACCAAGATCCTACCTGTCCATTGGATACAGACCTGCTCGAACGATGTGAGCTCTCCACAAATACTCCGGAATATAGAAGCCATGGCTGGGAGGATACTAGATCGCTCTTCCTGCAAATAGCCGCCTTGCTACCCAAACTTCAGCAGGACCCATCGCCACTCGTCCATTTCATCCTCAAGTTGGCTGGACCGTACCGGTTTGAGGACGTCAAAGATATAGACTTTGAGATTGGCCTCGACCTCCAGGCTACTCCATTTCACAGCCTTCTGCTCACACTGCTCGAGAAGGCTACCGCAAGTAGCACAGATGCCCAGGCCCTCGCCAATCGTCCATCAGTCATGTTAGCCACAGTCCGTCTGTGGCTTTGCACGCAAGATGAAGGAGTTGCGACGCAAGCCGAAGACCTTCTCACTTCACTACTAGAAGTATCAAAGAATGAGCCTGTGGCTATTGATGGCAAGTCCTCACTACATACATACGGCACTGGTCCCATGTGGCGACGGCTTTTCAGCGATCGCGACATCAGTTCGCTATACTATCACTATACATCTCTGAAACAGGTCATTTCACCCCCACTTCCGCTTCTGAGCAAGCGGGACAAGACTATCTCTCAAGCCAGGCTGCTATCATGGCTACCGCGCGTTGCCGCTATGGACTGGAATGCCATAGTCTCTTCATACGGTCTCCCTGTCGAGCAAGAAGTCGGCTTAAAAGAAGATCAAGGCCTACTCCACTACGCCGCATTGAAGATGGTCGATATTGAAGACGACATGCTCATGCACATGTCACTAATCCAGTTCTATAGCGTACTCATCACAAAAGTTCAGGCCAGGCCTCATCTCTCCCACTATGACTCGAGCCTTTCCTTGGACTTCCTAAAACAGGAAGGCATTCACAAGCGCCTGATTGACTTTCATACTTCAGAAAGTCCTGGCGTGGATCACTCTTTCCTGAGCAATCGGACAGCACAGTATATCAGCGACTACGTCTCATGCTACCCCGAGAACTTCGAGATTAGCAGTGAGATGCCAATCATTCGCGCCTACGTCCACCGTAATATCCGCAAGTGCGAAGCAAGCAATTTGAACATCATCGCTGCAATGCCAAGATCAACACTGATTCCGCGGGGAGCCTCTGGGCCAGCTTGGGACGACTGTGTCATTGTAGATATGCCAATTACCAGAACAAACCCAGATGCGTTGAAGACGTTAGCAGCTGTCTTCCATGGCCCGCCAAAGGAAGAAATCACATTCCCACAGACTGAAACCCTAGGTTCTGATAGCAAGCGTACACAGACTGAAGCCATATATGCGCGTCTCCTGACTGCCCTTTTCTGGAGCAAGAAACCAACCATGTTCGCTGACTTGACGACGCATATGGAGACTATTGCTATGAAGGAAAACGCGCTGGCTGCTCTGACGCTCGTGGGTGCCCTCATCACGGCTTCATGGTCTACCGAACCCCTGCCAGATGTTCCCGTCAACGAACCAACATATGCCCGTCTTAACTCCTTCCCAAAGTCCGGCGTCGATCTGATCCTCGATCCCAGCATCAGCGGCGGCGTATTCCCTTCCCTGTTGAAACCAGCTACGACCTTTTCCAACCTTGTCGGCGGTCGTGGTGATGCAGAGAACGCGGCCTATATCGTTGCAACTGCAAAGTTCGAGGTCTTGAAGACGTTAGGAAGGAAGCTCGAACAGAATGGTGATAGACAAGACGTGCTTGCCATGGTTAGGAGGAGAGTGGGCGAAGGTGTTTGGGGCGATAACTCCAATGCAGGAAGCAGAATCGGGACACTGGAGTTGTAATGGGTCACTGATGCACAAGAGACCTCTCATTATCACGTCTCCACATCCAGTACGACTTACAAGGGCTGACACCAAGGACCACTGGGTTCATTCCGCTATGAATGATATGATTGTAAAAGTATTGAAGAGAAGAGAAAAAAAAGATAATTGCCTCAACTGGTGAGCTTCTCCACGTTTGCAACCATTCTTGTTATGAATATCTCTCACAGTCGACCGCTGGCCAGAAGGACAAGCAAAAAAAAGCAAGAGAGGGGAAAAAAGAACCTGGGGTATCTAGACGGATCTAGACGAATGCTGATGAGAGTGGGACTTGAACCCACGCCACTTTCGTGACCAGGAATATAATGTTAAGATAACCTTAACCTGGCGCCATAACCAACTCGGCCATCTCACCATTTGATTGGTTGTTCGATGACTAATTGCGAATTTGCATGATATATCACTTTGAAGAACAAAGCAACAAAAACGAAAGGAATCAACAAAATCATCTGAGAATATCATATGGACACAAGGGTTGTATGTGGGCGAAGTGCGGGAAGCTAGAGAATTTTTTGGCGAGTGGGTCCTGGGACTAGTAGTAAAGGAAAAATGGTAACTTGGACAACGGTTCAATAGTGTCGCGGTGGAGGGAACACAAAAGAATTCCTTTTGTTGAATTCGTTGGATTCGTTGAATTGAAACCATTACTATTATTGCTTGTTTTTAATCATTATATTATCCATTATATATTAAATGCCATTATAGATGCAGGTGTATTGCACCGAAGTAAAGGGGCTTTGAATCCATCATTGAGGGAATAGACAAAACGGACGTGACCTGTTATATTAAAATTACGTTCTCAAGTGCCAAAAATAACGGCTCGAGATTTGTCGCAGGGAATCGGAGTACGCTGTGCATATCAACAAGCAGCCGAAAAACCAATACCGTTCTGTTCGGTTAAGTCCAATAAAACGTCGGTATTCACCACGCACAGCGTTGATTGGCATAGTTCCACTCGAACGCGCTCATAATACCGTAATAATGCGCTATAGCGCCCAGAACGACAGCGACATGGAAAATTTGATGCGACGCGCCGCAAACGTCGTACCGCTTTGGTTTCCAGGATTCTGGGAAATGCGCCTACAAATGCAAGTTAGTATAAAAAAGCAATCAAGTCAATACCAACGTCAGCCAAAGACTTACTGCGTAAAAACCAACTCCGATGAGTATCAAAACGCCCTCGAGGAAGTAGTAGCGTAAGCCAGATTGTTGATCTAGCTGGGAATAAGGGAAAATACTAGCAGCATGGATGATAGGCGCAAAAGCAGATAACCCCATAGCAACGAATGTGGACAAGCGTAAATACTTCCACTTTGGGCCCTGCAAACCCGGACTAAGAACAATCGTAGCAGTCAGAGTTCCCAGCGTAATAATCTATACCCCAAAAAGTCAACACCAAGCCCTTAAAGCAAATTCCAACTTCGTCAACAAAGGGGGAAGGGAAGAACTTACCATAGCCCAATACACCTTCTGCAACCGGGGCTCACAATAAAACGCAAAATAAATCCCGGGGATGAACGACCCCACAATTTGCACCACAATACCCACATAATCAAGTCGCACCCAAAGCTCTGCAAACGCATGCGAGTGGCATATCAGCGTATGATACGCTGCTGATGTGCCAAAGCAAATCACGCACGTGCTCAGGAACACGCGGAACATGACTTCATCCTTCCACGTCGCGTGCGGGAACTGCTCTGCAAAAGATGTGCTGAAGGAGTGGCTGAAGAAGAGGCTGAGGAATGCGGGGAGAAGGTGTGAATAGATGTTGATGGTTTCGTTGTGCAAGTATGTCAAGCTTTGTACGCAGAGGCGCGTGGATTTTGTGATGGGGCGGTAGGCGGTTTGGATGTAGGAGTTGTGAGCGTACCAGGCGGGGAGATCGGTGCTTTGATGTAGTTTCGGGATGGTAAAGGGGAAGAGTGGTGTTGAGGGTTTTGCATCCTGGTGGGATGTCATGATTAAAAAGTGTGGTTTGTTGTTGTCGCGGTTCTGCGGGTATAAGAAACAGTGTTGTTGTTGTATACAAAAGGGGTAAATTATTAAAGATTATTGTAAAAGGTCGACTGCGGGTTTCGCTCAAAAGCACTGCAAGAAACGTCGCGCGAATTAATGAAATGCGCAGAACGTTAGTCTCATTACGCCCGGTGCGGAGGGCGGGAAAGGAATGAGGTGAGAACTCAAAAGCGTGGGATTCAAGCTTTCTTTGCGGATGATCCCGGCTATATGCGATCGAGTCGAAACGGGTCAATTTCGGAACTAGGATCGAGAGGCGATCTCCCCGGGGCAGGGTAACTGTAATCGTAAGCAATAACGCAAGGGCCTCGGAATCTCAAATATCTACCGGTCGATCGTGCGCGGAGAGCGACTGCAACAATGCGCACATAGTACATGACTTGCTCTCGGATTTCGTGGTTTGTTTCGAGTCCGCTATATCCCTACTACCACTACTTAGTTCTACGTACGTTGCAGTGGTATGTTCTGCTAAGTTCCTCCACGCAACAACAAGACAACATAAATTCTTCGATCAAGCACTAGAACTATACGCTTAATCTCGTCACAATTGTGTAGGTGATGAAAGCCTGCAAATCTCATATTTGTCTAGTTGTGGGTGCGTATCTCAAAGTGTAACGAGAATTGCATGCTGCCAAGATACCTCGTCAGGGCCGTTCGTAACGCAGCCACGTCTGCTGGTTCACGCTCTACGTACAGAACATTCACGCCTTCTAATCTACAATAATGAGTCTTTCCCTACACAAATAATCACAGGACTGGAGAAACGTGCTCTGCGTAGCCTGGCCTTTTGCCTAGGCGGGCAACTCGCCAGGCAGGAGCGCCCATTGCGGAGGCAGGCGAGTCAGCCATGTACAGTTGGGATGTATGAATTTGCTATGTACAAAGATAAGTTTTAAATGAGGTTGATGGAGTAGAAGAATGTGCGGTACGCCGATTAAGGGATACGCAAAACAATATTTATTTTCCTGGTTTTCTCAGAAAGAGAGAAAAGATGCATTAGTGTACTTCGAGTACAGTTAGGATTGCTAATTTTATCTAAAGAGAAAAAAAAATTGCAACCATGGTTAGTCAGGAAGGACTAAAGGTGTAAATGGTAATGATACGAGAATGGGTCGATACATACACCCGTTACCCTCAATGCTCTGCATCACCTCGCCGAAGGAAGTAAACAAGTGTGAGAAGAGCGGCAAGGAATATCCCAAAGTGGCTTGCGGTTTCTAGTCGAGAGCGCCAGACATTCTCGCTGCGTCTGTACCAAGGTACAGCACGCCTGTGCCTATGTCGCCGGTTGGAAAATGCTTTTTGGCTTTCGGTTTGTAGGTGTTGGTTGTGAGTTGGTAGGATAGGTGTGGGAGTGGCATTTGTGTTGTTGTTTCTGCGAGGAGGCATGGTAGTTCTAAAAGAGGTGCTATGAGTACAGTCACGTGTTAGCGCAATGCTAGAGGGTGTGCTCCGAACGGATTGCAGAAGTGCTTACGTAGGGATATGCGAGAGACAGCTAGATAACTGCATGTAGTTTAACGCAGGATAGGTAAGAGCTTTTCCCCTTAAGGAAGTGCAGTGGTGTTGGACACTTGGGGTATCGTAGTGTTTTCTGGGTTTCCAAACGCGATATATAGTATGTCAGTAGCAGATAACACGGTATTTCGTGAAGCAACGCTGATGCAAGTATCGCGCTCGATTCTCGTGCACGTTCCTGCGAGCATGCATATGCCACAGTGGCAGTGGCGTATTTAGGAACATATTGGATATGTGATTGGGCAAAGAAGTAAAACAAGTAAAGATGATTGCGGGATCAGGGGGCGATGTAGTAAGCGCTAATCAGTTGCTAAACTACACGGTTGGTTCCGTCTTACAATCCTCTGCGGCGCTTAAGGGTTTGAATCCTAGTCGCCCCGCAGACGAAGTATGAAATGAATCAAAAGTTCTCATTATTTTCTGCGCAAGAAAAGGTTCTGTCTTGTATCTCTGATGCTGTAGTGAGGAATTTTAGAGATTTTAGTGTTAAAGAAGCTTTCTTAAATCTTCTTCTTGTTCAACTAGTACTACATATACCAAGAGCCTACTATATATACCCTACTTTATATAGCTAAGGTAGCAGTGAATACAAGACCACTAAGATTGATTACGCAAAGGAGAAGATGCCGTGTAGGTTGTTCGTATGCAGAGATGGTCTTGCGGGTTGTGGGCTTTAGAGAAGGATTAGCTGTTAAGGATACAAGGGGGATGGAAGGAGAGGGACGAGGTGCATACACGCTAAGTAGTAGCGAGAGACGCCAAGTCCATGACCTCAGCCCCTCCCACCACCCACTGTGACCACAATACATTACTGCACCCTATTTCCAACACTGCCAGCACAGTTAGGATATCGTTGCGAGTTTCCTCTCTCCTCGCCTGCCTCCGTAACGGGCGCCCCTGCCTGGCGAGTTGCCCGCCCAGGCAAAAGACCAGACTACGCAGAGCGCACTCAGCAGCAAAGAGCGGCGCTTCTCGTCTGCAGCAGATCACGGCACTGCAGAGCGGCCTGTTTGCCCATCTTGCTTACTTAGTTTACAACCACCATTGACCAGAACTTGAATATCTGACGTTTCCTTATGCACATTGTCCACCCCACCATGATCTTCGAGTACAAATCCTCCATTTTCCCTAAAAGGTAGGCGTCATAACAATGACTCTTCCGTTACAAAACTGATCGCATGACTAAATAAACACGCTCTTATTCTTAATGGCTAATACTTAGAAAGTGGTGCTTTACTAGGTAATAACAGAAAATAAAAAGGTAGTTGTTATAAGCTAAACGCTGAACTGCACTCTCAGTGGACTAGAATAGTACTACTGGTAGTACTATTAGCATAAAAATAGCGACTACCAAAACAGCGCAGCATAGGACGTACCTCACAGCACCACCGCGGATGGTACGCTTTCTCAATACAGTAAACAGTGCTGTTCGAAAAATCGACAAACTTTGCATACAAAATTAGCTAACTGAAGTGCGTAGTAGTGCGTCATTGTTCTTATGCTAGTAGGCAAAAGGCTGCAGTCCCACAATAGCAGATACCCTGGTAGTAGAGGGTATCCAGTCAGTAGTATAAAGTCCTGCTTTCACCATTAAGTTGACCAGGTTGACAGCTGTTGGACTTGGGCAAAATGCATGCAGGCTTTGGCTAAATGCTGCCGTCTCACAAGGACAGTACCCTGGTACTAGAAGGCATCCAGTCGGTGGTAAAAAGCCCCACTTTCATCGTTAAGTTGACCAGGCTGACAGCTGTTGGACTTGGGCCAGATGCATGCCGGTCACGGCAAGAAGGTGCAAGTAGGCTGCGCACGCATCACACCCCCACTTTCCCCTACGCTAGCTATTTCGCTCGCTGTTTCGCTCGCTATTTCTCCAGCTCCTACTAGTACAAACCCCGATTAGTGCTAAGCATTAACTTTGTTCACTTCCGGGCCCAAGCAATAGTTGACTTCCTTTAAAGACACTATGCCAAGCTAGATCTAGTCGCCAAGGTACTTTCGCAGTAATGCGATTAAAAGGTAAAGAGAGCATATAAAGAGTTAAACAACTGTGCTAAAGCAGAACCACTACGATACCTCGCCTACTAAACGTCACTGGACTTCTTCAGAAAGACACTGTGCATCCTACATTAAAGTACGAGCAATGTCCTTCCACCTAGGGCACACCCTCTGAGATTACTAACACATGACTATCCAGACCCCGTTGTAGCACCACCATGCCTCCTCACAGAAACACAGCTACCTCGCCTATCCTACCTACTCACAACCAAACTCTACCTGCCAACAGCCAACAGGCATCTTCCGATCGTTCAAATCGGCGACATGGGCGACATAAGCGCAAGCGTGCTGCATGTTGGTACAAATGCGGCGAGAACGTTTGGCGCTCCCGACTGGATACCGCAAGTCACGTCGGGATATGTCTTGCCGCCCTTATGACACTTATATTCTTCCTTCGGCGAGGCGATCCATAGACAGAATAGCGACGGAATATACACTACTTCTACGGTTTTTTTTTCGTGATTGTAGAGTTGTACAGGGCAATAGGGCTAAGATAGATCATGGTTGTTTACGACCCCAGCATTTGCAAATCTTGTACTATTGAAGCGATTTTTTTTTAAATATTCGGATAGCCTAGACACATTATACGCAAGTTATTTCAACCCTTCTTCTTTCCCTGGAGAAAAAGATAAAAAAGATTAATGTTGTATTGCGCATCATTTTGTTCAGCATACCACAGATTGCCAGATGGAGGTATACCTACCTCTCCCTCACTTACATTCTTCACCCCACCGCCCTTACTTGCCATGATCTTCGAATCCAGGTGCCCCTGTTCTTTACGCATTTTGCCCAAAAGATAGACGTTAATCGCGTATCCCTCTGAATCACTGCAGCCACCAATAACCACCAACCATACTTTTCCTCACACATCACTTACCCCACCAATCGCAAACCCATCATTTATTTAGAAAAATCCCCATTTTATTGATCTCTCACATGGCAGTAAATCCCTTCCAAATTCCCACCAATCAAACGCCCACGCTGATGAATATTTCTTTTTAAAAAATAAAGAAAGTGCAAAACGAATCCCAGTCTTCCATATTCAGAGTACATAGAGATCCTCCCCAAGTCTTTGTTCCCTACGACTTTGATATTTCCCAAGGAATAACCTCCATGAATCAATAAATCTCTACTCCCCAATCTCCATGCCCTCGGCCCTCTTCCTGTACATTTCCCTCCTCTCAAACGACTCCGGATCTTTACCCGCAGCCTCAATAATATCTACCTTGGGCTGTTCCTCCGTCATATCAACGCGACCAGGTCGTCTCGGCCTCAAGCTCGTCCGTTGAGTAATGGGGTAAAAGTACGCTGCCTTTTGCAATTTGGTGTCGCGCAGGGGTTCAGATTCGTGTTTCTCAGGGTCGTGTAGGGCAAGGGCGACGACATCGCCATAAGTATCGCTGGGGTCACCGACTTGTTGCGATGTCTCGTAGGTGCGGATGTTGTCGTATTTGAAGCACTTGCGAGGCTGGCCTTCGTCATCTTCGGCAATGTCAAAGTCGATGTCGGCTTCGTTGGTGGGGTCGTATGTGGTGAAGTTGCGCTTGATGCCGCGGACTTTACTCTTATCTGAGGGCAGGAAGAACTCAAATTGATAGCGTGCAATGGGTGGTGGGACTGTTGGGTCGAGTTTGTGTGCTTGGAGGTCTTCCATGTATCGTTCTTGGTCTTGGATGGTCTGACCGGCGGGACGAAGAAGAGCGACATCAAGTCGTGGGTCGTACGAGGGGTCGAGTGGGTTGTTAATGGGTGGTGCGGTGAACTTGAAAACCATGTATCCGCCAGTATCGGGTGTAGCGTCCCAGTCTGGAAGAAGCGGGTACGAGTCGAGCAGCTTGAGATTGGGGTTCCTGGGGTGCTTGGGCTTGTTCCACGCCAGTCGCTCTTCAGGTGTCGACTCTGCCGCCCTAATATTCTCTGCATTGTCCTGTCCGTTGTACGCATCTGCTGGGTAGGCAATGTTGAAGCCCTTGAGAATATGTCGCGAGATGTTTGTAGGATCATCGAGGGACGTCTCTACTTGCTTCCGCTTCCTACGCAGGCGCATAGTATTGGACGAGTTACTCGATTCGAACTTAGAACCGCCAGTGGTACTTGCGGTAACGTATTCCGTTCGCCGCAAGAAGGTAGCGCCCGAGACGTGGCTGGTACTCTTTCCAAGCGCATTTGGCGGTCGCATCAGCGCCTTATCTGCGGCACTAAGCGGCGGTGGGTGGGGCATAGCCTGAATAGCTATATGACGCGTCAATCGCTGTGGGACATTTGCGCTGCTGCAGGTTCACTTACCAGACTCATCTCCATCGAATACTTTGGGAATACCGACCAGATCGATGGGCATACCCAGCTCAGCATCAGCTTCAATGTTCAGCGATTGCTCTCGCGCAAGCCTAGATGCAAAGCCCGCCGACGTATACTGCCCGCTCGAGAGGCCGGTGTTGGGAATGTCTAGCAGCTTGGGCGGACATGGTGGTGGAGGCAGCGCATTCGAATATCTGATTTTCGCAATGTAGTCCTGGTGAACGACTGGGCGTCCGGAGCTCATGTTGTCGTTGTGTTAGTATGGATTTCCAGTGATGGTGGTGGTTGCGCGGCTATGAGAGGGCCAAAGAAAGTTGATGAAGCTCGGAATGCCGACGCGCGCCAGGCCTCGCCGCGCCAAGACCATTCCACGCTATCACCAGGGGCGTCGTTCGAGTCCCCTACATACTGCTCAACAATAGCAACATTCAGTACACCGGTTTGCTCTCGAACGCCCGATTTTTGGAAGGCCAGCTCACTTTACATGATATGACATTGATGTGTTTAAACATAACGACCGTAATAATTATTATATAGATGTTCTATAAAGACCCGGCTCCTATGTACAGCCAACACTCATACTATTATCCAGGGTCTGTGCTGTCTAATACCACCATCAAATGCATAACTGCGTTTTTTCTGTACCAAAAAAACGCCATTTTCATGCCAGCTCCACATCGAGGCTGGCGGGCAGAAAAGCCAGCCAGGACCGACGTCTCTCCGCACACATTACAATTGTTCATTGCTCTTTTACTGGGCCTTCCTGAGCTTGGCCATCTTGCGCTCTCTGCGCTTCTTGGAAGCCTCAGCACCAGCCTCGGTATCAAGGACAAAGTCCCACCACCTGAAGCTGCTAGCGTAGTTGCCAATGAACTTCTCGTGGTGGACGTCGTGGTGCTCAGCACCTGCCCAGAAAGGCAGGATGTGGTGCAGACTCCAGGGGAACTCGTAGCCGCTGTGGGCATCAATGGCTTGGAACAGACGTAGCACAATCCAGCAATACATGGTCAAGATGTGAAGGTCCTTGGTGATGGCGCACCACACAATGGGAACACCAACACTGCCGAAACCCAGAACCATGACCTCAATGGGTGAGGCGTACTCTGCTGCGAGACCGAAGGGAGCAGAGTATTGGTGGTGAATCTTGTGGATGTTCTTGTACAGGAATGAGCTGGCGTGCATGAGGCGGTGGGCCCAGTAGTGCCATGCGTCCTCGAAAACGAAGAAAATGGCAATCTGGTATGCCATCTTGTAGATGCTGGGGAAAGGAACAGAGGTCTGGAGGCCAAAGTACTGGCACATGGGGTGGAATAGCCAGATCTGAGGGAGTTCGACAGTGAAGTGGGAGAGGAGGACGAGGAGGGCGCATTGTGTCTGTTCCCAAGCAGTAGGAATTTTGTTCTGCGGTGAATTAGCTTCATCCATGTCAAGCCCATATTGTTGGCAACGCACCTGTTGAATCTTAAAGCGGTTGAAGTAGGGTATGCAGTCGATGATGATCCAGGGAAGCGAGCGGCCGAAGTAGAAAAGCTCGTGGATGGTGAAAGACATGATGCCCGTGGCCAGGATATCGTTGCCCATCCATGCGTACCAGGTCATCCACATCCTCTCGAGGTAGTTGAGCTGCACATTGTACTTGGAAATCTCTTCAAAGGAGCCCCAGTACGTGTCCTGCGCCATGGGCGACAGGATTGAGGTTGCGTTGTTCCTGGAGCGGGTAAGCATGTGTTGGTGTGCGGGATGCGGACTGCGTCAGGGACGTACATTTTGCAGGGTCGCGATGCGCAGCACAACCGTTGTGGGTGGCTCTTTTTTGTACCAGAGACTAGAAGAAAAAAGAAGGAATGACTGCAAGGAGCAGAGGTGGTGAGGGAGCGATTGGCGGTAACGTAGTGAGGGTACGATCAAAGTAGCGGCAAAGGAGGCGGCGGATTAAGTAAATTGCAGATTGGCGGCGCCCTGATCGCCATTCGTACTACTTTCGCCACCCAGGTTCACTGCTGTTCCGAAAGGCCGACGCGTCCACACCACGGCACTAGTGCCTGCCCAGAGATGCCTCCTTGCCGGCTGACCAATCACATGCCGCCCGCTATGACCGGTCTGGGCTGACCGCCTTCTGCAACATAGGGGGCAGCTGGTGTCAAGCCGTTGCCGAAAGATTCTCACTATGTCCTCTATGCCGTCCACTCGGTGGATCGTGTCACGGTGAGCCCACTAACCGCTGATTACACATGAACAGTCGCCAGACCGGCATCTGTGGCGCCTTTCGGCATGTCATACCACCATGGCCAATTGTGGCGTTACCATCAAGTCTTGCCAAGGGGTATACTTGCTCCTCATCTCGAGAGAATTCAAACGGCAGAATAACCAGACATATCCCTGCGCGCTAGCTTATCAGTATGGGTCATGATGTTATCCATTATACGTATCGTATACCCCTTGCCTCTAACTCTAGTCTTGCGACTCGCCCTCAGCCTAATAGTACGCCTTTCTAGAATCTACTCATAACATGTTCATAACGTATCTTGTATGTTGGAAATAAAAAGCCTCAAGCAGGGTGCGCCACTTCCCAAATACAATCCTTCCCAACAGGCTCGATTGGTTCAAGAACCCACTCGGGTCGCCTGAACTCCCGGTTGCTCGAGCCACATGTAGAGGTTGTCGATGGAAGGATGGGCCTCCGGAGCATTCCCTGGACCATCTCTGGTGCAGGTTCCTCAACTAGATGCTCTGCCGGGCTGGGGCTATTCTGCTCTCTTCTCATTGTCCTAGCCAGCACTTGACGATATAATGGCCGCAAGAACGGGATAGAGCCTGCTATGAGACCAGCGTGTTGTTCCACCTGGCTCCATACCAACACATTTGCCGTGTTTATTCTTTGCTGCTCAAAGCTGGACAACCAGAGCACAATCGTGTAAAGTCGAACTACCGACGCTATGATAGCTACGATGCCCACCGAGAAAGTGGCTACGAGCTCGAGACGCCGTCTCAGTGGTATTGCCTGGAGATTCATGAAAAACGCCATCGGCACTGTCCAGATGATCACGTCGGTGACGAGGTTGTAGCCAGCATTGAAGAGCCAAAAAGGCCCTGGGTAATAACATTGCGTGGCTGTCTTACCCTTCACTCCGCCCATGAAGACCTCAAACGACCATGCATCAGCGACTGGATAGCACATAAAGATGGAAGCAAAGGCCATGGCAATCCCACCAACAATGTTGATAAGCAATAGAGCTCGGACGCCGAAGTGGAAGCGTTTGTTCGATGCGGCAATTTCATTGTAGACTGTCATTGCATTAGCTGCATACACATTGGAAATCCAAATTCTGGAACCCCGCAATGTATGGGGTTCAAAGACGAAATACGACTTACACAGTAGGATTGATGTTTTGACAAGGCAGAGGTCGATAATATAGTTCAGTCGGTATAACCAAATTGATAGCAGAGCGCCAACGACGACCCTCTCAATTGTTTCCGGAACATTGGGCTCCAGTATGTCAGTTCTTTTTTCACTTCAATGGGCAGTATTGGCTTACATCGACGCTGCTGTAGTCCATGAATTGGACCATGTACCAGTTGACCACTGTAGATGACCTGTGAAATAGAGCGTGAATGTTAGCCTTTGTATTGCGTGCATGTGTAAAAAGGTGTATCGTACCAGGTCCCTATCTGTGCTAGTGTTAGCTAGGGTTTCTTAATGGGTCATAGATGATCAACCTACAAGTGCCAGGAGCATGATCCAGTCGGGAATAGTAAGCTTTCCAACGATAAAGTATCTGGTGTAAAATCTGAGATGCGTCAGATCAGAGTCTGATGATATTTGTGTGGACACGTGCTCACCTGAGAGCCACCACTATGGTCGACGTAGAGGTGAGCACAAAGGCCAGTACAACGGAAAGCAGTCCATGAGGAGCCATGTGGGCGTAGTGTTGGTGCAAGACGAACGACTATGTCATGGAGACAAACAGATGGAAGTTTGCTGCGTTGGTATTAGGGAGGAGCTGCACAAGTCATGTTCACGTTCGCGCGAAACGGAAACACAAGCCCTGATTATCAAACATATACACGACAGCCAATGGCCCACAACATGGCGCCCTCTAACGCCATCATGCAGCGGGCGGACGGCTATGGGATCATCATAATCATGAGTGGCTTGATCGGGAGCGGAAGCGGGCGAGCAGCGACTCAGTCTCGCTCAAACTGTCCCAAACACACAGAAGGAAATGCCTAAAGCATTGACAAAAGGATGGGATCCTGGTAATACATTACCGAAACATGTGAGCCACCCTGCACGCAGAGTAACATTGCCTCGCTTCCCCACATCCCACCACGGGAGGATTCTCTAGGCGACAGTCTCTGCTGGGTCGTAGCATGGGCCGAATAAATCTTCATATTGAAGACAGGGCCGCGCATGAGACAGCCAGCCAGTTCGATACTTGCTGTAGCCAGTGAGGGTTGCGCCCTTTAGGTGATACGCCCTTCACAGCATACATAAGTATTTACATTAGATCCTGGCTCTTATTGGTGATGCGTTGTGCAGCCAAGCAGGTCATATAGCATGTATGTAAGCCCCAGGGTCCAACTGAGTTTGTTGAATACAAAATGCCTACGTGCCCGACTGATCTGATTTGAGACTACGAGTCAGTCTTCGAGAAGAAAGGGGGGGCGGTATGTTTCGAACTGACGCCACCGCTACGACATGCGCGAGGCTGAACGCAGAGGTGTTGGGCCGACATGTCCAGTGAATATATCTGAGTTGCTCTATGCTAAGGCATGTGACATGAAGAAGACATGGCATGCAACAAGTGGTGCTCGTCGCAGGACCCTGCCAGTTGCGATTAGAGAAGCAGGGAGTGCAACTCCTTGTTGGGCTGACGTGTCCATGTGCTGTTGTTGGAGGCTTTCCTAGTCTGTTCGACGCTTGGATACATTACATGTCTAGACGCGTCGAGGGGCGGTGGTAGTAACGCGGAAGTGAGCCGCGGCCGTCCGCCTAGCGCGTTCTAGTGATATCATCGCTACGGGCAAAAGTATTCATCATCGTCGCAACTTTGTTACTCGGCATGTTCTATTGTAGCGTCGCCTGATACACTGTCTTTGATACCCTAATTTTCATCGCGATGCCTTCACCTACACCATAGCCTTCTGGCTTGCGTCCCTTTCCGCTGTGCGCCTGCCCGCTGTTGCCTTCAGCGCACCTTCCCTTGATTTCAAGCTGATAGTGGCGGGGCTTCACCTGTCAGTCTTCACTCGTCTTGGCCCACAATAGATCCCTTCGAACTCCTGCCTCTTGTTCAAAGCTCGTCCTCAAGATGTCGTCGCCCTCTGTACGCGAAGCGTCAGCTGTGGCGCCTGGCATCACAATCGACGACGCTCCAGCCGAAGATGGCAACCAGATCCCAGACGAAGGCATCGCCTCGGATGCAGACGAAACAGAGAGACTCAAATTCCTGACAACCGGTACTCGAGCACAAGACGACTTGGAACGAGATATTGGCCGGCAGGCCGACCAGATGCTCATAGAGCAGGCAGATGCTCGGGACAAAAAGCGCATAGAAAAGTTGGAGGCTGAGGCAAAGCGAGCAGAGGCCGCTATACAGAAGCTCAAAAACCGTTTGGCTTTACCAGCTCTCGATACACAGAAGGCAAAGCTACGTGGGGAGATGGCAGCATATCGGCAGAAGATCGACGACCTGGATAAAGAGATGGATGGCATACAACAGCGCATCAACGATCGCCACAAAGAACCTGGGGTAGATGAAGCAGCGGGAGATAGCGCAAATGGGCCCCTACCCAACGAAACACAGCGTGAATGGCTTATTCGTACAGGAAAAATTACACCTTTTTCCAAGTTGGCGCAGAACCAACCGGGCTCGGGGACCCTAGGAGAGGTCATGCTGGACGCCGAGGTTGAAGACATAGTAGTCGAGGCAGCAAAAGGACCTGTTTCGCACCGTAATCTAATGAAGCCTGGCTTTGAGGACGTCGAGTCCAGTTCAGAAGCTCCTAGTCCACATCCTCCAGCACGGTCTAGGAAGCGAAGGAAGGCTACTCCTGCTAGCGAGTCTGGTGCAGACCTCGGTTTTACAGACCCGGACTCTGATGATGCCTTCGAGCCTGGTATGACCGATCGCCAGCTTGCAACGTTAGATGAGTCGGACGAAGACGTGCAAGACACGGCCGAAGATGACTCCTATGCAGAGGAGGCTACCGGTCGCAAGCGCAAAGCCAAGGGCAAAAAGCCGAAGAAAGCCAAAGCTGCATCTACAGAAGGAGCAGTGGTTGAGGATCTTGCAGGTGTTGATGATGGTAACGAGCGAGTCTACCGAAAACGCGTAGAGACTTGGTCAAAGAACCGAGCAGCTGCAAGAAAGAAGGCGAAAGCCAATAATGGCGAGACAACTGCGGAGGAAGAAGGAGAAGAAGAGTGTTACCAGCCTCATCCTACCGAAACCGATGCAGAGTTCGATGGTGGATTTCGAATTCCTGGTGATATATATCCAGCATTGTTCGACTATCAGAAGACGGGTGTGCAGTGGTTATGGGAACTGTATTCTCAAAATGTGGGCGGTATCATTGGAGACGAGATGGGTCTTGGTAAAACAATACAGGCCGTCAGCTTCGTTGCAGGCCTTCATTATTCGAGGCTACTTACCAAGCCTGTTATTGTAGTATGTCCAGCAACTGTTATGAAGCAGTGGGTTAATGAGTTTCACCGTTGGTGGCCAGCACTACGGGTCTCTATCCTACATACATCTGGTAGCGGTATGCTAGACACCCGACGCGAAGACCGCATAGAACGAGAGATGGAACTTCGAAACTATGGCGACTACGATACGACTCTGACTGGCGCCGGTAAAGCTGCTAAGAAGATACTTGAAAAGGTCAAGCGGGATGGACACGTACTCGTCACTACTTACTCGGGGCTGCAAACATACGCTGAGTTTTTGATTCCGACTGAATGGGAATGCGCCATCTTAGACGAGGGACACAAGATTCGGAACCCCAATACTGCCATTACTATTCACTGCAAGGAACTTCGTACACCAAACCGCATCATCCTTTCGGGAACTCCAATGCAAAACAATCTAACGGAACTTTGGTCACTGTTCGACTTCGTTTTCCCTATGCGGCTTGGTACCCTTGTCAACTTTCGCAACCAGTTCGAATTTCCAATTAAGCGTGGAGGATATGCAAATGCTTCGAATCTAGAATTTGAGACTGCAGTTCGATGCGCTGAAACCCTGAAAGATGCTGTTAGCCCATACTTGCTCCAGCGTTTCAAGGCTGATGTTGCAACCGATCTGCCACAGAAGAAAGAACAAGTGCTGTTCTGTAAGTTGACAAAACAGCAGCGACAAGCTTACGAATCCTTTCTAGCATCAGAGGATATGAGGTCAATTGCAAACGGCAAGCGCCAGATGCTTTACGGCGTCGACTATCTTCGCAAGATATGCAACCATCCTGACCTTACGGAGCACAAGACTCTGTCCAAGAAGCCTGGGTACGACTATGGCAATGCCAATAAGTCGGGAAAGATGCAGGTCGTCAAGGAGTTACTATCCCTGTGGAAGAAGGGCGGACACAAGACGTTACTCTTTGCCCAGCACCGCATCATGCTTGACATCCTGCAAAAATTCATTAGCCAGCTTCCTGATATCAACTGGCGCCGAATGGATGGCGAGACACCCATCAAGGACCGGCAAAACATGGTGGACGAGTTTAATACGGATCCGAACCTTCATGTTTTCTTACTCACCACGAAAGTCGGTGGCCTTGGTGTCAATCTCACAGGTGCCAATCGCGTTATCATATACGACCCAGATTGGAACCCTTCGACTGATATTCAGGCTCGAGAGCGATCGTGGCGTCTAGGACAGAAGCGAGAAGTCGAGATCTACCGCCTCATGTCGGCCGGTACTATCGAAGAGAAGATTTACCACCGTCAAATCTTCAAGCAGTTCTTGACCAACAAAGTGCTGAAAGACCCAAAACAGCGACAGACGTTCCAGATGAGCGACCTGCACGATTTGTTCACACTTGGTGTTGAGAGTGCAGAGGGGGAGACGGAAACCGGCAACTTGTTTCGTGGCTCCGAAGTCAAATTCGAAGAGGATGGCAAAACAGCAGAAGGTGAAAAAGACGATGCTACAGCAGCCAAGGATCTAGCAGCTGTAAAAGGCATATCACGATCTGAAGCTTTCAAAGCTCCTGTTTCCGACTCTGAAGAGACTCCCACTACGAACGAAGATGGGACTGCTACCGACGACAAAACCCCTGTCGATTCCCGTCTCATGTCGACCATATTCGCCAAAACCGGCGTCCACTCAGTGCTCGAGCACGACGCCATTATGAACTCGACATCCGGCGGACGCAAACGCAAAGTGCAAGCCGATCCCGCCTACATCCAACGCGAAGCAAAGCGACAAGCCGCCCTGGCAGCCGAGCAGCTGAAGAAAAGCATGGAAGAAGCGAGAAACGTGCCCGCAGGAACCCCAACCTGGACCGGTCAATTTGGTCAAGCAGGACGCCCCGACGCTCCTCGCGGAGGAGGCCCATCTACGCGCGGTGGTCGCGGTGGTCGCGGAGGTGGTCGCGGCGGCCTCCCCTCCTCAACCTCGATCCTCAACAACCTCGCCGCGCGTCAAGGCCGGCTAGTGCCCAGCAGCAGCACGACATCAGACGCCCCCACCATCGCTGCCACTACCACGACGCCCCAGACTTTCCGGGGCCGCCGCATGCTCGAAATGATCCGTGACTTTATGCTTACCCATGGCGGCACAGTCCCTAGCCGCATGCTCGTCGACCACTTTGACCACTACTGTCGTGCGCAGCCCGGTAGGAACGAAGAGTTCAAGGAAATGCTCAAGTTGATTGCTACGCTCGAAAAGAGCGGGAGTGCGCAGAGGGGGAGGTGGGTGCTCAAGGATGAGTGGAGGACTCCTGCGAGGGGGACTTCGAGTGTTCGTCGTGGGTAGGAATGCTAGTACTGTACAGAACTTGTGAATGAGTAAGAGGGAACGTGGAGAAAAGAAAGTTTAGGTCCCAGATCCCTTTCGCTGCAGGGCCAATATTTTTCTCTGCAATTCATTCCCTGGGATGGATGGATGAATAGATGGAAGCGTCCTCTTTTTGTTTTTTTCTTTCCATTTCTTTTCTTCTCGTCTATTTACTCTGGCGATCTTAGCGTAGGGGTCCATGAGGTGTGCTTACCGAGATACCATTTGCCCATTTCGGGATTTTTCTTATCACCATTTTGTTTTGCAGGATATTTTATTCTTTTAACATGTTGCTTATTGGGTGGGTGTGCGGAGGTATTATGTAAAATTTACTGATTGGACGTCAACAATGGCTGTTTGTAAGAGAAGTATTCTAGAGATGTAGAGGACAATAGCAGAATGTCCTTGAGATGTCGTGTACATGGCAGAATATGGAGTGTGGTATCGGTGGATCATGAGATTTGCACGAGAAAAAGGGACAGTCCCAATAGGGCACTAGAATTCGTATTCATCTTTTCTCCTCTCTCTGCTCTCTCCCCCGCCTTTGCTACACGGCAAAATATTATCCTATGGATCATAGGTTCACAAAAACATCTCCTCAGCTTGTCCTTCCCATTTTCCGTTCCTAAATGACAAACCTAAATAAAAAAACTCCTTTGCAGCGCCGAATGCTTGGGTACCCTGAGCTTTGCTTCCCCTCTCAGAAAAGACTAAAGGAGTGCGGCTAGGGGATCTGCCTTGGCTCTGTCGTCTGCTTTGTGCAAGTCGGTCGAGAGGCAAAAAACAACAATAAACCGAGACCAACGGCCGTTGCAACACCCACCAAGGTGCCGCCAATTTTTTTCTTTAAAACAAGTAATCTAAAGGAGTGATGAGAATTCGCTGTGTGTACACGTAGATATATCGACAGGAGTGAAGCGTAAAGAAGGAATGCCGTTATCGTAAGCGACCAAGGATCGAGTCTTTGCGTTTGAGCGTCTCTGGAGGGGGGTGTGGCGGAGAGGCTAAATCGGGATGAAGTCGAGCCAGACTGGATTGTTTCATCACCACAAGCCAAATTGGTATGTGAAGTACACTAGCGAGCCGACTGTTGTTCCGCAGGTGAAGAGCATGGTTGTGAGCGTCATTCGTTCGAGATTAGACAGGGCGGCGTTGCAGTTGGGGCAGTTCCAGCCATCTGTATTTTGTTAGTCCATGGAGTTTACCAGAGAAAAGAACTGAACAAGACTTACCCTTGAGGGAGGTGTATGGCTGGGGCAGGTACATGCCAAAGGTGAAGCCGCTGAAAGCACCCAAGTAACCAGCCCGCGCTGGTGCCGTGGCAGTCGAGTTGGAGTCGTAGATGAGGAGCTTGTAGTTCTCGGTCAAGAAGGGTGCCTGGCCCTCTGGGGTCTCCTTGGTGTTCCATACCACCTGTGTCTCGGCGGAAGACATGTTGACAGCGATGGTGTATGTAGCTTGGTTGGCGGTGCAGGAAGCAAGGACGTCGATGGCTGTGGGGGTGACGGAGAGGGATGTGTAGTTCCAAGCGAACGTGATGTAGTCGCCAACCTTGTAGTATTGTGAACCAGCAAGAGCATCCGGAGTGACCATGGTAATACCACCGGCGGGAAGTCGGGGATCGAAGGTTGTTGACTTTGTTGGCTTCTTGGTGGTCTTGCTGCCCGATGCTTTGCCTGTGGGTGTTCCGGTCTCTTTAGGGTCGGATGCGGTCTTGTTATCGTTATTGTCACCGCTCTTGTTGTCATTGTTGTTGCTGGTCTTGTTGTCGTTGTTGTCACCGCTCTTGTTGTCATTGTTGTCATTGTTGTTGCTATCACCCGTGGGCTTGGGGGCCGGTGTGCTCGCTGGGGCATCTGACGATTTTTTGTCGTTGTTGTTGTCGTTGTTGTTATTGTTATTGTTGTTGTCTATAGGTCATTCCGTTAGTATCCATGCCGTGATCGCCTGATTTTGTTTGGGTGGAAACATACTGTCTTGTCGTCCAAAAAGCACCTCCTTGACGTCAGCCAGACCGTGGATGTTGTCAAAGGCATCCGAGATGGCATGCGTGACTGAGGACATGGCCACGACGGCCGCGAGAATCCGAGCTGGTCTCATGTTTGCCAAGAAATTAATGCCAAAAGCTAAAAGCGATTATATTGTCTCTTCCTCGAGCTTCGAAGTGCCGCAGACAGGTCGCGTAGAAATTGAGCGAGCGAAGGCGCAGAGGGGCGGGCAAGAGACTGTCGAGGACCGAGTGGGTGGTAGTGCAGGTATTCGGGGGGGCGGGAGTAGTGTCAACAACTAGGGCCGATGCAGGTGCGACGCCAGGGTAAAAAGGGATTACGCAAGCCGTGAAGAGGGTACTCCTTCGTCCGTTGAAACGAGTGACTGGCGAAGGTTAGAATTCCTGACGGAGAGGATGCGGGAGGCGTGGGGTGGGAACGAGGGTGAGGCGGGACGGCGAGAGGGAAAGAAAGAGAGTTTGTCGATGATTCAGGGCTGATGAAAGGAGAGCCGGGCCTGGTTGGTCTTTGCGCGCAGTGGCAGCAGAGCAACATCAGCAAGCGGACGGCGGAGGCAAACTAAGCCAAAGGGGGCCGCCCGCCGCGCTACTGGGCGATGGCCACGCTAAATATAACATTCAGGCTCCGCATCCCAATTATTGTCCGAGGTCATTCCTCATGCACTTTCGTATTCCATTCTTGCCAACACCCTTTTTCGTCCACATCAGTCGAGGCCATTACGACGATCTTGCGCATGCCTTTCCCTTGTTGTTCAAGTCGTTGAAGGCAGTCCAGTGCGTTGCGGCCACCCGCCCCGTGCGGCCTCGTCCCAGCACGAAAATCCTTCTTTATTTTTGTTGCTAAATTACTCCAATTTCGGACACTGCATAGCTACGTAGTATTCCCACACTCGTGCGGCTGAAGGTGCATCACCACACACACCACATCATCATCTCCCCATGCTGCCCTCTCATAGGTGGCTTGATTTGGAAGATGCACACTACCTGGTGAAACCGTTGGCCGCGATCATGACTAGGGACCCCTGAACATATCGGGCTTAGTCCACCATTAGGCCCACTCTGCCCCCTTATGGAAATGCTCTACATAAGTATACTTACATATACTACAAGGCGACGTTGAGGCGCAGCGTAGTAGACGTTGATGTCACCAAGACAGATATCTATTATATACCATATCATACCGAAAAGCGCGCTTTACCTATAGTAGATAAGCTCTTTGCATGGCTGACGTACAGTACTTACATCCCTTTGTAACGGAACAACCTCCATAACAGATAAAATTGCAGGCATTGTGACTTCACAGCAGTATCATAGCCTGTAGACACCGTAGAAGATATATTTGTCTACCCAGATATATACGAGGGTCGATTTGAATTCAGTATGTGCCTTCCAACATGAAATTTACAGTGGTGTAGATACCTTCCTCCCAGATATGCCAAGACACTGCTTCATCTCAATAATAAGCCTCACTTTCCACAAGGCCACCACTATCACTTCGATCCATTGTAGCGATAATAACAATCCGCATACAAGAGTCCCTTTCAGAAAGTCTACGAAGCACTGAGGAGCAAGCAAGAGCACATCACGCCATTCATCACGCCTCCATAGCAGCAAGGGCCACATCATGAAATCGCCGGCAACGCAGACAAGGCCTGAGACCGCCACGACGCAGAATGCGTAACAGACAACAATCTTAGCATCCACACCGACGGTAGCGGTATGCCCACTCATACAGTAGATACTGTCTGTACACATGAGGCCAGACACCCTATCGACATTGCACACAGCCTTCGCAGCTGTACCTAGTTAGAATAACGCTCATAAAGTGGTTCAAGACACTAGCAGAAAGGGCTTGGTTTAGTGCATGGAGGGAAGACAGAAAAGGCCGCACGATACACAGGTACATGCCGGCGCCCACCAAGAAAGTGCTGCAGCTCAGCAAAAGGGAAGGCGCGCTGCTAGTGCATCTGCGAACCGAGAAGATAGACCTCAACGACTTCCTCTTCTATTAACATGGTCCGACCGTTACCAGTCCCCGCAGCGGTTGTGGACAGAGACGGCAGATCGTCGCCCACTTCCTCCTACACTACAGTAAGTACAAGGACCCCGGGAACCGCATCTTTGCCGATCTATCCGGACGATACAGCCTTGGGACGATTCTAGACACGCTGCGGCTAGCCACTAAAGTTATAGACTGCACTCCCTAACGTTTTCTCTATCTTCTACTATGCAGTCATACAGTCTAAAGGCAACTTAGATCAATCTCCTCCCGCCTATTCTTCACCACAACCTTTTGTTTATCGTTAAAAATATACTCTGCCCCAGCAAAAGGCGTCCAAAATCTTCCTTCCTCCGTAAACTTCCAATCCTACTTGACGAGCAAGTAGACTATAATAATATTGATCTCATTGCTGGCGAAAAAGCGGCCAGGGCAAGTATGCTTTCTGTATCCGAATCCCAGATGCTCAGGCGACCCGGTAACGAATTGCCACCGACTCTGATCAGTGTCGCGCAGCTTGAGAAACCGACCTGCTTCGAAGTGCTCGCTCTTGGGGTACAGAGTTGGGTCCGAGAATCGGTGTTCGACGGCGAGTTTGTAGCCTCTGGGGATTATGGTGCCGTTGGAGAAGGTTACGTTGGATAGAACTACGCGTTGCGTCCCGACTGTAAATTTTAGATATATAAATAGTTCAAAGTGGGAGCTAGTGCTTACGACCAGTCAGCTTATTCAAGCGCTGCGATTCTTTCATCGCGCTACCAAGCAGCTTCATCGAAGCCAACAACGTCTTTTCCGGCCATATTTCGAGAGAGTCGACACTACCTCTTCCCTGATTTGTGAGATCCAGTGCTCATTCTCGACAAGATCGCACATTAATCCCGATATCATTTCCGTAGTAGTATGCACAGCCGCGAACGAGAGGAATAGCTGTAGTTCGGCAAAATCAATCTTTGTCTTCTTCGCCCTAGCCTTGTCATCAATCCAGCTAATTATATCAGCAGTTTTTTCAGTAGCCTCGCCATTAGCTTTCTTCTGCAGCCGTTTCTGAACGAGTGGATTGATGATTTCGCGTGACTTTGCAACTTGCAGCCTGCATACGCGAAGGGCGGGCATCCACCATTGCGCAATGGGTCGAAAGATTGGATGTAAACTGCGCAGTTGATAGATTACCCTCATGGAGTTTTCAGTGTAGGTTACGTCTATATCGATCCATTCGGCATTGTCTGAGAGTTCTGGGCCAAGGAAGACGCGGCAAGAGACGCGGGCGGCTAAACGGTGAATGAGGGTTTTTAGGTCTATGGTTTTCCAGTCTTTATGCAGAAGTCTTGTTAGTGTGTATAATGACTTTGGTAAAAAAACGACAGCGTATACCTTGAACATTGCCTAGCATGTCCATGAGAACGGCTTCGACTTCGGTGTTCATGTCTTCAGTGATGCTATCTGAAGATATGAGTACGGTTACACCATGTAAAACTTGCAGTGCATACATACCCAAAGATCAGGTAAGATTAAGCCGGATGACTTCTTGAGTAACGTCGTGTTGATCAATGACTAAGAATGGAGTTAATCCCTGATAATGGCTCAACGCGTCCTATTATAAGTGACACAATCAGCTACATCCAACCACAATATAGCTTCAATCAAACTTGACCCACTTGTATCAAAGGTCTGACAAAGTGAAGCTCTTTCATATTCCGTATTTCATCCGCAAACGAGTTTGGCAGAAAGACCAAAGGCCCTGTAGAAGAAACCACTGCAATAGCACCTTTGATCTACATCAACCGTCAGTGGATGCTATCATTTGTCCATTCACAACTTTGTATTACTTTTTTTTTCATTCCTCCATAAAGAGTCTCCTTAGTGCCCACAACAACCCACTGCTCTCGCGCCTTGAATGGATTTTTCAACGCATCCTCAATAAGAGTGTACCAAGTCGCATTCGTAGCCACGCGTTGATCAAGGACAAAGAAATAAGAGATGCCCAGCGAGCATGCCACCGTTACTGTAACGATACAAGCAAGCGAAGCATCATAGCGAAGATCGTGGGTGGGCACCCAATCCATGGATCCCGCCACGTAGCTGATAAAAGCGTCCTTATGCACACGTGCCCCCCTAACCGTCAATAAAAAGGTGCCACTGGATCTTGTCTCGGCTATGAACATGTTACATCCCGTCACCGGGCTGTTTGCTACTAAGTCTAACATCTACTCTGACAACCCCTTGGAAGTAGTCAGTCTCCCCTCGCGGGGACAGGGCATCCCCCCACCCCCCCCCCCCTTCCTTAACGGAATACTTATTCACCTCTTTGTGTGGGGAAAAGGCCAAGTTACATGATCTTCTGACGTGCACGCCCTCTCGGTCGACTGATGAAGTCTGAGATAGCATTGCCCCAGCTCCGATTATATGGAAATCCGGTTATACCTGTATTCCTGTTGCAATACTGGCGGTAGTATACTTGATATACACTCACGGCTTGGTAAGCATAGAGTCAGCGTACGTATCTAATCTTAGTTTTGCTTAAGATAATATCGTGGCGGTTTGTTTTTGACGGACTCTCTCTCTCGGTCATCAACTAGGTGAAGTCGGAGATAAGATCGCCCAGCTCCGATGGTACTACGTACTTATGAGGCTTGCTTGGTCTGGGTTTGCTGGTTTCAAGCCGATCGACCGAGAGGAAGCCAATTATTAGCCTTCAGCCTTTTGTCCCATATTCAAGGAGAGGAATTTTCCACTTTTTTACTTGCAACAGTTGTACAAGGTGTTGTTGGAGTGGCCTTAGAGTGGAGTATGCATTTTGATAGGCGTCTCGGCAAAAAAAGTAATCCGCAAACCCGTATAATAATAATAATAATACGTTAACCTTGAGTATTTGTATACTATATACTACGTACTAGATCTGTAAAAAGTGTCATTATCTAAATAAAAAAAACTAAACTAAATAAAGGGTATCCCGCTTATATCCAACCCCCCATCTACTCAAAAGTAATTTTTTCCCCTCTCAAAAGAAGTCGGCTATAGTGTCATTTCGTTTCTTCTCAAACATAGCATCACCGCTTGCCTTCCCACCACGCCTTGTCCTTCTCCCGACGATGTGGCATACTTTCTCGGATATCCGTTTCGCGATCGCTGGCAAATTCAACACTCCTCGCGCGGCTGCGACTCCTCGCTCGGTCCATCTTCGTACTGCTCCTCCGCGCTGGGGGCTTGTCGTCAACTGGAAACGTGGATCTTGGTGAGAAAGTTTCTCTACGACTCTTTCGGGGCGAGACAGGGCTGCCCAGTCCACCTACTTTGGAGTTTGAAAAATCAGCTGACATTGGCCGTGGCGCTCGTCGCTTGCTCTTGGTCGAGCTGGTCGCAGGTGGCTTCTTCACATAGTCGTATGTTGCCGGATCCCGCCGCGCGAGCTCCCTCTCTAGCCTCCACAACGGTGCTTCGGGCAGCACTTTGACCGCGTTTGCGTCTCTCCACTTGATCTTCCAGAAAACTTCGGCGTCGCCTGCGCGCGAGTTGTTCGAACCGTAGTCAACCACCAATTTGTAGCTGTCTGTCAGTGCCCGCGCTTCGTACAAGCCCCGATCTTGCACTCCAGGGCCTTCTAGGCGGAACCGCGTGCGGACCGAGGGATGAATGTACTCATTCGTCTGCCGCAGCGGTCGGTCTGTTGCCCGACCCGTATACGGGTCAACTGCAGTGTATTGTCCAGGTTTGCGTTGCTTTCGTATTTGTCAGCCCAAACTTCCCAAAACAATAAAAAGTAGAAAAAAAAACCTACAGAACTTCCACCTATTGCAAAAGCCCCTTTGAGCTCGCTGTAGATTTTACCAAAACTCCATGGTCGGATGGCGCCCTCTTCTTTCTTGTAGTACTTCTCATTGAGATCGTCCTGCTCGAATAAATATTCACCTCGCATGTCCAAAAATGGCTCCAGCTGGCTCATCATCCACGCAAGACTAATATTGGAAATCTGCATATCGTCATAACCGCCTCCTACGTTTGCGTGCGCACCTGGAAACCACACTTGGCGGAGCGTGGTGCGGTTGCCCTCGGGCTTTTCCCAGATAGCAGGTGCAAATGATGATCGAGTCTCGTCCAGAGCAAGAGCCTGGAATGCATTTTCCACACAATTGGAAAGTTTAGTGTCGTAAAACGTCGTTGCTTTTGATTGCTTCGACTGCAGACCTGCACGCTGCAGTATTCCAATTCTGGGTATTCCAAGGCTTCCGACTGTATCCCACACGGCAATGCATTTGATCGGAATGTCGAGTCTGGTCAGGCCCCGGCGCTCCAACTCCTCTGCATATCGTGGATCCCCGGCGCTTGGTTTCCGTGGAAATGGGATATCCTCATGTTTTGGCCGGTAGTCCTCGTTCCTTCGGTTTTGGACGTCTTCATATACTTCTGGTAAAGTATTCAAGCCTTTTTTGGTGAGGAGACCGATTTCTCCAATCAATCCACCAATGCTGCGCGCAGTGAAGGCGCCTCTGGAGAATCCGAGTAGGAAAATTTCGTCTCCTGGATGGTAGTTATTTGCAAGAAATGAGTAAGCTTCTCGAACATCTTCAGCAAGGCCTTTGCCTGTGCTGCCTCCAACAAGACGAGAAATCTTTCCGCCTTCGGTACCGAGACCTTGTTGGTAGTTTACAATTTGCTGGATTCCATCTTGGCTGACTGCTTTGATAGCTCTTGAGATCCGGGTGATGTTGCTTGGGATGGAAAGCGTGCCATTCTTGGTTCCGTCATCCGAGTTTAGCCAAGTGCCGTCACAAGCAACAATCAGCCTCTTGAACATTCCTCTGCCGCCACTCAATCCAGGCGCGTCTACGGCCGGCTCAACTCTGCCTCTACTCCTACTTCTTGTCCTCGGGGTGGCGGGCACATCGACAATGAGGGGCGATTTTGCGCCGCTTCGTGGGATATCCACAACAATTGGTGATGAGTTCAGGGGCGCTCTTGTGCTTGGCGCCCGACTTCTGCTTCTGGCTCGCGACATGGCTACCGACATTTTGTTCCTTAGGTTGCGAGTCCTCTGTAAATGTGATTTTGAAAAAGGTAGTTGTTTTCGGGGAGGATTAGATGAAGGCCTGGTCCAGGGAGAGGCGACTATGTTAATATGGCTAAGTCTCTTGCGACCGCGGCGTGATTTGCTGACAGGCAACGCGGCTGATCGTGGTTTTGTATGGCCGGGCGTCGATGATCGAGGGTGCTGTGTTGGCTTTCTGCAGGACAGCAGCAGCAGTGTGGTTGTCCGTATCCAGGGTCCAATTCCCGTATGCCACGTGAAGAGTCTATGAGGAAATGTGTTTCACCTTTACCCACTCAACCTTGAACGATGCGACCGGAGGGCTGTGTGGTGAATGCTCAGGCCAGTTGTTTCCGTCACCAAGTGCGAAGACTGGTCCGGCGCAAAGTAAGCGAGACAGTCAGGAACCTCAGCAGCCCTGGGAGCCCGCAACAAGCACTTTGACGCAGGGCACAAAGGAGGCGCGGATTGAAGGGGCCTGGGGAGTCGATAAGGGAAAAAAAGATGGTAGAGCGGACGTGTCGCGGCGCGCACAGCGCACTGTTGTTTCCTCCGTGAGGTTGGGCGCCGGCTTCAAAGCTTTGCTGTAGGCTGGGGTGCCCAAGTCATTGGACTCGCTTACCCAGCCTCTTTTTCTGCGAACAGGCGATTGCACAAGATGGAGAATTGTCCTGAGCTTTTCAGAAAAACCGTCGACGGGTATGCAGAGAATTTGCTTGTACAGCGTTCACCCCTCGGTGTAGTGTACTGTTGGTGGAAAGTGAGGCGGTCTCCAGCACATCGCCCTCGACCGCAACTTGTCCACCAGGCGTTGCCAATCATAAGCTCCCTTCCCCTCTGAGACTAGGACCGTCTGGGTCAGATCGAGGCACGCATTGGGCACAGGTAGACCTGCCGGTGAGGGCCCAATTTTTCCACTCTGTTCTGCATTAGACCAATGCCAGGTGTACTGTAGTCTTAGGTGCAGAAATCATACAAGTCGGGCGGTGAGCAAGCGGTACGTGGATAGTAAGGGAGCCCGGCCCCCCAAGCTTTGGCGACAACATTCCCGTACATACATACATACATACAGTCACAAGCAAATAAGCAAACACCGTGACCGCCGCGCTGGCAAAAAGTTCCAAATGTTGAAGCATATTAACTGTTTTTCCAATTTCAAGAGCTTTTATATAGCAGTCCTGTTCCCTTCCATTTCTACCCATTTGCTTGTCGCGCGGGGCGGGTGGCAACAGTGCCACATGTTTGCCCGCACTCCTTTGCTCCACAAATTCCCTCGCCAAGTAACAATCCAGCGCATCAGCCAGGCGCCTCAGCGCCCGTCGCAACGAATACACTCTACACTTATCGTACAGAATTCCTTCCTAGACTCCCACATCTCAAGAACTCCATGCGATATCCCAACATCCCTAGAGTGCATAATGAATGCAGCGCGAGCGGCAAAACGAATCCTTCTAGGACATACGCTGTAAAAGAGCATAAAAGAAAAGACGATAATGAGGTGAGAATACAATGAATATAGTCGAAGTAGATGAGAGAACATGTCCCAAGAGAATCGTAAACATCGTGTGCCGGAAAAGCGCAGATTTGGCTGATGGTTTAGTAACCACCAAAAAGATCGTCAAGCTCGTCCAGATCAATAAGCTCCGGGCTCCTCATAACCCAGTCATCGTCAAACTCGAGTTTTATCTCTTTGCGCTTGAGCGATGGTGGCGGCATGTCGATGTGGAGTGTAGGCCTGAGTGCAGGGCTGCTGGGCGAGAGTGCGGAATTGTAGCTCACGACCTGATCCATTTGACCAAAGAGAGTGGCCGCCGCTTCGGAATCTTTGCGGGCGGCGCTTTCAACCGTCTCCTCGACGGAGGTGGCGATTTCTTCCATCTTCACATCGCTGCTTTGTGTCGGCTCAGCAGATGCGCTGGCAGATCGTGCACGCTCCGCTTCTTGGCTCATCCGGCGTTGTTGAAGAAACGACGCAGTCTGGGTGAACTCGCGTTCGTCCTTTTCTAACGGAGGTGATTGGGCGCGGCGGTTGTGTGAAATGTTGGCGGTTGTAGGAGGATGGGTTTGGTTGGAAAAGGGGTCACTGGTGTTGCTGTCGTAGTCGGAGAGATCGAGTTCTGGAGACGGCGACATGCGATCTCGTGATCTTGCGTCCATGTCCTCTTCTTCTTCCGATGTAGCAGACGAAAGTGACGGCGTCACGATGCGCGGTGCGATTGGGGCATTACCCCCGTCAGCAGGAATCGGTTGGTGTGGGCGTGTGGAAAGGAAGTAGTAGACACGCTTTGGGTGCGTGCCAACAAGCTTCTTGTCGAGGGGACATCTCGATAACGCGGTCCAGTTGCGCTTGAGGTATGTGGCTAGACGTGACGAGATGATGGCTGCTGGGTTGGCAGAGCTAGCGCACATCAGCATAAGTAATTATGAACACGCGCCAAGGTTGGTTACGTACCTCTCGACAATGGGGATGATGGGCGATAGAACAAGGGCAAGCTCCTTGAGTAAATGGGGTCGGTTGCCTGTCTTTTCGAGCTGCTCGATAACACCGACAACAATCTCGTCATCAATACCTTGAGTGTCGATCTTGGCGGTGCCGGACTCGCCGCCTGGTGACGGTGGCGGGGTGTCGGCGACGCGGCCTGAGCTTTTGGGTCGGTGCTCGTCGATACGCAGCGCCGATGGGCGTGATGGTGATGCAAGCGAGGATGAGAGAGAGCCCGAATGTGAGCGTTTCTGTTTCTTTGCGGCGTGCTGACCGTCGCTTGTCGAAGGCGGTGAGCGCACCGTTCGGGGCGCTCCTGGGAGCTGGATGCCGAGTGACGGCAGCGACAGGGACTTGCGGCGGGTGTTGTAGGGCATCTTGTCGCAGCGACTCGGTCGCAACAGTTGCGCAAGCGGTAAGATAAGAGAAGAAGACAAAGGGTAACCTTTGCAGGGAGAAAGATATATTATTAAGGCTGGTAATGGGTGTGCAGCCACAAGTGTTTGGTGACTGCGAGAAGGCTCAGGGATGTGGATTGGTCGGGTAGGAATGCACTACAGCCTATGCCACCAAGCGCTGCCGCCGAAATATGCAACTTTCTTCTGCACTGCAGGGATGGCGTCGAGGAGGGCGCCTGATTACTGTGGGCAGGAGGAGGAGGGATGGTCGTCGTTGGGTGTGATGGTGGTGATGGTGATGGTGGTAGTGTTGGAGGAGGTAGAGGTGGTAGTAGTGGGTGAGTGCTGAGAGTGGCACTCGTGTCGTCGCAGCTACGCAACTTGCCTCCTGAAGGCAGCAAATAGACAAGGCAGCGATGGCAAATGGGTTTGCCTCTAGTAGGAAGACGGCAACGAGAGGTTGCAACAGCACAGCAAAGTGTCGCCGCAACAGCACAGCAAGCAAAGAACTAGAGAAAGAGGCAAGGCGCGAGACGCGGGCAGCACAATGGACAATGGTCCCTGATGGAGTTCGAGGGGTGGTGGGAGGAGGGGGGTGGGATGTTGTGAGGGAAAGGTCAGAGGCGTGGTGGAGCAACTGGGTGAAGAAGGAGCGACTAGGCTCCGGCAGGAGACCGTGCGCTGCTGGTAGTGGGAGGGTGAATGTACCCAGTCCAGTAATGCTCAGGCTGGTTATGACAGCATACTACTTTTAGAGCCCGTTTTTGCTTTGTTGGCCAGGGGCTAGAGCGTTACGCTCCTATCAAGATGCCGTGGCCGCCCGCATGTACCACGCGGCAACGTACTTGTACATAGTCTCCAGCAGCCAGACAAAGTAGAGTAGTCGCCCCTCCAGGCCTGCCTTCACCGGCTGGCTGCTCTCACGCCTTGTGCACAAGGCGTGGGCTCGGCCAATCCCACTGTTGCCATTGACGGCTTGCCCCTCTTGTTGTGTCAAGCCTGGATCTGTTAACATCTGGCGCCGGGCACGAGATAAGTGGACCTTGCTAAACCATGCTTGTGGGAATGCGTCGTAGCCGATAAACCTCCGCGACGGGTGTCAATCTCGCCGTGGTTGACATCCCTCATCATTGGCATTGGCATCCCTCTGTCTGCACACAGGCGGGTCGTCACAGCTGTCCCGCCAGCTGACCGCCTCAATTGATGCGCTTCTCCAGGCCTTCCAACGGCCACGTCGCGGCTGGTTGGACGCTTTTCCATGATCTGATGCTGCGTGCATATCATCCAGTTCCAGCGTGCGAGCATCCCTGTCCAGAGGTTTCGTCTAGCTGCAAAAGTGGATTTAGCCTCGACGATGGAGCCGGGATGCCCCAGGGCGGTGAGCGCACTTTTTCGCGAATTTTTCTTTGACGGAACTTTTCGCTGTGGCCATGCGGCCAGTCCTCGGCAACGTCCACATGTGAACATAGAGGCGCTGCCGGCACGGAGGAGCGTTGCTGCTAACCACAACGAGTCAAGGACGCCCACGGTTTCGTACGAGCTGCCAATGTCTCGCGTGTGCGTGCCTGCATCCAGCAATGGGCATCGTAGCGGCTCTGTCGCACGCAATGCCCGCACCGAGGAGGGGAGGGGGGGACATCGTGACAGTGCCCCAAACATTGCGCACGCGAGTTGCCATGACTTCGGATGATGCGACATGGGCTATGCAGAAATCCTTTCCCCATCCGGCTAGCCACATACCGCCAAGTCTGGCCTGCATGCGCAGCTCAGCGTCACCTTTTGTGGGGAACTGGAAGGTTTGGCGCCGCACTTGGGCTGCGGGCACACAGTTTTGCGGATGCACTATCCTTCTTCCCCAGACGAAGTGCGGGCTGGATAAGGCAGTTGGCAAGTCGTGAAAGACGGTGAAGACGCATGTTTGTTTGCTTCTTTCCACAGGCCAACACGTCGAGTCAGAGGGCTGTTGCGTGCTCGATTACGCAGCTTCATCTCCTTGCCCTGCCCGCTCAACGGGCCTCCCGCCCACGCCTAAAGCACGCGAAAGCACATGGCGTGGCTTGGTGGTAAAACATATCAAAGTTTGGATGAGCCGCCGTGCACTTGCAAAGTAGTGATGGTGACGCGATCGTTTGTGCATTGCCCATGATCCCAACCGCAGATCTCGCTTCACCTGCTGTTGGGTTCCCCCAAGTGACGATTCTTGGTCGCCATCCTGGAATTACCGCATCCGGTCGTGCCCCTCCTTCATCTCAGCCATGCCCAAGCCTTGCGTCACCTTGGGCAAAAACAAAAGCTGCCTGGCCTGGCCGACCCAGCGCCCCTGCGGCTACGTATGCGTAGCTGTACGTAGCCGTAGAGTAGTCCAGACTGACCATTGCATGCCTTGAGTCTGATGGTGCCAGGTCTCCACTCTCGATAATGCGGGGTGGAGATGACGAGACAGACGGTTATGGATTCAACTCCACAACCACCACCATGGCTTGTGTTCGACTGCCGGCCCGGCCTGCGCAGTCGCCGGCTGCTCACCTGAACCCGCCGTAGTCCGCTTCTGCCGTATGCCTTTTCTCGGCTTCAATTGGAGCCACCACGTCGTGCCAAAGTTATAGCGCTTCATCTCGACAACCTCCAAGCCGCTCTCCTGGACAATCTTGCCAATGTCCTTGTTCCACCAGCAACCATGCTCATCGGCATGTGCGGGGGCCGTCTTATCTAGCATCTTGTTGAGCCACTCGTAATGCGATTTTCCATGCTCCAGAAGCAGTATCTGTCCGTCCTCATTAGTCGACGCTTCTAGGTTCTGCAGTAGCTTGACGGGCTCCGGCGTGGAACATAACCCCATCGTCTGCAACACCGTATCGTATCCATCTTGTGCGCCATACGGAGGCGTTATTGGATCAATGGCTGACTGATGCTTAAAAAAGACGCGGCTAAAGTACTCCTTGTGCGTGTCGTTCCATTTCCGCCTGGCAACCTCCAGCATAGGCCCACTCGAGTCCAGCAGCGTTACCGTCGCGCATTGCTTCGTCTTGTAATAGGGTATGTTCCTGCCTGTGCCCACGGCCACCTCCAACACGTGTCCCTTTGCCATGGCTGTGAGCTTCTTGCGTTTCCGAGTTAGGAAGAGTAGCATCTCCGATGTATCCACTTTCTCGTCGTACCCCTCAGCCTCCTTGTCAAACCGATCAGAAAGATCCACCGGCAGGTCTTTCAAGTCGGCCTCATGAGTCAGCGATGTCCAGAGCATTGTTGCGTATGTGCCCATCCCGAATGCGATCAGGCCAATGCCGAACATGGGCCATTGTCTCCATTGTCGCAGCTTGGCCTGGTGCTGCGCCGACCTCAACTCCTCGTCTGACAGCCGCTGGAGATCAGATAGCCTTGGTCGTGCCGCCCATACTCTCTTAGCTGCTTGTTCGGGTGTCTGGTTCTCGGGTACTCGTAGCAGATGCTCAGGCGTCGGCTGCGTTCGGGGAATTCGCCTGGGCAGTGGTGTGGCAGGCTTTGTCGGTATGGTAGATTTTATAGGAAACGATTTGGGAGGCTTAGGTAGCTTCGCCATGGCGCGCCAATGTTTATCGATCGAGTGCGTGACGAGTGTGGTTGGTTTTCAATTGCTGAGGCCAGCAAATGTTGGCTTGAGCCTCAAATCTTTTGACGCGCGATCCAATCGGTCGGGAGTAGTCTAGTGTCAAAGCGCCCTGCAAGCCATGAGGGTCGGCCCATACATAACCGATACTGCCGTTAATCAGTCGACGATATCGGCCTTCCAGCGGCTGTTGGTCGGAATTTTTCAAGTCTGTGAGTCTAATATCTCCTTGTACATCTCTGCTTCATACTTTTTTGCTTTTTATTTTGCATATAGTTCTTTTTCAAACTGTGCCCAATGGCTCCCTCTACAATCTCCAATATACCCTCATCCATTCTAATCGTCGGAAGTGGCGCATTTGGCCTTTCAACTGCTTACTCTCTATGTCAAAACCCTCAGTACAAAGATACCTCAATCACTGTTGTAGATCGACAGCCCTTTCCTGCACCGGACGGCTCGAGCGTAAGTACAGCGATTCAACATGGCACCCGTCCACTCTACCAAGCAACCTTTTTCGGTCGTCGCATAAGGCCATTACCACAAAGACCAAACGCTCAGACAAGCACAAATAGATTGATACCTCGCGCATCATACGCCCCGACTATGCCGCCGCGCGCTACACCCGCCTAGCAACTATTGCGCAGAACCGCTGGCGAACCGATTTTGCGACGGAACACTACCATGAAGTCGGACTGTGTGTAACTGCCTGGGGGCCGGAACAACAGTACGTGCCAAACTCGTTGGCAAATGTCCGGGCAATAGGAACAGACAAGGTTGAGGTCCTTAACTCGGCTGAAGAAATACAAAGAGCATGTGGTCTTGAAGGCAATGCTCCATGGGGCAACGGATCCACAGGATATGTCAACTGGAGTTCTGGCTGGGCTGATGCTGAGGGAGCCATGATTTGGTTGCGGGAAAAGGTCGAAAGTTTGAATCGAGTCAAGTTCGTCACCAAACCGGTGAAGAAGTTGCTGATCAACCATAAGACCAGCACTGTGTCTGGCGTCCGGTTCAACGATTCGAGTGAGCTGAAGGCCGACTTGACAGTACTGGCAGCAGGCGCATGGACAGCGTCGCTCATAGATCTACGGGGCATCTGCAAAGCGACAGGACAGGCTATATGCTATATGCCAATATCCGAGGAAGAGGAAGCAAAAATGGCCAACAGGCCAACTCTCTTGAATCTCTCACATGGACTTTTCATGATTCCGCCCTCTAAGAGGTTGCTCAAGGTAGCGCGCCACGGTCATGGCTACATTAATCCGACGACCATCCCGCATCCCGAGTCAGACGACCCGAATGAGACAATCACAGTATCTTTGCCCTACACAGGTGTCGATGACCCGACACAAGCTGTTCCGGTAGAGGGTCAACGCCAATGTCGCGACTTCCTCAAGGCAATACATCCCTCGATTGCTACGCCCTCACGGCCGTTTACCAAATCGAAGATCTGCTGGTACACGGACACAAGGAATGGCGACTTCTTGATATCATACCACCCCAAGTATAGCGGTCTATTTGTCGCCACGGGTGGTTCAGGCCATGGCTTCAAGTTTCTGCCCGTCATTGGTGACAGCATTGTAGAATGTCTGCAAGGTCGAACACCCGAGGATTTCAAGGGACTTTGGGATTGGCCCGCTGAGCGCATTCCTGAGAAGCAGTGGCCGGGTGATGGAAGCCGTGGTGGTCCTGTTGGATTGGTGCTACGAGAGGAGATGGAGAAGAGCAGGGGAAAGCTGTAGATGCGATTATGTCCATGATGCAGGATTACTTTGTTTCTCTACTAGGTCCGAAGTTAAAACTTGTGAGGCACCTCAGTACTCGAACTCCTACAGAAGCGGTTTCTCTCGGGAAGAATAAAAGTCCACTGCACTTGCTGAAATTCGCAGCCTTCATGACTTTACGTTTACTCCGCATACTTGCCCAAGATACAGTCAAGACCGTGGCTGATCAACTCATTACGTCCTATTTCGGGGCGCCTGAAAATACATCATCAGACTTAGCAAAGCCCTGCGTCTCTCAGATAATCAGATGGAAATGCAAAGGTTGGCCTCGAATTAGATAAAATAATCAAACTCAATATCACTATATCTTTTGCTTCCATATCTTTATTACAAATCATGCCCCTTACCAATCACGTCGAAATGTCAGAACCGGCGGGTGATCTACCCTCTCGCAAAGTTATGCAAAACTGGATAACCCCAATAGAAACACGTCACTTGATCACACGTATTGTATCATAAACTCTTTTTATGGTAAATTGCTACATTTAACTTATCATGACTCCTCTTCCAACGAGAACACAGTCTGTTTTCATTCAGAGCCACATGCTCTACGTCTGAAGAGATACAAGCCAGACTACTACTCGTCAGATTCAACCTAAGAAAATATCAGCGCCAATGCTCGCTGATAGGATAAAACCGAGGTTTGATGCTGAATCCTATTCGTAAGCAAGCCATCTTGCAGCATGCAGGCGAACATCCCTTTCCTAACACAGTTAGCGTTTGGCGACCTTGATGCTCTCCACAAACGTATTTAATCTCTCATCTTGTAAGTATTTGGTTTCAGATATCGCATTCAATAAAATCTTCTCTGCTCTGGCAACAGAATCCAAGTTTTCTTGTCCAAAAAACATTGCTCACTTCTGCTCATACTCCTTTTCTGCATAGCTTGCGGACCCCGCCCCCTTATCCTACTTGAAAGCTCTTGCCTCACTATGCCTACTCTTGCGCTTGAAGCTGGGACTACTATCTTTGTGACGGGCGTCAATGGCCTGATCGGAAGCCATATCACCGATCAATTGCTAGAGAGGGGATACAACGTTCGTGGCGCAGTGAGGAATGCTAAGAAGCACCAATACTTGGTCGACTATTTTAGTGAAAAGCACAAAGATGCAAAGCTGGAGCTGGTTAACGTACCGGATATGACCATCGAAGGTTGCTATGACAATTTCACGCAAGGTACGTTGAAGTCATACAACACCTAATCTGGCAAAGACGACGGCTAAGCTTACTCTACTACCAGGTATTGACGGCTTCATCCATGTCGCAGCACCTATTAGTGAGAGTTCGGATATCAACGTGGCCATTCCCATCGCGGTAAAAGGCGCTCTCAATGCCCTCAAGTCTTGCGCAAAAACTCCTTCGGTCAAACGCTTCGTCTTCACCTCGTCATCGATCGCCGCGACCTTCCCTCAACCCGATGTGGAGTTCTCAATCGACGAGGGTACCTTCAACGAAGAGGCACTAAGACGTGTTCGAGAGCAGGGAAATGGATCAGGATTGCTGGGCTATGCGGCCATGAAGACGGAGACGGAAAAGGCAATAGTAAAGTGGGTGGAAGAGAACAAACCAAGCTTTGTCTTGAACTCTATTGTAAGTCGTGGTCCCAGATATCGTTTTATATACAACGCTAACTGTAACAGCTACCAAATGTAAACTTCGGCGCCCTTCTCCTCCCCGAACGCCAAGGCAAACCATCTACCATCGAGTGGGCCCACTTCGCTTGGACGAGTACGAATCTTGAAGCATTCACCACGTTTGCTGGCCCACAGTGGTATGTTCATACCGTCGACTGCGCGCTACTGCATGTCGCTGCATTGATCTACAACGACGTATACTCCGAACGCATTTTTGCATTCGCAGAGCCATGGAGCTACAACAAGATAATGGATATTTGGCGTAAGCAGTATCCCGAGAGGGAGTTCCCAGAAAACATCAAGGGATTGGGCGAAGACAAGATGAAGGTTCCGAATCAGAGAGCAGAGGAGTTGCTGAAACGAGTCAAGGGATCCGGGTGGGATAGCTTGGAGAAGGCTGTAAAGGAAATGGCTGACCAATGGGAATAAGAGTGCGCTATGGTCTATTTCAATATGCACATGTAAGATGGCCGAGTATTTGCCATATGGTACCAAGGCGGTACTATGATTCAGGGTCCAAGACTACGGGCCGTTTACAACTGGTTGTCTACCCATCACTCCATCTTCATCCTGTAGAACATGATTTTCACTTATTTACTTAGTTAGGATTTCGAGTTTTGGAATTCCAACCATGCTTACATGAACCCTCAAACCCAGAACCCAGCCGCAACATACAGCAATGAGCAAACCCTCAAGCACAAATCCACTATCACCCCGGAAATGACGATCCTGATTATACGATGAGCACAGATACCTAGAGGCTGGGGAAACAAAGCCGCCAAGTGCCTCTATGATTCGTGGAGAAAATCACCACCGGGTTTACTACTGCGTGGCATCGCCTTGGCAGTGCAGCTCATGGCCTTAGGCTACACTGCTATGCTCGGGTAAACCGCATGCCAAGTGCCCTCACTAACACTGCGCCAGCACCTTTTATTCACGGAAACAAAAGGCATGGTATCCAAGTTCTTCCGGTTGGCCTGGGGAGCGCAGTTTGTGGCGCTCTGGGGAGCAAGTTGTGGGGGAAGCTAGAGCCTGCTTGCGCCTACATAGTATACCTAAAAGGGCTTGGGACGGGGTTGGAATACGGGGTTCCGCGTGGAGAAGTGTGCGTAATGGAGGTGATCGAGAAACTATTTGCTGGGCATTTTGGCGTAGCGGATGAGGTATAAAGGCTGGATGTGCTCTGTTAATTGTAAATACCTCTTTGTTTGCACTGCTGAAACTCCACTTGAAGCCAAGATAGCAGTCTCAAGAGTCTGATTGACATTTTACTTCCGATACAGTCTTTCAAGATGAAGTTCTCTACCTCGGTCATTCTTCCTCTTCTACCTGCACTCTCCACAGCAGCAGTGATACCGCGCCAGAATGGCGATGGATCCCAAGGCAGCGCAGACTCGACGCAGGGTGATCTTGGAGCACGGCCTCCTCCAAAATTTCCTTTTCCAGTCACAAAGTTTCCCGTTCCTACTGAGACTGTTGTGCTCAAAGAGGCTATGTACATTGCTCCTGGTCAGGTCTTCGATGGGCAAATGAAGCGATACGAGCGTGTGGAGGGTAGCTGCAGTGAGCAGGCTGAGGGAACCGACGCGGATGCTGTCTTCAACTTACTTCCTGGAGCTACAATCCGGAACGTGGTTATTGGTAAACACCAGAGTGAGGGTATCCATGCTCTCGGAGATGCCTGGGTGGAAAATGGTAAGATATCCTATTCGCTCAAGTATCAACTAATCACTGACTTATCATGTAATAGTGTGGTGGGAGGATGTATGTGAGGATGCCCTCACGTCTAAGGGCCTAAATACCCAACTCCGCGTCATCGGCGGAGGCGCACGCAACGCAACCGACAAGATCTTCCAGGACAACTCGCTAGGAGGCAAAGTCAACATCACGGGCTTCTATGCCGAGAACTTTGGTACTTTCTATCAATCGTGCGGAAACTGCCTCAACCAGGCGAAGCGCAATGTCACTATCCAGAACGTCATTGCCGTAAAGGGTACAAGGATGGGCATAGTAAGTCGAACACTTCAATCCATTTATCGATAATTCAAAACTCATAACGACGTAGATCAATCCCAACTACGGTGACGAATACCGCATCAAGGATTCCCAGGTCATAGATGTTGACCGGTACGTCGACAAGGAGATTGGAAACAATGTTCAAACAGTCCCTTATACTGTTGGAACTGGGCCGGATGAGAAATATGCGCTGTACAATCTGACGCGCGACCATGTTACTGAGTTTGAGGGAAAGATCTTGAATCAATATGTACCTGAGGAGCCGTATGAGTGGCTTGGTACATACTGGAAGGAGGGTACCGGCGCAGCATAATGATGGAAGGAGCGAATAGTTAATGATTTATATACGATACGAACTAATTGAATGGCCATGTAATCAAATCATCGGCATCTTGCTTGGTTGACGACTTGGGCTACTATGCCGGTCTAGAATGGATTTGATTTCCTGATACAAATTCAGAAAATCTTGATATATTTGGATGACATCGATTACGGATATTTTCATAGAGATGTGGTAGCTGGCAATAAAGCGTGTATTGAGTAAGTAAGCGTTGGCGTCTTCTTTCCCGCTAGTCTTGGCACAGTTGTGAGGGTGCAGTATACGATATCCGTAATAACAACCTCGAAACTGCTGATCAATTATACATATAATCATGAAAATCGCGCCATACTCTGTTCAGCAAGAAAAAGCGCAAACCCATCATGCGAATGATTGGACTTTGAGGTAAAGGCATTGAGGTCCTCCATCGAATGGTAGTCAAGTGGGCCGTGCGCCAACCCTGGTTGCTCTAGCCTTCGCTTAGATTTTGCCAGCCCACAATCGCTCTGAGCCTCTAGCCAGCGACAACTCCATCCCGACGCCCAACCCAGCTTTTCCGCACACCGACCGACCGACTCCCGTCAAACACACAAATAATCGCACATAATGGATTCAGCTAAGGCTCCCGTCAAGCTCGTCAAGGTCACCCGTGTCCTTGGCCGAACCGGTACGCGAAATTTGCGAAATTTGCTGCACAGGAGAGCGCATGCGACATACGCGCCGCGAGAAACGTGCGAGAGATAGAGAGAATTGAAGGCTGACAACGGTTTCTTACAGGTTCCCGTGGTGGTGTCACCCAGTGCCGTGTCGAGTTCATGGACGACCAGACCCGTTCTATCATCCGTAACGTCAAGGGCCCAGGTAACCCTCTCCTCCAATCCGCTTTTTGCCGCCCCCCTCTGGCAGTAGCTGACTCAGTGTCTTAGTTCGCGAGAACGACATCCTCTGCCTGCTCGAGTCCGAACGTGAGGCCAGGCGTCTGCGATAAGCCTATCCACTCTCGGGGGAAAAGAGAGGGAAGCGGCATTTCATTCGGTTACCGGAGTTCTTTGCGAAAGCTATGGGCATCTATACGGACTTGACGAGGATGGACAAAATGATGGCGTAGTTGTTCTTGCAGCGGCTACGGAGCATATGGCAGATATGTGGGAGATGCGATCACGACTGATATCAAAGAGTCTGGCCTTTTCCTGAATGAATCGAAAACTACCAACTCCTCAAGTGCCTTGGATAGGTCGTGACGCTTTGTGGCTGTCTCTGAGTCTAATGTCAGAGTTCAAGATACACCGGGAATCTGATACTGTTTAGGCGATACCATCATCATGTTCAGTGTCGATATGCTGAAAGTATTACTTGATTAGCAGACGAGATCCATTCGCACAACGCTCCTCCTTCGCTCGCAACCCACCTTTTTCAATTTCCGTCAACATTCCAAATGTCTAACAAGCCACATTATACTCCATTAGTCCTATGTATTGCGAAGTTAGAGTTAGGCTAGATGCAATGATTCATGTCTTAGCACTATGCCTTGGCTTCTCTTACAATCTAAAGTTTTGCTTCCAAATTGAGACTAAGTTCAGCCGCTATGAAACTTTGACCTCGCATTTATTCCTTCACCTTTCATACTATGATTTTCTTCTACTTGCACGTCACCACAAAAGATCTACCGTCAAGCGGCGGGGGACTGTAAGATTGTAAAGAGCTTGTGGGGCATCCTTGTAGAACCACTCAGTTACGCAACGCGTTGGTACACTTGGCTCTTCAAACCTGTGTGCATCCAATTCAACCACGATTTTATGTAATTACAGTCCATTTTTCGGACCTAGTCGGAGTAATAACGCTTTTCACGTCCTGTAAAGCTCTCCAAGACCAATTTCGATCGGAATGTTTACAAAACTTCAAGTCCATGTCATATATAACTATATCTGGTTTTTCAAAATGTCAGGAGACAAACCGCCATATTGCTAACCACAAAATACTCTATGGGCCTGCCCAAATCTCCTTGTACTTGGGCATTACAACATCCTGATTCACGATAGTAAATATGTCCGTCTGGAGGGCCATAACGAGGTCTATATTGCACTTGTTTGTCATACAAACGAACAGTTAGTGAGTGGCTCAAACTACAAACGGACTCAAGTCTTCCATAAATACGACTGGGTTTCACTTCAAGATTATAACGCATAGTGCCCAGCTTCAAATAACAACCACGTTTCAGTCTCAGTATCAGACACTGCTAGCAACTCCGCATCTTCCACGGCTTACCTTGACCAGCCCGTTGCCTTCCAAATCAACCTACAAGCGACACTTTCTGGATAGTTCGCATCATTATCCATTCTCCATTTGACAGCCACCAAACTGGCGACTCCACACAACCGGTCTCCGTTCGCAGGCGGTTCTATATGGGACCCCTCTGACGAAGAATGGGCCGAAGTAGACGCCTACCGCATCGCCAACACCTTTATCGCGTCCTTCAAGAACCCCGGGCAAAAAAATGGTGTATCTAGTCCGCAAAAAGACCGCAGTGCCTTGTCGCGCCTCACCTCCACCATAACCTCTCTCATCCCCCTCTCCCCAACCAAAAATACCGCCCAAGAAACCCCCGAAGAAGAACCCAACCTCCGCGAAAAACTCTCTATGCTCCAAAACACCTACTACACTTCTCCCTCGGGCGACCTCAGCGACTCAATAATGCGTACCTGTTTCCTCCTGCGCTCCCGCATCTTCACCTCGACCTCCTCCTCGCCCCGAACCATGCACGTCATCGACCTCTTCGCCTACTTCACCACCAAGGACCCACTCTTACAAACCGCCCACCCACGCCTCTGCGATGCAACCGCCACAATCCTAAGCCACACAAACATTGCGTGCATAACCGCCTTTCTCAACCCATCCGTCCAAGAATTCACATATAAACGGGAAGTCGAGGGCCGGAAAGGCGGAACCACCTTACTCATCCGACGACATCGAAATAGCATCATCGTACGTCTATTGCCTCCACCAATCCACCAATCCACCCACCTACTATCCTACCCTTCCTTTTCTTTCGCTCCCCCCCCCCTCTCCCTCTATCTCTCTCAAGTATATAGAAAGTGATTGAACTTCCCTAATCAGGCAAGATAGGCAGGATCCTACCGCAACCTCGGCTTCTCCCTCCAATGGAGCTTATACGTCCGAAGCAGATTTAATGCGCTGGGACAGTGGTACGATGAGTATGCTGCACCTGCATGCGGGACTACGCCCGTGGTAGGCGGTGAGGTGATGTGGGATGTTTTCACGCCAGACGGTGTTATATCAGGTGATGGGCAGCGGGGGAGCCGGTGTGCCGAGAAGGCAGATTGCGGTGCGGATGCCACGTCCCAGGGGGCCGTGGGATTTAGATTGAAAGAAGGAGATGGAGATGGAGATGGCGAGGATCATGGTGGGAAAGATGCAAAGCTTGCGTTGTATCAGAGTAGGATGCTCGCACGGTATTTGGTGTGGGATGTTTGGGTGAGGCTGGAAGGGAGGTATGAGTGTAGGGCTACATGGGAGGCTGATGGGGAAGTCAACACGGTGAGGTTGAAACGAGGGCTTGTTGGGTTTGATGGCGATGATGATGAGGATGAAGAAGTAAGTAGGCAAAGTGAATATTGCATGTCACGTGAAGCAGACAAGAGATATGTATAAACAAAAAGAAGCTTTTTCCTTAGAATTCATGAGATCTATATGAGAGCTAAGAAAAACAAAAAAGAGCCCAGAGGACACTTTTCTCCGTGTATTTAGCAAAAAGGGAAGAAATGTTTCGTTAATCTATAATGCAAGCGATGCGCGCTATGCAAAGGATATATCGACCAACCAAGGAAAAAACGCCGAGGAAATGCAATAAAAGGAAACCTTTTCGTCATATCAAGATCGTTGCTGAAAGCGAGAGAGAGAGAGGGCGCTCTAAGCAATAGCAGAGACACCACCCTCCTGCATGACAGGGTTGATCTTCTCGTCAAACTTGAACTGGAAGTCCTCGCCAAGCTCCTTCTTCATGGCAGTCTGAACAGCCTCGAGGACGTTGTTGAAGACACCGAAGGAGGCTGGGTTGTTTTCGTCGTTGTCGCCGCCCTGGAAGACACCAGTGCGGACCAAGCAAGTGTTCCAGCCGTACATGTTACCACCGATGATGTCGGAGGCTGGGTTGTCACCGATCATGTAGATGTGAGAAGGAAGCTTCTCCTCGTTGTGGATGGTCTCCATCCAGCTGGCAATGACCTCGTCGGCGTACTTGTAGGTAGCCAACTCGGGCTTACCGTAGACGACACGCTCGAGCTCAACACCAGTGAGAGACTTGTACATGGCCTCGAGACCAATGCGGAAGGCACCCTGGGACATGCGGGGGAAAGGGTGCTCGGTGGGGCAGAGCATGTCACCCTGAGAGAAGTAGATGGGGATGCGCTGGGAGACGGGGTCCTTGGCCCTAGTGCCGAGACGACCGTTCTCGGACTGGAGGAGATCCATGATGATTTGGATGTCAGTGGCGTAGTCACGGCTGTCAGAGAAGACCATGATAGCTTCGATGTTGGTCTTGCTGAAGTCGCGGGGGCGGGAAGTCTTGCGCTCCTCCTCGGTGAAGACACGGTAGGGAGCAATGGTGGGGTCCCAGGCAACGATGTCGTTGGGGACGACAATGTCCTCGAAGCCATACTGCTCAGCGACCTCACGGCACTTGTATCCCTCACCACCGACAACAAGAACAGTCTTGTAGTACTCAGCCAAGGCACGCATGGGAGTGTGCGACTGGATGAACTGCTCGGTGGAGATGGGGTTGTGGAGGATCTTGGAGAGTTGGTCGACACGAGCCTGCTCAGGCTTACCGGAACCGTTGGTGAGGAAGATGTGTGGGATCTTGATGCCGAGCTGGTTGTCTCCGTTCAAGATCTCGAGGACGCGCTGACCCTCAGGGATGAGACGGTCACCGTGGACGAGGACACCATCAATGTCGAAGACGAAAGCCATGTCCTTGGCAGCGTGGACCTTCTCGCCAGCCAAGTCCTGAAGCTGAGCAGCGATGATATCACGAGATGGCTGGATGGCGGGCATGCCAGGGCGCTTGGCAGCACCGTGGCCATCTGGGTAGTGTACGGAGGACAACCTTGACTGCCTCTTTGAGCGGGGGATAGGCAACGAGGTACCGAAGGAGTTTCGGGATCCTCTCCTCTCCTTCATGGAAGGCGAGAGTGAAAGGTTGTGCATGTAGTTGGTGGTGTCAGCAATGGCGCTGCGGGTTGCTGGGACCTCGATGGCATTGGCGGTGCCATCATCGTGAGCATCGCCAGGGATGGGAAGCTCGCCGCTTCCAACAGCAAGGGAGCCAGAGTGAGCATTGTTGGTGTTGGACTTTGTCTGGGTGAGAGGAGTCTCAGCCAGCTCCTTCTCGTCAAAAGCTGCGGGAGACATATTGATGATGATGTAAAAGGGATATGTATATCAAGTTGAAAAGGTAGATTGAAGCTTCACAGAAACTAGATGTGGAAGTGAGTGAAGTTGTGGAGAGATGTGATGGTGGATAGTTGACATCAGGGTCCTGGGGGAGGGGCTATATATCATCATCTCAGCTGTCAAGTCGGGATGAGTGATGGACGCCATATGCCCTCGTCATTTGCCAGTATCGAATGGAAAGTTTCGAGGTAGCTTTTTGCTATCCCGAGTTAGGCCGACACACCAACCACGTCCTGGCACTCAATGGGTTCAACAAGTATCTCTGTACCCACAGTTCGACATCATCATGGCTCAGGCACGCCCGTGCAGAAGAGCGCTAGGGGACGAGTTTGCCAGACCAGAGAATGAGAACTGGATACCGTCACCGCCGGGATAAAGCCGAAAACTGGGGACTGATAGGGTTCGTGACATGTGAGTCGCCACAACACCTGGAAACATGGCTGTATACGACTCGCCTATGCCGCGAAAGCTTAGCGCAGAGCCTCAAGCAACCGGAAAGATGAGCGCGGCCGGAAGGATGTGATTGACGAGGAGACGCCTACCGCCGGTCAAAGCGGATTGGCGTGCATATGCAATCAGTCGAGATGTGGGAATGTGTAGAGACGAGTGCAGCAGAACGAGGATGGTGCAGGGAGCATCATGTCGCAGTGACGAAGGACGGGTGGGGCCAAAAGTGCGCCTCGCCGAATTAGGGCGGACGCAGCGAAGCGAGTGGCTGGAGAGGGCAGAGCCGCACCAGCCGAGGGCGTTGGATGGTGCTAGTAAGTTTCTGTACGGTGCTACGTGCTACGTGCTACGTGCTACGTAGAGAGGTACATGCAGCTGGTATGGATGCATTGCATTGGCCCACGCCCATGGCCGCCATACTGGGTGCTGACTACGCAGTTTTTTTTGCTGTCGCCTTTGCCTTTGCCTTGGTCGACACTCGGCAAAACTGCCACTCGCAGCAATGTCCCACGCACGCCTTGGCCGGCCCGTGCAGTGGACCCTGGAGGTCCACATACGACGTCATCGCGGCCAGCAACTGACAACACCTCAGGGTCCCTGTGAAACTGTTGGATGGCACTATCATAACGAGTTTTCGCAATGGGACCGATGCTGCCACAATACCACCGCGATCGGCCACATGCGGGTTATGTACGGGCACGGTGCTGCCCTGTCGCCGGTCTTGGTGTCGCTGACTGCTGGAGGCGTGGCACATGGAGCGATGATGACAGCAGCACAGCCAAGGGTGACGAGAGGGGGAAAGTTTGAAATTTCAACAAGCCCGAGATGCGCTGGATATATGTAGTCTTGTAGTCCGGCCACGCGCTGTTGCTACTGTCTAGCAGAAACCCCTACCTCAATCCTATCCGTACATTTTCCTGCCCTCTGTGCAATTCGTAGAGACAAACCTCCTCTCAATCTTGTTCACATTCATCTCCGCATACCGCAGCCATGGCTCCCCTTGCCAACCAAAAGACCTACAAGCTCTACAACGGCGTCACCATCCCCGCCGTGGGCTTCGGCACCTTCGCCAGTGAGGGCGCATCCGGCGAGACGTACGCCGCCGTCACCACCGCACTCAAGACGGGCTATCGCCACCTCGACTGCGCCTGGTTCTACCAGAACGAGGAGGAGGTCGGCGCCGCCGTGCGCGATTTCCTCAAGGAGAACCCCAGCGTCACCCGCAAAGATCTCTTCATCTGCACAAAAGTATGGAACCACCTCCACGAGCCCGACCAAGTCAAATGGAGCTTCAACAGCAGCTTGACTAAGCTGGGCATGGACTACATTGACGCCTTCCTCGTTCACTGGCCCATTGCCGCCGAGAGCGACGACCAGCACATGCCCAAGCTCGGCCCCGACGGCAGGTACATCATCAAGAAGGACCTTACAGAGAACCCGGAGCCCACATGGCGCGCCATGGAGGAGATCTACGAGTCCGGCAAGGCAAAGTCCATCGGCGTCTCCAACTGGACCATCGACGGCCTCAAGAAGCTCCTCAGCTTCGCCAAAGTCAAGCCTATGATGAACCAAATCGAAATCCACCCCTTCCTCCCCAACACCGACCTCGTCAAGTTCTGCCAGGATAACGACATCCTCGTCTCCGCCTACTCGCCCCTCGGCTCCCAGAACCAGGTCCCCAGCACCGGCGAGAAAGTGCGTACAAACGCCAAGCTCAACGAGGTCGCCCAGCGCAGCGGCTACGACCTAGCTCAGGTCCTGCTGGCCTGGGGTCTGCAGCGTGGCTACGTTGTCCTGCCCAAGAGCTCCACCCCCTCGCGCATCCAGAGCAACTGGAACATTCCTGAGCTCAGCAAGGAGGACTTTGAGGCGGTTGAGGAGGTTGCGCGAGGCAGGCACACGCGCTTTGTTAACATGAAGGATACCTTTGGCTACGACGTCTGGCCTGAGGAGACCGACGGTGGAGAGCTCAAGGCATAAAGAAAGTGGGGTAAAAAAAAAGGTGGAAACGTATTACAACAGAACCAACACCATGATGACACGCCGAGGGCTTCCGTTCCTCTTCTTCAATTGTTGTCTTTACTATTTAGCGATACCAAGAGAAAAGAAAAGTCTATTGCAGACTAATGTAGAATAACAGCTCGTAGAGCAATTTGAAATGGGTTTAAATTTCATATTCAGCATACTGCTCTGTGTATCGCAATTGTTGCCGTGTTAAATCGCGCTCCCCCCCCCCTTCTTCGCTACTCGACGTTGATCGTAATACAGTATGACGATGTGATGATCAAGGCGGCCGCTTTCCCCGCACGGTCAAACTGCGGTGCACTACCCTTTGGACCCGCATCGTCGGCGGCCTGTCAATCTGACATTTGGCAAAACCCTAAAAAAACGCCTGAGCTGATCATGGCCTGCAAAAGCCATTAACTATGAATAATTTTTTCTCTTCGTCTCGTTTCTTTCGTTCTAATGCCATTCAGATAGGGATCAGCCGGTCTAGCAATTCCAAGTTCTGCTGCTCCCTGCGCACACTCCACGGCTCTGATGCTGGTTGCGCCAGGGTTGCTGGCTTCGGTAGCACAAGGTCTGCAAAGTGCATCTTGGTGAATTCCATGACTACCTGTGCTTCTGAAAACTTCTCTTGTTCCAAAAGCTGTCTGGCAACACCCAGGCATAGCTGGACAAGGAAATTGCGTCGGCTTCGTGATGACTGTGCAAATGTGACGGCTCCAGCTGGGTCCTCAATGAACTTTAGTCCTGGCATTGGGCTGCTTCCTGAAGGTCGATGGAGGGAAAGCATGGCCTCGACGGCTCGGCTCCAGCTTCCAAGCCAACGTTGTGATGATGACGAGAATGATTGGTACAGTTCAAGGCCGATAGACTGGTCCCGGCTGGAGATGATGCGGTTAACAAGACGACCACCAGCGATCCTCAACACACCGTGTGCTGACTCGTAGCCCGCATTCTCCGTGAAGCGGAACGCTTGCATAAAGGTAGCCAGGCCGCTGTTCAAGCTTGTGTTTGCCTCAATCGATACCATCTTCTCCAGAAGCTGTTGCCTGAATTTGGTCACTCTTGAGACATCCAAACCGGTTTCTTTGACACGCTGCTCATTCGATCGGATGAACCAGCGCCACGGTGCAGAGGTTTCGCCCTCGGTCAACTGTAAAGCCACCAGCCTGTCAAGAAACCTACTGCCGTTGCCTGACTTTGATATACACATATCCAAGAACTGGCGTGATGTGTCCAAGCCACTAGTCCGTAGCCATTCTGAAAGCACATTTGCTGGTGTGGCTCCATCCTTGAGCCACGCTGGGCTTTCATTTGTCGTTTTCTCGAGTACTTCGAGGCAAATGGCCGCCTTTTGTAGAGTGGCAGAACCAGATGCTATTTCATTGATAAACCACCCAACAGGATCTCTCAGGACATCGACAGCGGCAGACCCCGACCCTCTCCTGCGGGGCTTGACTGCAAACAGTGGGTTGTTTAGGATCGAGTCCAGATGCTGGGTGGTCGAGGCATAGGAAGAGGCGGCTGCAAGGTGCGGAGATGGGGCACGTTGCCCACTGCTAATCAGTAGCTGCCGTGAAGGCGCTCTCTGGGTGTTCTCCGAGGGGGGGGAAGGGTGTTCGCGGTCGAGGTGAGCGCGGAAGGACTGGGTAAGCAGAGACAGCAGCTGCTGGCTTTCTCGCGGGGAAAGCGGCAGCTGGGGGTGGATCTTGGAGGCGAGTGTGCTCAGGACGCGTTTGCCGGTGGCGGACTGCATGGCGGCGCAGTCAGTTGTCGTGAATCGTGCGTCGTGTTGTGGTGCGGCGATGACGAGAGGTGGGCCAGGCACAAGCGGCCATGGGACTGCGGCAAGCGGGCGCCCTGTATGGCACGTGACGGGCTAGACGCGCGCGCAAGACGGCAGGCTGGAGCAATACCCCCCAGCTATTCGTAGATCTATCGCTTCTGAACGCTCCCCTCACCTCTGCATACCACACAGCCCACTCAGACCCCAGCCAACGCGACACTGCCGCGTCCTGCGCCATTGGAACCTCCAGTGCCAAGACGACGTGGTCGCTTGCCCTTTAGCTTTCCCCAACTTTACCTCCTTCTACATCATCACCACGCACGTCCACCACACCCGCCCACACATTCACACAACCCAAAGTCGCCAGCGGCTTGTCCACACCCCACACAGATTCAATGTCTGAAGCACCATCTCGGCCTGCGCGAGGCAGGAGCTCTGCCCGCGGCGGCAGGGCATCATACGGCTCTCGAGGGCCTAGGAAAACAAACGGCGACAGCGCATCTTCAACCATTGACACATCAGCAGACCACGGCGAGCTCGGAGAGCTTAAGAAGCGCTACAACTCACAGTTACCCACACTCAAGGAACTGTTTCCTGAATGGACCGACGCCGACCTAGTGCTCGCAATCGAAGAATCTGATGGCGACCTGCAAACCACCATTGAGAAGATTAGTGAGGGTGAGCGCCCCTCCTGCGCCCGTGCACTGCGCACGCGGGACAGCACTCTGCACAACAAGGGGCCCGTTGTTTGCTGACATTGCACAGGCTCCGTCTCTCAATTCTCAGAAGTCCCTAAGAAGGTAAAGGACAGGTCCCGCTCAAAGGCGAAAGATGGCGTCGCTCCGGCCGATGGTACCTCCAGTCTGCGTGGTCGGCCTGATGGCGCCCGCCGCGGTGTCGACAGCGGTCGTGGAGGCCGTGGAGGTCGGGGCACCGATCGTGGTCGTGGTGGCATTCGAGGTGGCCGTGGCGGGGCCGCGGCTGGACCTCGTACGGCTGCTGGATCAGTCCCGACGAACGAGTCCTCTGCATGGGACACGCCTGCTATTGGAGAAGAGCCCAACGAGGGCAAACACGACGAGACGACCGCGCAGGCGCCCGAGAGTACCCCAGAAGTCATCAAGCCTGCTGTCGAGGCTACCATTACAGTCGCAAAGAAGACTTGGGCGAGCATGTTTGCCGCACCAAAGCCCGCACCCGCACCCGCACCCGCGGTACCCAAAGCAGCCCCGAAGCCTGCCCCCGCTGCAGCTCCCGAAGCGCCTCCGCAAGTACCTGAAGCCACGCCCGCGAACGACGTTCCCAATGAACCAGTTGTCCCGACCGAAGAACAACCCATACCCCCAGTTGCAGACAAGCCTGTCGAAACGCCACCACCTACCATTGAGGATACGCCCAAGAAGACGCCAGACAAGAGCCCTGGAGTGGCTACTCCCGAAGTTGCCCTGCCACCGTCTGGGGATCAATTGACACAAGAGAATGTTGAGCATCTTCCTGACGAGTCACACCCGCCCCCTACAGAGACAGCTTTCAGTACTGTTGCAAGCTCAAAGGATATTGGAAGTGCTGTTGCCACCCCCTTGAACGGGCCAACCCAAGCACCCATCGGCCGTCCCGCTGTTGGAGGATACCAGATGACCGCATTGAAGGCGACTTCGGGAACCCCGCACCGAAGCGCAAGCTTCCAGAGGAGGCTGGTTGAGCAACAAGAGGCAGTTGTTATGCCTGGAAATCATGCTGTAGACAGGGCAGCTGTTCAGTTTGGTAGCATGGGCTTGGGTGAGGGATCCGACCCAGATGTTGATGAGGACAGAGAAGAGGCGGAGACTAGGACTCAACCACCGCAGCATTCGCCCGTTGCACAGCCCAGAGCCTCTCTTCCCCCAGCTCCACGCCAGGCGCCACCTCAAGCAGAGACTCAACAGCAGGAGTCTGTTTCTACACCAAAGCAGGCCCCAGGACTACCACCTGCTCCTCAAAACCAGCCTACTCTACCCCAATCGCCCTCAAACCCGCTTGTATCCCAGGCCATGCAGAACCAGGGATCCCAATCAAATCAACCCTACAACCAGTTCGCCAGATATGGTCAGCCAGGCATCCAGTCGGAAGCATCTGCCCCACCTCAGAAGCCGTACGATCCATTTGGCCAACAGATCCCACAATCAAACAATTCGCAGACCCCTGGCTACGACTACGCTGCTCAGCAAAGCCAAGCACCATCCCAGCCCGGTGCCTTCTCGTCTGCCCCGGACAACTACCCTTCATATCTCACGGCTGAACAACGTGCGCAATACCAAAACTACTATGGCAGCTACGGCCAGCCTATTGCACAAACCCAGCAAGAAGCTGGTTCCGCGCAACAGCGTACTGGCAGCGCTTTCGGTTCTGGACCTACTGACTCGGCTTACGCTCAGAGTCAGCTTCCACAGGTAAGTGAAATACTTCGGACTCACGCCGAGCTTGCCAAATTCGTGGCCGATCATTATGCTACCCACTTCGACACATATCGTACAGACGAGATGTTTTGTGGGGAGTTAGTAAAGGTCGGGGACCGAGTAAGGACAGCAGCTGAGCCAGAACTCCTCACCCATTGACTACAATATGCTAAGAAGCGAAATAGTCTCAGAGCCGATATGGCGACGCCCAGAACAGCGGACACAACACCCCCAACCCAGCAGCTATGGCTGGTCAAGGACATGGTGCACAAGGCCAGCACGCGCAGCATGGCCATGGTGCCGGTTATCCCTACAACCACCCCTACTATGGCAGCCCATATTATGCCAACTACATGAACCAGTTTGGAGGTTATGGCCAAGGAGCAGCCGGCTATGGATCGTTCGGAAAGGGTATGTACGGTCAGCCCCACCACTACGGCATGTCTCCTCAGGCTTCGTTTGACCAGCATTCATCTTCTCCGGCAAATGCTGGAGGCTTTGGTGCGTCCTCGTTGCACGACCGCGGCAGTGGCGGAGCTGGAGGTTTTGGCGATTACGGTCGTTCAGCTTCGGCCGCATCTCAGAATCCTAGCGCAACTGCTGGAGCTGCTGGATTCGGCGCCATTCCTGATACTTTTACTCGTCCTGGAAACTTCCACCAGAGCTCGTATGGCCAGCAGAGTGGACAAGGTATTGGTGACGATGCCCTCAAGCCTTCCAGTGACTACAAGAGCGGAGGACCAAGCCCTTCTGCTCTTGGGGCCCAGCCTGGCCGTCCTGGCTCAGCTAACCAGAGCACTCCCGGACAAGGCGGACCTCAGCACGCCCAGCAAGGCTATGGTGGTTACCCTAGCCACCTTGGTAACAGTGGATACGGTGGCCTAGGCGGGCTTGGTCACCAGACTTCTGGAAGCCACCAGCAGAGCGGCTACGGCAACTACGGTGGATTCGGAGGATATGGTAACAGCTACAACCGCGGAGGTTGGGGCGGAAATTACGGGCAGCACTAGATGCCGTCTCTCATATAATAATAATTGGGAGAAGTGGATGCGTGCTTAAGGGGACGTGGTCAAGTCCTATCATGATGACGAATGGGTATGGCCAATGACCAATTTCTCTTTTTCCCATTTCTTTTGAGTTGACTGACGGCACGGAAAAGCATGTTTCTTTGATACGCTTGATAAGGCCTCAGATTTTGTATTATGACAATCTCGTTTCTTGTTCCTCTCCTCTTGCATCCTCTCTTTTTTACGGGTCACTTGGTTAAAGTTTACGTGCTCAGTCGCGAGGCGTTCATATCCGCAAGGGAGGGATAAACTCAAAAAGACGTTTGTTTGTCTGGTTTTCTGCTTGCACTTGACTTTTCTTCTCTGGCACTTTGAGAGAAAATTGTATTAGGGTATAGCTAAAGGTTTAGGGTGTGGGCAAAGAGCAGCACTTGAGATTAGGATAGCTCAACGGAGTTGTGATGGAGCTGCTACAGCTGAGCAATGATATCATTGAACATGGCATGAACTCGTGTTTTCATTGCTGTGGAGAAGTTGCGTAATTTTGCAGTCCGCTGTGAATGTCGAGACCTGCCAGTTTGCGAGGATGCCGATAGATGTGTTCGGATGCAGACTGCCTCGTCCTGTTGCGATGACGTTTGGGCCTTGGCACAGGGTCCAGCGCTGCAGGTACGTACCTGTTTGGGTTGAGACGCTAACCATTTCGCCTACGACAACTATGTACGAGTGCTGAACACTCACATTTGTTTCATCAATCCAATGTCAACACTACTCTGAAGCTATACATTCATCACAGCTCCGCTATGGACCAGCATGGCTTTTTCCGCCACCTGACCATCCTATACTACTCTATATAAGTACAGTAGCCATTGCAACGCCTAGGGTACAGCACAAGCGCAGGCCAGGGCATGTTTTCCGAATCTTAATCAAAAGGGCCGATACAAAGCATGCAAACAATTGTGGTTGTTCCGACACATCCCCGATGTGATTTTCGCACTATCACTACCTTATCCGACAGACACCTTGCTCAGCTGGAGTCTCGATTTCGTCATTGCGATAGGATCTTTCACCCTCTCTGCCGAGGCTATTCTGACAAAGTAGTAACGTCGGTGCTGACACTAGCCGGGAAGCTTCACGTGAATTCAGCAACTACGATATGCCGGATTACGAATTGTTGAAACAAACTCGGTGTAACACGCAATCCATATCAGCGTCGCCGGACTGTGGCTTACGTTTCTTCACCGCCTTCAACTTTATCGATAGCAACGCCCTCGGAATGTCATTTCCACCTCAGCCAACTTTCGGCAAGCTACTGCACTTCTAGATCTCCAGCCATACTATATCGAGTACAGATCGCCCAACGGCCTTTACTATACGTGGCAAGGTGATCTCAGCCATGCATCCTGGTCATCAAGGTATTGCCCGAGTTTATTTTTCAGCACTGTAATGCCGGTGACGAGACGGCACAACACGCAATGCCTAACACGTTGATAAACAAAATGGCGGCGAGCCCGCCCTGCGCGTCCACTACCTGCAAAGTTTCTTTTGAATTCTGACTCCGCGTTTTATGTAATGCACCTTGCTCTAGTGGCCATTGTTTCCAGAAGCTGAGAAGCATCCGAGTCACGCCTCAGTCAGAAGCATTACACTGATTGATTGACTGATTAAAAGGTCCCTTGCTTTCTGACATCAGTCGTTATCCTGGCAGGTCGTAATCCGACACATTTTGCAGCATCTAGTACGCTTCAACTGTGTAGGTTGCGCCCAAGTTCCAGCTGAAGATAACTCCTTATCATGGATTCAACACCAACCATGACTGAGGGTCTTCCAACCTCGTCGCTTCTCCGTTTACCTTTCGAGATCCGCCTTATGATCTACGAATATCTATTGCTACCCTCAAAGACACCCTACTCTGGACGCGGAACGTCGGTCGCGAATTTGGTACCCGATTTCCATACCTACTTCTCCGAGGACACGAACAACGACCCGTTCACTTTGAGCGTACGGACAATCGATCCTTGGTTGGGGAGTCAAGGCCTGAAGACATGGAAAAGGAGGAGTGCTTATCATGTAAGGACTGGTAAGTCAGATTGTCCAACCGCTTGGAATTATCTTGAAGATTGAAGGCGCGAGACGCGAGACACGGATGGCTCTCAAATGCTCTGTCAAACAAACAAGACATCTGCTAACTGAACTTTCCAAGGCCCGTTTCTTACAACCACGGCACCAACGACCTACCGCGTCCTTCTCTCGCCCTATACCGCACATCTGCGCCATACGGTTCCCTCCCTAATGTGTATAAACTCGCAAATACACGCCGAAGCGAGCAAAATGCTCTACTCCACATATACGTTTAGTTTCCACATGAGCGTGGAAGCCGTGGTACCCTTCCTATCGGACCTAACACCACGAAGTCGGGCCTCAATCAGACACCTCAGTCTGACGAAAAAAGCACTACCATACGCAAAGGAATTCGATCGTGCAGAATGGGCAGGAATGTGCGCCTATCTGGCCGGCGCAACAGACAATACCCTGGCTACAGGAGGCGGCTCAAGCATACATTTGAGTACGCTCAAGCTTCAAATGATTGCCGGCAAGCCCGACCAAGCCTGGGATTCTATTACGCCTATGAACCCGTCCGACTTTGATACCATGCTGCGCATGAAGAACGAGTGGCTTGGCGGCAGTGGAGATTTCGGTGGCGTGGATCTCGAGTGGGCGGAGCAGGTCATGGCTATCAAGGGCTTGAGGGATATCAAAGTTAAGGCGCTAGTTGAGCGATGCGCGAGACCTGTGAGCGAGAAACAGGCGTTTTGGGTCGCGTTTAGTAAGAGTGTTGCTGAAGGCGGGTTTGGCGAGTGGATGAAGGGACGGATGCTGGAAGTTTGAATGGTTGGGTTGGCATGTATGGATGGATGGGGGATGAGTTTGGTATAGATTACGTTTGACGGGAAGTGCGTGAGGATTAGAAGAAAGGTTATGAAAAGGGTTGGTTGGGTTTTGTGATATCCTAACTGGTTAAAATTGAGAGTTTAGAATTGGCGCGGGCGTATGAATCTGTTTTATGTGTAATCGAATCTGTTGGTGCCGAGGACAATTTGCTAATAAGAAACGCGTGTGATAGTCACAGTCTGTACAGCTGCGCGTGTAATAGCCAATGTGGATGTAGGTAATAAAGAGATGACCAAGTAAAAGGTACTGTTGTTTGATTTCATGACGAAAGTAGAGTTTGTTTCTTAGCGAGTAGAAATCACTTGATATCAAATCAGAGTGGGGGCGACCAGTAAATGTGGTTTTTGTTGGGGAGGCAAGAGTAATCTAGGCATCAATGTATCCAAGTCAGTGTGAGAGAGGTAATTGGTGTGGCATGTGAAGACTTGAGTGGGATAGATGCAGCATCACGGTATACAACACGAACATAGACACCGCAACAGCATTCTCATTTTCTTGTCTAGTAGTTTCTCATCCACATTACTTCATACCCGCACAAAACCAAAAAACGCCCATTTTTCACAATCTGAATATTCTCCTTCCGGGTTTGCCCCCACCTCCCCGCCAATCTATCCGGGTATCATATTTTTTCATGGCAATTGGCCGTCTCAATCTTTCTTTCACCTTCCCCAGACGTTAAAATCCCAACTTAGGTAGAATGAAAAAAAAGAAACCTGAGATAAGGAACCGAAGAACCTAAAAAAAAGGTCTGAAACACAAGATAAAACTCCAGTCCCTCGTATGCCATGAAATGTTGATTTTGATGAGAGAAGAAAAGGAAGAACGGGTGTTTGATAGTAAAGAAAAAGAAAAGTAAGAGAAAAAAAATGTTCAAAACGTGAACCCGTACAACACCCACCCCAAGTTCCCTGTGTAGTAGTTGAAACGAGAAAATCTAAGCAGCAGGGATCCTAGACCGGTCACCACCCTTTACAATCCATTCATCCTTGATGATCTTATCCTGCTCCATATGCATGAGTTTGTACGCAGTACGAATGGTGCCGTCGCTGACTTCGACGGCGAGGCCGATTTCCTTTGGTGACTTGGGCTGGCCCATGAGATGTGAAACCAGGTAGAGACAAGCACCAGCGATAGACAGAGGAGATCGACCGGCTGCGACACCATAGTGAGCGACCTGGTCGGCACACTCTTCGGCCACCATTTGGACCTGGGTGCCCAAAGCCAGCTTGGCACAGGCACGAGGCATGAGGCTGGCGGCGCTGGTGGCAGTGGTACCGCCCTTTTGGTTGAGAAGGTTGACTGTGTCAATGACAGCTCCGTTGCCGGCGACTGATGGACCGCTGTTCTGTGATTTCTGAATAAAAGCTTCGAGAACTTTGAAGGTGCGACCGACTTCCTTCTTGGACACGTTGGTCATTTTGAAGATTTCGCGGAAACTGCGCTGCTGGTCATGCTTTCGACAGGCTATGAAGATACAGCCGGCGATGATGGCATCCTGTGACTTGCCCTTGAACAGCTTCGCGTCGTCCGTCATCTTGTAGAGCATTTTGGCCGTTTCGGCCGTCGGTCTGCTAATGTTCTGACTATCACAGAGCGCTGTGATCTGACCGTAGGCAGCCTGCAGCGCCTTGTTGACCTTGTCGTGGTTGCTCTTGTTGTGAGCCCTGGAAAGATCGCGAACCCTCATGCCACCGTCACCAAAACCGATCTCAGTCTGAAGCTGGGAGCCGTGCAGAAGGGGGTTGGCAGCGTCACCAATACGTGATGGATCATCGTTACCTTGGTCTGAAGACATACAATGTTAGCATGCGCCTCACTGATGCAAGTAAGAGGGCGCCACTTGCCGTCATTAGAGAAGGTTCTCCATTCCGAGCGGGTGTCGATGATTCTGTCGGCGAGGACGCGACCACAGGAGCCGCAGATTGTATCGCCAGCACTGAACTCTTCTACCAGATTGGGAGGGTTCTCTTTGCAGTCGGGGCAGATCAAAGCAACATTCAGGTCCTCTTGCCACTCGTCGTCCTTGACCTGCACGGGCGCCGCTTCGTATACCTCACCAGGCGACAGGAGGCGGCCGTCAGGTGCGTAGGACATGTTTCTTTCTTTCTTTCTTCACGAAGGGGAAGTAGTTCTAGGCTTGTATTCTGGATTCTAGCTATGGGGCTCGCGAGACCGACACTTGGAGACTGCTCTTGGGCACGGGACGCAGGAAACGAGTGTGGTTGCAGAGGGCTGGAGGAACGAAGGTCGGAGAACGGCAATGGAAACCTTATGTCTCGAGCGCGCAGCCCGTTGCCTGCGAGGCTTGGCATTCCGCCCGCGCTAAACCGTCTTGGGTGGCAGGTCAAGCTGCGGTCCACGGTTTTTCCCCAACATCGACCTTCACCTTGTAGCTTCCAATTGCCAGCTCCCCACCCCCGACATATCAACAATGATTGCGCAATCCATCAGGGCCTCGGTAGGCTCCTCTCGCTGGTGGGAATTGGATGTGTACTGACCCGCTGCAGCGTCAGGCGCTCGTCCGCGTCGCCCGGCAGCAACCTGCCTACGTCGCTCGCCGCACCTTCATCACCCCCACCGCCGTCCGATCAGGTGATTCATCCTAGCCGCTCGAAAATCCGACAATACTGACCCAATTGGTGTTGTAGCCGACCTAGTGCAGGACATGTACCTCCGCGAGCTCAAGAACTACAAGGTCCCGCAAGTCAAGGCCTCTGACGCCGAGGGCCAGGTCAAGAAGTTCGCCATCCCCAAGGCCCCCGCATCTCCCGAAGAGACGGACATTGCGAGCGAGCTCAAGGCGTACGAGACACAGACTGTTGAGGTTGAGGGCGCTTCATCTGAGGACGGCGAGGTCCTGCCTCAGGAGGACTGGTTTGAGGAGGAGGACGAGAGCATCACCACCGCCGGTGCTACCCACTAGACGCAGAAGATTGCTGGGTGAAGGACTAGATGTATCAAAATACTAGCGACTGTGTCAATACCACTTGGGCAACAAAAATGCTGAGCCATTGGGTGCATTGTCTAGGAACATGTATATCACGTGACAAGATACGCGGGTGACGATATGGATTGCTTATGTGATAGGCCCCATCTAGATTGATTGATTGTTTGGTTGAGTGAACATAGTAAATTGGTGGAGGGATCAAGGGTAAGTAACAGGACATGGATGGGGTTGCACAGGGGGATTTGAGCATATTGGCTGAATGTAAGTACGTGTACGTGCACATTGTCGGGGGCTGAGTTGCGAATGTGAGCTATTCAGCAGCCATGGTTGTCGGCGGTCAATGGCGGGCATTGATCTACACGCTCATCACTCTTATGATGTAAATATCCCGCAACAATCTCAGCACAGACTGGCATGGTGGCCGCCTCTTTGGTTGTTGAAGGCGGTACTTTTTGTGAGCACCATTGTGTATGACGAAGGCTATGGCAAGAGAAGCAAGTTTGTTGGATGCGTGGCATGCAGGACGCGGAGAGGGTGGCGGGGTGTGGGTTTCGGCATGGGGGATAAGAGTTGCCAAGAGTGAATTGCTTTTGGGAGCGTCGGACTGGTGAGGGACAAGGTCAGTCAGCAAGACGCACGGTAGACAACATGGCAGTAGTAGGTATGCTAGCGGTGGTGGATTGCTGTTTTGATCAACATGCGCGTACGACACGTATGTATGTGTATTTCGCGACTGACTCGACGCAGGCTGTTCCGCGCCGTGCAGCATAGGCCGATTGATCTGCTGCATTACATGTGCATGTCCCAAACAAATTGAGCAAACCACGGCCCCTCAGATAAGCCACGGGATGCAGTGCCGACTGTCTTGTAGGCTCCAATTCCCGATATTGGCGGCTAGTGTGGTCGGAAAGTCGGAGGAATAGGGCGAAAGCGTGGGCCTGAAGGCGGGAATGTTGAATCCAGCAGCGGTGGGCTCTGCCGCATGTGTACACTTACGGCTTTGGCATGCATGGTGCACGACTAGTGGATGTCCATAGTATGGATCAAGGCGGACGCAGACGGACGGTCAGTTGAGGGGTTTGCCCTGGATTGCAGCCAGCCGTATCCGTATCCATATCCATGTACCATTGCCAGCAGTAGTAGCAGCAGCAGCAGCACCAGTGGTACGTAGGCGAAGCAGACGCGCAGGTAAGAGACAGACAAGCGACGCCCGGGGCTGACGCAACGATGTCTTCACACTGAAACCGGGCGATAAGCACGCGGGGGCCACAAGCAGCGTGTCAGGTCAGAGCAGTGGGCAAGGAGATTGTGGTCAAGGCCGCTGCAGAGATTGCAGTGTTCACAGTTCACGTCGCGAAAAAACAAGATGGTTCGGCGGGCCCACTGGGGCCTAGCGAGGAGCGGCGAGCAGTAGGGGCCTGTTAGGGGGCGGGCGCGCATTGGCAGAGTATTGATAATATGTGCAGTCGGTAAATGCATCGATCCATATCTGACACGGCCCATGGCTATAATGCGCTGGACAGCGGCGAAGCGGCAATGGCGTTGACGAGACGACACAGCCAGCGGCCAAGCTGGCCATGGGAACGCGCGAGAACGAGTACGTCAAGCAAACGGCACAGGCACAGGCACAGGCACAGGACGCATCAGTAGACGAATGGCAGATGACACGACTGCGACGAATGCGCCCGTTTTTAATATAGAACCATCGCTCCGACGCGATCTGCCCTGCATCCCTGCTAGCTTGCAAGTGGGCCTGCACCCGCGCGCGCACACCATTGAGGCAATAGAGTAGCAGCACCACCGCCACTCGCAGCAATACTAGCTCAATCAACCTGCTGGCCCCCCCCGTAGCCGTCCTATCTATGTACTAGTGCCAGCAGTCGCAGTCCCAGCTCGGACCAGAACCTCAAACCTGAATCTTCTGCCAGTCCAGTCGCTACTGAACACTCGCCGAATACTGAACACTCGCTGAACTGTCTTTCTGTTTCTCTACTCTCCAACTCCCTGCTGCCCTGCTGCTGCACATCCCCGCTGCCCCCCTCCAATAAGCCTCTGCCTGCCCCCTCCTCCCCGGCCCCTCAGCCTCTACTGTGACGTCGCTCCCGCAACCACTGTCGCTACTCTATTGGAGCCTGCCCAACGGCCTTGTCAACGGCCCGCCTAATACCAGCTTGCCAGCACCACGCCGCTTCCCGTCCGATTACTCCGCCATGAGCCCGTAGCGTGCCCGAGACGCGTACTCGACTTGCATTGAAGAAGGGCTGTCTAGCCACTGCTTCGCTGCGCCCGCTCCCTATTCCGCCATGCCCGTCGCCGTCGCGCAGGCTCCTCGCAGCCACTACTCCATCACCAATGCCCTCCGCGGCAGGAACAGGGCCACTTCCGACGCCGTCCTCCAGCTGCCCCAGGAACCCGAACGCGCCCAACTGCCAAAGGCTGCCTCGTACACATACTTTCCCCAGGTGAAGGATCTCGACAAGGGTTCGCCTGTTGCTGAGCGAAGGAGAGCCTCCGAGGATGATGCCGATCGCTCCAGGAGCGAAGAGAGGACCTCCGAGAGCCACTCAGATGGGTCTAGTCCCTCGTCAGAGGATGCTCCAGAGCTGCCTGACGTGCAGATGCCTCAGCTAAGGCCGACGCCAGCATCCCGCCGCTCCTCAAGGTTTCTGCCCTTCTCCACTAGGAGCCGAGATCCGTCCGCAGAACCAAAGCCAGAACGCGGCCGACCAGAGGCTGTCAAACAGGCAGACTCGCCTTCGCCTTCACCCTCGCGCTCCTTGACAAATCTACGCAGGAAGTCGTGGGTCATTGGCCCGCAACAGTCTAGAGAATCGACGTCACCATCCAAGGATAAGAAACTCAAGAAAAAGGAACCTAGTCCGAAAAAGACACAATCAGCCGTCGAACCGCCCAAGCACAAGACGCAGACGACCACTGAAAGTATCCCAGAGGAGTCCGAGGCAAGAGATACTGTACAGGAGGAAATCCCACCTCCTTTGAGCAAGAAGAACAAGCGCCTCAGCGGCATCTTCACCACAACTGCCAATGCCTCCAACTCGCCCTCAGTGCCCAAGTCATTCTCGACTGAACAGCTCCCGCATTATCCCCAGCATCGAACGCCAGTCAGCCCCACCCACGTCGTTCCTCCGCTACCACGCGACATCTCTGCAGAAAAGCTAAAAGGCATCAAGACTGAACCCCGCAAAAAGGATGAGTTATGGAACGCATTCAGATCCCTCGATGCGGATCTGCGCAAGTATGGCCCCTTTGCTCCAACAACATGACTCAAACTAACAACACATAGGTTCCAATCCAAATCCAGTTCCCTCAAGGCAAACGTGGTTCGAACTTCCCTTCTTCCTTTTCTCCGTCAACATGCCCATCGGCCTGTAGACCAGAAGCTCAGGCCTGAAGATCTCGACCGCCGCGTAAACATTCTCAATGGCTGGTGGACCGGTCTCTTGGAGCTCGTGGCAGGCCCGAACAACCAGTCCATCTCTGGCACAGACCGTCCGGTTATCCTCGAGGGTATCGCTGCAATCATGGAGAGACCCGAGTGGAGACTCTACCCCTCGCCCTTTTGTGCCCTGGCAGACCGCGAAGAACCATTGTCTGCATCTACGACTAGTTCGGGCGCCTCCAGCTCCAGCTCGGCCGACTTCCTCGCAGAATCTGTTCATCACAATGTACGCAACATCTTCACGCAAAACTTGCAGTCGCAAATGGCTTTTGTTGTAGAAAAAATGTCTTTGCGAAACGCTGCTGCAAGTCTGGTCACGTTTTGTGGAAAGACATGTGCATATGCTTTCTGCTTCTGCCCTGGAGTCGCCGATGTTTTGGTGCGTCTGTGGAGCCCGTCTCTCGAAATGATGAGACGGGTAATGGAAGAGTCAGGTGTGTCAAAGTTGGATCGTTTGGACTCGGTATCCGACCGAGTTGCAGCATCTTTCCCACCTATGCTTCTCCCACTCAAGTTACTTTCCCTGAACCGACTCATGCGTCAACTGCACAAGCCCATTTTACCCCCGCTCGCCATGGCCAACATCGACTGGTACGGACTTTGGACAAAGCGCTGGTCTGGCGCCGAGAGCGATCTGTTTTACGTTTTTGTCAAGCACTTCCACATTCTGGTCAGCGATTTCCTACCCCTTGAGCCTACCAATGCGGAGCGCATTTGTGTACCTGGATTGATTATGGTTCATGCCCAGCTTTTGGTTAACTTGGATGCAACCATCAACAGGAATGCTGTACCGCAGCAACAGCAGCAGCTGCCGGAGGATACATCGGCAATTACCTTTGACGATGTCCTGGAACCTGATGCTTCTGCCTCGAACCTCGCTCTTCCACCAGCAAACGCCACCCGCATGATGCAGGAAAACCGAATCATAATGTTGATACGCGATTTCCTTTCCGAGCGAAATGCCCATCTTCACATTGCCAGGAAGATGTTTGCTGAGAGTTTTGCTCGTCTTCTGCAGGCACAAGCACGCAAGATTTCAATTTACAACAACAGTGCCTGCTATACCCTCTGCGACTTTCTTGAAGAGGCTCTTGTCATCCTCGTTCGCTACGAGCAACACGACAGCGATCACCATACGATCATGGACTGGCCTTTCTGGCTAACCGTGTTCAAAGCCATGGCTGCTAGTCACAACACCGCTACCGAGATTAGGCTGTACGCCTTCCTCTATAGCAGTTGGGCAACTCTGACCTCGGACGACCAACGAAAAGAAGGGCTTTGCCTCCAGTTCCTTCTGGAACCCGAATTTTTCGAAAGCCGTTTCAACCACTGGTGTCCTATGGTGCGCGCCTACTTTATGCGGCTGATCTGCTGGCGAGTCGCTCGATTCGATGGCATTGACACCGAAGTCGAAGTGTGAGTATAAAGCGACTTCTTCACCATTACACTGTATACTGACATATTTGTAGAGCGATCAAACGCGCTTTGAGTGACCGTCTCCGGTCAATCTGGTCTCACTACCTTTGGCTTCAAGAAGAGGCTGAGCGTAAACAGACTATTTACCCGTCGACACAGGCTTGCAACCCTGCACCAGGCCGACGCTTTCTCATCATACGTAATGATAATCCTATTGTGACCAATAGTGGTCCTTTTCTCACATTCGACGGTGTGGTCCAAAATCCCCATCAGCGAAAGCCCTCTCTTCCAGCTCCCTTGATTTCGGAAGCCGAGCTTCGACCAACACCTCCTCCACCAACAGACTCGCCCGATCTTCCGGAAGAGGATTCAGGCAAAGGTAGATGGAATATTTTGCGTAGCCTCATGGGAGGAAGTTCGAAACAGAATGCTAAATCAAAGAGTCCCGGGCCCGCTAAAGACAGGGAGAACGCCAGTAAGACCACTGGCGCTAATTCGGCCAACGAAGCATCTTCTAGTCCTGCGGCTGCCGAAACCCCAGCACCGGCACCACTGCCGGTTACCCATCGGTCATACCATTTCCGCTTCTCTCTAGAATGGGTTGACAAGCGCTTCGGTGCATACCAACCTATGCGCCTCCAGCCTCCACGACTCCCACTTCCAGCACAGAACCTCTTGATGCAGAAGGGCATCAACCTCGAACCCGTCCTTAGCACACCGCCCGTTGGTGCTGCTGTGACGTCAAGTACCTATGCCGGACGTGCGCTTGCGGAATGGACCTTCATCAGCCATGAGTGCCAGAATTTCTTTGATAGGAGGAAGAATGAAGGCGTGCCGACGAACAGACAAGTTGAGACACCCACGTTGAACGTGGAGGCTTTCCGACGACCCGGCTAAGATGTACTTGGAGATTCCCAAGGCAAACGCCTTTGACTCAACAAACTCGTACATATGTATTTCCACGACATGCGCAAGTTTTTTATGGACATTGTCGACAGGCTTGACATGCTCCCACACAAAGCACTTTTTCCCAACATTTTGGCGATTGCATACGGACGCTCAGCGCGAGCCATCCTTCAGCGGCATTCTTTTTCACAAACACTGGGCAAAGTTTTTATTCCTTCATTTTCTGCTTATCTTGTTTTGTTTAGACATTTGGCATGCATGGCAGCGCGCACTTTCTTGCATGGCCTCGACATCATTCTTCATTATTCATCATTATTTCTCTCCTTTTGGCCTAAGAGAAGTTGGAACGCAGGGGCTTGTTTCTTTCAAAAACATATACAGTATGCCAATTTTGTTGCTAGGGCGTGAGATATAAGCCTGTTTCTTTATGAGCGAAAATATAGAGTTATGAATTTGAATTATTTATTAGTTTTTTTTTCTTAACGTATGAGGCAAGATGAGTTTTTCTTTAGTCTGCTTAATGCTCGATGTTGTGCTCACAGGGATGGGCTTAATTTTGAACGTCTTGCATATTTTTCGGTCCATTACGATTAGCTTGTACTATGCATTTGTGTTTGGTGGACGTGTCTGTGTAAATGAGATTCATTGTTGGGTAATGAAGTGATAAGATAATATTCTCTTAAGATACATTCTCTAAACACTGAGAGGCCTATGTGTACACGGACAGTGAATAAGAGAGCTAAGTAGTATACACAACTACCCTACCGCGACTGCCTTGACTGGGCACTGTCAACACTGTCTTGGCGTTTGTTGTTTACCAGACGCATTCGTCTTACTAAACAAGCAAGAGCAGTAAGAACCAGTCACCAAACACAGAACAAACACTCGCAGGCCTCGACCTCCAAAATACGATGGTAGGCTTCGCTCTCATTGGCCACTAGCCGTTTGCAAGGTGCAAGGGCTAGTCTTCTGCTCATTTCACTGAGGTACTGTTTACTGTCGTCTGCTCTGCAAGGTTTCTCTCACCTCATCACACTACGCTCCTTCAACTTCGTGATTGACACTACAGTCTCTACTGTCCATAATTGTTCTTTCTCACGCCATACTAAAGACCAATCTCGCTACAAACATGCACGCCATGCGCACCATTGCCTTGTTCGCAGTTTCTGGTAGGTACCTTTGCACTTGTTTATGCTTGGAAAGTGTGCCTGCGGCGTCTCGTAAAAGACTGACACACAGATAGCAATCGCTGCTTTTCAGACTGGCCTGGAGGGGTATATCGTGGAGCTCACCCCGCTCGAAGCAGTGGCTGCTCGTGATGAAGGCTGTAGCAAGTTACCCAAGCTCTGCACAGATACGGTGCTGCTCCACAGTGGCCAGACGATTCTCACCTATCTGTGCCCCGAGACTCAGGGCCCGACTACCACTGTCACTATCACCTCAACTACTACTCGTACGGTGACTGGCAGCGCCACCCATGCGCCATCTTCTAGTCAGACCGGGCTTCATGTCTCTGCTTGCGATGAACTTACCACGACTACGACAATCCAGTCAACGACGCAAGTCACGGTTACAGAGAAGGTCGTCAGAGCTAGCACCGCTACCACCCCTTCAATCCTCCCGCCACCGGCTATCATCACTGCTACCTTTACAGCAATCCCGCTCTCTGAGCTTAAACCACCTTTCCCCATCAAGCCAACGTGGTCTGAGTTCAAGAATGCTTCTACCACGAGTTCTCCAACAGCTACCGGGGCGAGGGCACCTCCAGTCTTCAACTTGACCTCACCCGTCTTCAACTTCACCTCTTTCGACTTGGTTCCCACGCACGCACCCACTAACTTGTCTTCGAATGTCTACATCTCCTCAACTTCCCTTGCTGTTTCGGCCGCCTGCTATCCACATTCAGCCATTAACAGCACCTCATCTGGTATTGGATATAAATTTCCTAGTTTGAATGTCATCAGGCAGGCCGAGTCTACTACGACTGTCACCACCACTGCCTCTGGCATCATGACGATTGAGACAGGCATAGCTGATGAGAATGGCGTTTCTTTCGTTGCGCTATTCCTGGGTATGGTGGCTACTGCTCTCATGTTCTGAGCAGCATATGTCTGTTGTCCCCAGCAACTCGGCAGCCAAATTTTCGCTCAGGACAAGGTCGAGAACAGATGTGACGGGTTCAGGGCTGAATGTATCACGGAATTATGGGTATCATGGTTTGTAATATAATACAGCCCTACGAGGGATTCTGTAGGAATCAAAATGGACAGTGAAAGTAAGCAAAAAAGTCCCAGGCGCCCGTTATAGTTCCAAGCGGAGAGCTTCGTGTGATTATGCTTGTTGTTCCAGCAGCCGTACTTTCACATCAGGTAACTTGCCCCAAGAGCAAGACTACGTGGGTTAGTTGATCTACAAATATTGTTATTGACATACCACGAGGGCTGGGAGTTAAAGCTGAATGCGGTACGAATCACCCCGCGCACTGTAGTTGTAGTATGGTCATAGCTTTGTAGCAAGGGTTGTGGAACCGAAGTTGCGGACTCGCGATCCAATCACGGGACAAGCGCGCCGCAACCACGACGAACACCAAAGCCGTTCTCTCACGCGGTTTCACGACTGTTTACAGACATAATAGAACAGAGCACCCCGCAGTCTGATTGTGCTCTTCAACTGACGTTTGCCACCAATCGCGGACATTGCCTTCACGCAGCATCATCTTCTGCTACGAAAACACGCCCACTGACGAAGTCTATAGTCGCTGTCACCTCTCACATACCGCCTTTTGAGAGCACAGCGCAGCGTGCTCTATCCAAGATTGATTACAGCTTAGCCTAATAGCGCATCCTACTTCTACGAGAAACACCATTGCGATTTCGCAACCCTCCCCAGCGGATAAACGTCGAGTTGCTTAACCTCGAGTTTTGTTTGTGATTGCCACAGGCTTGCATTGAAAGTTTTAACCAAGCACAAACAGCGGCTCAGACAAGATGGCTGTTAAGAAGTCAGGCAGGGCCCAGGCGAGGGAAGAGGGTACAACGCCTGTGTACTTTGAATCGATACGACGGCTAACAGATCATAGGGCTGGAGCGGACAGACAACAACATGGATCTCACGACGTGGCCGCAAGTTGGCATGATCAACCAGAAAAACTATTACACCGAGTTCCTGAAAAGAGACGAGCAGTTTCTTGCAGTGCGATATCCGAAAGACGAGGAGAGAGCCCGCATAGTCCAAGAAGCGCGGGACAAGGATCGCGCACGCGCGCTGGGTGTGCCAGCAGCGGAAGGAGCGACACCACAAGCTGCAGACGAGACAATGGAAGATGCCGAGGCCTCATTTGCATCGAGGACTGACATCTCGAAGCTCATTGTAATACACCCTGGTAGTCAGAACCTGAGGATAGGGCTTGGATCAGATGCGTTGCCCAAGACTGTGCCCATGGTCATTGCGCGGAAATGGAAAGAGAGCGAAGACGAGGAGGATGACGGAGAACCCTGTCCTAAGAGGATCAAGGTCGATACATCTGAATCCACAGATGCGCAACCAGAGAAGTGGTTTGGAGAAGACGTGAGTTACCCGATGGGCCTTGTTCTGCATTTACTAATATGCAATACAGTTTGCCGATCAGTACATGACCATGTCGACTGAACTCAGGACGCGCATGCGCGCTAACAAGCGACGAGTACTTCCCAATTCCAAGGACCTAGTCCAAAACTACAACAAAAAGTCACCCCCAGACATCATCTCGGAGCACAACGACATCAACCGCATTGAGTGGACAGAGATACCAGCAGACCCAACCAAGGCTCCGGATTTCTTCACTGGAAACGAGGCACTACGAATTCCAGAGAAGTCGAACCCAAGATACAAGCTGTTCTGGCCCATACGGAATGGCACGTTCAACGAGAAAGACTACCGCGATCGCAATCAAATCTACCACGACATTTCCAAGATATTCGAAGAAGCCTTCCGGAGCCAACTGGGGATTACAAAGCTGAAGGACCTTGTTAACTACAAGTGTGTGTTCATTATCCCAGATCTCTACGAACGACAGTACGTGACCATGATTCTCGATATCCTGATGCGAGACCTTGGCCTTGGAAAGGTCTGCCTGCAGCAAGAGTCTCTCTCGGCTACATTCGGCGCGGGCTACGGTGTTGCATGTGTGGTCGATATTGGTGCGCAGAAGACGTCGATTTGCTGTGTCGATGAAGGGCTGTGTGCTGAGGAGTCACGCGTCAACTTGAAGATGGGCGGTGCCGACGTGACGGAGACGTTCATCAAGATGATGCTGTACGGCCATTTCCCGTATGCGGATATGAACCTGAAACGGAGATACGACTGGCTGCTTGCTGAAGAGCTAAAGCAAAAGTTCTGTTCTATGGATGAGGGTGCTGTCACGGTGCAGACTTGGGACTTTCATCTCCGAGCTTGGAACCAGGACACACGCAAGTATACGTTCAAGACATACGATGAGACTATGCTCTCGGTAATGGTAAGTAACAAATGTATAGTAGGCACGGTACGTTTGCTGATTATACATAGGGTTTCTTCAAACCATCAATATTCGACAACTCTCGGAAACTCGAGAACCGACGAAAAGTGGTGCCCCGTTCGGTAGATCTATACGACGGGTCGCCAAACGACCCCATGTCCCAGGCACAAATTGCCGTCATCGAAGCTGCAGCAGGCAAGCCCGTCGTTCCGATCAGCAACGGCGCACTGGAAGCAGTAAACACCACCGCCCCGGTATCAACACCTCAACGCCCACAAGCAAACGCCCTAAGTCTGCTCAACCGGCTAAATGAGGGCGAAAACACGCCGCGGTCCTCCGTGGCAGGCTCCCCCGGCCCCGAAGGCGCCAACACACCCAATCCCGACCGCGACACGCCCATGGGCGACGGTGATGGCCCCCCGTTACTCGTCCGCGACCCGATTGACGAGAAGACTAAAGTAGCCGAAGCCCGCGACGCCATCCTCCCCATCCAAGCCCTCGATCACGCTATCCTCGAGTCGCTCGCGCACGGCGCCCGCGGCGACGACCGCAAACTCCGCGACTTCTTCGGCGGCATCATGCTCGTCGGCGGCGCCTCAAAGACGCCAGGGCTCCGCGAGTTTCTGGAGATGCGGCTCCGTGAGTTACGGCCAGGGTATGGTAAGGAAATTCTTGTGGGGCCTCCACCCCGTGATTTTGATCCTCAGGTTGTGGTGTGGAAGGGGGGAAGCGTGTTTGGGCGGCTGAGTAGTCATGGGAACGATGGGTGGATTAGTCGGTATGAGTATGATATGCTTGGGGCGAGGCTGTTGAATACCAAGTGTATGTTTGCGTGGTGAGGGAGGGGATGGAGGACGTTTAGTTCTTTTTTCTTCTTCTCATAAGTAGGGGAAGGGGAAGAAGGGTATCGGGATGGAGTTTTTTTTGGTACATGGGAATGGTATACGAGTGTCTATGTGATTTGTTTTGTTTGTTTGTTTGTCGTCGGGCAATACATGGCCAATTGCGTGGAGAGACCAAAGTTGTACGTGTAGAGCGAGAATGTGCAAAAAGAAACCCTCCCCCCCCCCTACTTTTATTGCTGATAGTATGCTTGGATTATCATAAACACGTTCTTCATCCCTAGGTCCCCCTCCCCCCCTTTCTTTCGCCCAAGCAAATAGACTTGCGACCGTATGAGTACGTTACCATTACTCAGGACATCTACCTCTACATGAGGTGATTGTTGTTGTGGGGTGGAAAAAAACAAGTCCGTACGTGTGCCTTGTTTACCTGCGGGAAATAGGAAAGAGGGAATTACTCGTGTAAGTAAACATGGTATCTGACCAGGGGGAAGGTGGGGTCCCCGGTGGCCCGGTCAGCGACTTGGGTTTATCGGATGATAGCTAAGGTAGATCGACTCGTATTTGCGCAAAAACATCTCATCATTTTTTACAAGTAAGTATTTTTTTGTCCTCAGGGTAATGATGCGCCATGGGAGGAAGTTTTGAGATATCTTTTTTCGGTTAGTTTCCGACATGGCCTAAATTTGGGTTTGTTCAGGGAAGAGGTGTGTTATGTATGATGAATTGTCGGTGTGAAGTACGTATTGAGACATTCGTGTAAGTAATGTGGTACACCTGCAAAGCGCAGACTGGCGTCTTTAACGTTGCATGAGAAATAGGTTTCCATGAGACGGAAAACAATGTAACTTGTTTGGTTTCTTGTTGTACTACATATGTTTCAGGACAAAAGTACGCAGATACGAAGGGCAAAGGTGATGATGCCGCGCGCTCCGGACCTTCGGGGCGTAAGTAGTGGAGTATCTTGTCCTTCGGTAGCCGCGTTGTCGGATCATTTCAAGGCAAAAGATTTGTCAGCATGTGCAACAACGAATGATACAAGAGTGGAGCTGGTGGACTCTCGGCGCCAGATCAGATTATGGAAGATGGCGATGACGGGAAGGATGATGATGGTCACGCATGTAATGCAAGTAAGCCATCGAGATTCGACATCGCGTGCATGCAAAGCATTTTGTTGTCTAGATTGGGTTGGAGGAAAGGCAATCAGACGTCGAGATTGTTTCGGACAAACCGCGGAGGTTATACGCATGCGGGTAGTAAGTGTATTATACGTAAGCGTGCTTGGAGCTCCGGTGGGGCCGCTTGCCATGGTAATCACTCGCCACTATACGCTGAACTTGATTTGCCTCTCTTTCGCTATGGGTGTAGTCAGTTGTGATTGCAGGAGAGGATCAAGGCGATGCGTCGTGAGTGCGTGGAGCTCGCTCAGTCATCAAAGGGCGGCAGATATGGAGAGATATTGTATTGGGCGTAAGTAATAGAGGTTATTGCTTGAGCCCAATCTCGGCAGCCTTTTGATTACAAAACTCGGCCATCTCGATATCCTTTGTACTAAGTCCGTTGGGAGAGTGAGTGGTCCATTCAATGGTGACATGATTATAGAGATTAGACCAGGAGGGATGGTGGTTCTTGGCCTTGCATTCATCTGCGATGAGGGACATGAAGCGCCAGGCTTTGGTAAAAGAAGAAAAAGTAAATTGACGCACGACGCCTTTCCGGGAGCCGGTGAGTTGCCAGTCAGGAAAGAGCTTTAATGCTCGATGGGGCAGGTCAGCGGGCTGGTCGGCAGAGAAGATTATGTCATGTGGTGGTGGTGGAGGTGGGCGAGCATGGGACGTGTAAGTTGCACAGGGCAATAACGCTGTACCTTGGGCCGGCAGTAGGAGCAAGGACGTTGTTGTGCGACGACTGCGGATGTGGGGCAAGAGTGGCTGGTAAAGTAATAGCAGCCGTATGCTGGAGCAGTACTTGGCCTTTGAATTAGAGGGAGTGAGTGCACGCCAAGGTGTGGTAGTGGTGAGAAGTGACGGGACCGCCCGAACCAGGCGGGCAGAGGGAGCCATGCAGGCTAGAGGGCTCGGGTGAGTATGGGTGAGAGGCGAGAGTGTCGAGGACAGACGAGGCGGAGGGAGCGCTTTGGTTGCTGCATTCAGGCCAGACGGGAGCGTCGGATGTGGAAACTCTTGTGGCCCGGATGAAGTAATCAGACATTGGGACGCGCTAGGCCCAAAGCGGTACGTACTTGTGGCATAGACTGCGGGTGCTGGGCGGTTACCGAATAGTCGGAGAATTGGTCAGCGATTGATTGAACAGGTCGAGCGGCTCGATAACTCTGTCTGTATAGCCTCAGTGTCTGCATCCTTAGCCAAGCGCGTAATACACGTCCATGTACACTAGAACAAGTAGGTGAGTAGCAGGGCACGATACGCTCATCAGGCCTGGTGCCCGCGACGTTTGTTGTTGCGAGGGCTGCTATTCTGCTCTGCTCTACTCTGCTCTGCTCTGGGCTGCGCTGCCCTATGTCGCTGTGCTCTCCGGCTATCCGCCCGCCTACTTAAACGCGCAACGCCCGCCCACCTTAGTCAAAGCTGCGTAATCCACTTCCCGACCAACTGCATCATCACGTCCCCAGGTGAGCGACACCATCCCCAATCACAAACAATTATGCTGTCGCGACACTGCCTGATCCGCGCACAACTCGACACCGACATGCTGACTCGCCTGTCCACAGTTGGTCCTGCTGCTCCTGCTGCTCTTCTCCCCCCATAGCCATAGCCATAGCCACAGCTACTACAGTGTCGCGACGTCACCCGCATCCCGCTCCACCAATTCCTGTCACTGCCACTGTCACTGCCACTGTGACTGCTTGCCCACCACCACCGCCACAGCCACACGACCAGCGCTGCTCTGCTCTGCTCTGCTGCCTCTCGCCCGTTGCGCCTCGAATGAGTCCCACTCTGCACCATCCCTCGATCCGCACCGACACGGCCTCCATCATGCAGACATCGGCCGCTCAGGTAAGCTTTGCTGACGATTTTAGGCCTTTGCCCTGCTGACTCCCCACCTAGGACCAGTCCAAGCCTACCATCGAGATGAGTTAGTCACTCCCCGCATCCCGTCTCTCGTCCAGCTGACTAACGCCTATCACCATCAAGGCTTAAGAGAACACTTACTCGCTGCTGGCGCTGGCCAGCCCGCCGTACAGCCTTTGCCCCAGCACCCGACACATTCTCAACACCCACACCCTCCCAGCCAGCCCCACGCCATTGACCCTGCCATTGGCGGCCCGACCTCGTACGACATGAGCGCTGGCGGCCCCGACGACGGCAATACCAGTGAGGGTCGCTCAAAGGGACGGAGAGAGCTGTCCACGTCCAAGCGCGCTGCCCAGAATCGCGCTGCTCAGGTACGGCTGCAGCCCACAGCCCGCCCTCGTGTCGCGCCATGCTAACTTGGACAGCGCGCATTCCGTCAGCGCAAGGAGGAGTACATCAAGCAGCTCAAAGACCAGGTCAAGGAGTTTGAGCAGCTATGCGAGCTCTACAAGACGCTTCAGACCGAGAACTATCAATTGCGCGACTACATCATCAACCTCCAATCCCGACTCCTCGAGACCCAGGGCGAGATCCCCCCTGCCCCGGCTGGTGTAGACCTCAACCGACCGCACGCCGAGCAAGCCAACATGCACCCCCAGCCACAGCCACCCCAGACCCCACAACAGCCCGAGCAGCAACAGCAGCAGCAACAACCTGCGCAGAACAACAGCAACGGCGGCCTGTCGGAGCGCCAGATTGGTGAGCTACAAATGGCAGCCCAAGCAGCAGCCGCCGCTCAGCACAGCACGGCCGGCACCAAACACGCAAACGTCGATAGTTCATATGACTTCACAGAGAAGCGCCAAAAGGTCGACGAATCTCCCCAAGGTCAGCACTATCCGCTACCCCCTCCCTTGTTCCTCTATAGCCCCAGCTCAATTGCTTATTGAGAGAGTAGCCACTCCGATCCATGGCTTACCAGCGTAGTAGGCTCGGGCGCATCTGCCGATTACGATGCATTCGTCAATGAGATGCACCACACCAAGCAGGCGGCATAGCCATCTTAACATGCGCGTCGCCTGATTTGTTTTCTTCGACTTTTCTTTTATGATGTAATGCATAGGCCACGACGCTTGTCTACGCTCGGGCCAGCGGTGTAACATGACTGGCGTATGGAGTCTGGTGTCGTACCATACTTTTTTGCCTTTTGCTTTCTCTTCTACCATTGCCGTCATACTAAAGCATTTCGTGTGGCTGTCGCAGTAGAATTTTCCACGTTCTTAATCTGCCTAGTGATGAGGCCGGGAACAACCAGAACTTCATTTTCTTTCGGGCAGCCTTTGTGCCATCTGTTTTCCACAGTACTCTCGTTCACAAATGTTTGTGAACCATGGACTTGATTCGGCAAGGAAACATTACAAGGCATTGCAACGGCCAAACTTATATTTGTTGATACTTTTTAAGGTATCCAATGTTGAAATACTAGCTGTTTAGTTGGTGGGTAGTCTTGTATGCATATTTGAGTAGCCGTTTACTAAACGGAGGATGCATTGTGATTTATCTTATCTCCTTGCGCTTACATAATTGTCTATAGGAACAGTATACATGTATTTGGTACTCACAAGTAGATCAACCCCAAACTAGCAACTCATGCACTATACCACAAAGATTAGTGCCAGCAACAAGGCGGACGTGTAGACAGTATAGTATGTACAACTCGCGACACGCAGACATGTCTCTGGGACCTTGTTGATTGTTCATCATACAGAATGGCATTTCTAGCTGTAGGAGAAACTACGGCCAGCATCGTATAAACCATCCGATCAAAGTATATACACCAAAATCCTCCCTCTCTCTCTCTCGCTTCCTACATAAAGAATTTACAAGCAAGTCCCCGGGATCGAAGCAGTAGCATTCCTAATAGAACCCTGGAAGAAGCCTCCTCCAGCGCACTGCACAGCCTTGAAGAAAGCCTTTGCCACAGCATCTGCGCCCTTGGCATTCGTATGCGTATGGTCTCCAGCCACAAACAAGGCATCCGTACCCGCCTTACCGAGACCCTTAAACATATTCGCCGTATACTTGCCATGATCCACAAACATGGCATTGCTCCCCAACGCTTTCGCCACATCCCTCGCATACCCCACAAACCGGCCCCCGTCCGTATACTGGAAACTGCCGCTCTCCCACGGATTATTTGGCGTCTGAGAACTTACAATCACCTTTGCCCCCTTTGCTATAAACTTTTTACCGGCCTCCGTCAGGTACCAATTGTACGTGCGCACGGTAACTTTTTGGCCGTTGTATGTTGAGTTGCAGATTTCGTTGCCGGTGCCAGGGCAGACGGAGCGGCCGTTGTCGGAGCTGCTGAGCGAGCCGCCGTCGTTGTGTCCGAATTCCATGGTTACAATGTCGCCGGGCTTGATGAGGTTGGCGATTTCGTCGAAGCGGCCTTCGACGGTGTAGGAGCGCGAGCTGCGGCCGCCGATGGCTTTGTTGACGGAGGGGATGGTGAGGGTGTAGGCGGTGAATGCGCCCCAGCCTATATTTGAGTTAGGATATATTGGGTATTGGGGAAGGGAGAACACGTACCGGTTATGACGTTGTTCCCTCTCGCCATTGTCGAGTCGCCAGCGAAATACGCAGTTGGTGCGCGCTTGTCGAGCGTGTTGCTCGGTGCGGCTGCGACGGTTGCGACGAGCGCGAGGCTGGAGAGGAGAGTTGGTGTGTACATTTTTTTCCCTTTCTTTCTTTCTTTCTTTCTTTCTTTCTTTCTTTCTTTCTTTCTTTCTTCCTATGTCCCTTGCTTTTATTTTTCTTTCTCTTCAGAACCCTCAGATATGGACGATCGAAAGCAAACGCAAGAAAAAAACGGCTGCGTACCACCGTGGGAAAAGGTACGTTTTATATATACACAGACATGAGCGCCTTCAACACCCCCTCTCATCTAATATATACCCAAGTATGAAACAGACGCAAGGACGGACATAGCGTCCCCTTCCCGCACATAGTTTCTCCAATTCTTCCGTGCAAATGACCGATGGTCTGGTACCTGTATATTACCCTCCTGCCGCCACACACACCCATACCTACCTCCACAAGGTCCCCCTCCTTCTTACATTGGTTACTCACCGGAGAATCAGTCTACTTAGGTCTGAAACGCACCAGCGAGTGGTGCTAAGCTTTTTTTAAGTAAACTCTTTTTTTCGTTCTTGCTTTTATAGTACCCCATGTCCCGCTTGTTGCAATTCCACCGCTTAGAAGGCTGCGACGGTAAGGAAGGTGGCAAGGGGGGTGGGTGGGAGAGCTAGCTCCCCGCTGCTTATCACTGGGGGAATTCTCCGAGGGTATGGAGATGGAGCGGGTCAGGTTGAGCGGCACTACTGACCCTGAGAACGTTGCGGGCCGTGCGAGTCCGGCTCAACTGGGAATCTTCTCTAGTATGGTCTCGAATTGGGGATTTGATATATCGTTAGATGTTGCACTGTTTGAACACCTCGTGCATTGTTTTGCGACCGACGGTTGCATTTGCGGAGATACTTTGCTCTTCTGCCCGTCCCGCTTGCGCTAGTGTATAGCGGGGCATCTCCACCCGAGGGATGGCACAATCCACTTTATGTATATATGCATTCGCATTTGCTGGATGTTTATGTTATTTGGGAAACATGTGGTCATGCTTCGTTTGTGCGGGGAAATTGTCGGGTTTGGGGGGATTTGCGAGGGAAACGGTACCAGTTGGGTTAGTACTTGTTTCGCATGACTTTTGTTCGGTAGGAAGGCAGTTGTGATTGCGACGAGGGATAGGGAGCTATATTTGGATGTTTTCCCGATACATTGTTGCTGTTGCGCTGTAGTAAACTTTAATGCAGCCGCTGAGTGTTGGACGGGTGGGTAGGGCGACAGACAGGCCTGGTGCGCATCAGTGCGCTTTTGAGTTTCTACAAGGGGCATGTCACTGCTGGGGACAGCTCGCTTGAGAGCCACCGAGTCTGAGCTGACTCTACTTACCTATGTTCTCTGGACCCTGAGGCTTTTATATATTGTTTTTGATATACTGTCTTATACATTTTTGTTGTAGATCTTGAAAGTGGTGAAAGCTGCAAAAAGGGCGAGAAGAATAGTAAACTGAGAAGTTGAGCGAGCCCTACCCAGCTAGCAGTTGTTCAGAGGTTACGACTATCGTGTGATCATATGTTGCATTTTTGCTGATTGGTACATAACCAGTGACAAACTGTCGGATAGCTGTTCAAGATGATTTACACGTAGCTATAGTCTGATCAGGCATTGAAGTGACTGACGTGAGAACATGTCAGATTGACTGCCTCGAATCAATGCTTATGGAATACGGTCGCACGATACAAAATTATCCTGAATCTCGTTCCAAGAAAAGCACCATCTCCGAGCAAAATCAGCTCGTTTGATATAACCCCCTAGTTCTTTTGTGCATCTGTTGTACTCTGAGGTCTCAGGAAGAATGCCTCCCGATAATATCTTGCTTCCTCGATGCTTTCCAGGATGTCTTGCCGTGCTTCGTGCAGCATCTTTTTTCTTGGAATCTTTGCCAGTGTCTCTTTCGGGGCCCATCTGCGTGCAGCTTCCTTGATGCTACTGACATCCAGAATTCGGTAGTGAAGATGATCTACTACAATGTGATAGGGCTGCTTAACAAGAAAACCTTTGTCGGCATGCACAGAGTTACCTGCGAGGAGAGCTGTGCGGCGTTCGGGTACGTATTTTTTGATGTAGTTGAGTAGACCCTCAGCAGCTTCCTCCGCAGTGGTGGTAGAGTCAATACAGGCCTGCGTCAGCCCTGAATCCCCGTGATGGTTGGTGCACCATTCTCCCATGCGGTCAAGCTGCTCTTTTTCGTGATGAATGATTGCTTCAAAGCCTGTGTCATCCAAGATATTGAGGTCCGCATCAGTGACAAATGCGGCAAATGACATAATGGTGTCATTGTTGGTGTCCAGGCCAGTCATCTAGCAGGGTCAATGAAAATGATTCAAGAATCTCATCGTAAGCATACCTCACAGTCTATCCAGACCAGAGGAGCTTTCGATACTGAAGCCATTGCGACGTGTATGTATGCGCTGGAAACGGTTGATGGAGGGGAAGTAATAGAATGAACAAATTAGGATAGTGGCTTGGCGCGGTTAATAGCCAGTCGCGTCGCGTTCACGGTGGCCGTTAGCGCGTCGCCCCTGCGCTCTACCTGTTGTCCCGCCATTCAAACACGCCCACAAACCCATCCCATACCCAATTCCTTCTCTTCGCTTGTTTGCTCATATACTTAATCGTTGTAATACATCATGCCACGAGCAGCCAAGAAGACGGGCGCTGCCCTCCTGGCAGAATTGCGGGCCAATCGTGCCGCTGGCAAGACGCGCATGTCCACATATGAGGTTGCTGAAGAAGAGCAATTATATGACGAGGTCGACGAAGAGGGATACAAGAAGATTGTGCGGGGCAGATTGGATGAGGACGACTTTGTGGTTGGCGACGAGGGCGAGGGATATGTCGACGACGGCAGAGAAGAGTGGGACGATGATCAGGGTCGATACCGCTATGCTGGGACTGAGAGCGAGGACGAAGACGAGCGACCCGCCAAGGGGAAAGCAGGTATACTTTGACAACCAACGGCTTCTTTGCAGAACTAACACGTAGTAGCCAAGCGTAAACGCGAAGAAGATGAGGAAAAACGGAAGAAGATTGACAATGGTATCAGCAAATACTTTAGCGCAAAGAATGCTGCCATGGCACCAAAATCCAAGGTAAGAAATCCAAGCACTTTATATACCTTATCGAGAGCTGAAATTTCCAGCCTGTTGCTACTGCCGCAGACAAAGACTTTATGGATGATCTGCTGGGTGAAATAGATACGAACCCTACCCTTACCTCTACGATCCGAACACGACCCATCAAAACCGAAGCAAGACGCAAAACTCGCCTACTGTCGCCTCCCATATCTGAGAGCCGCCCAGCAGCGACGAAGCGACGGACGAATGACTCGGACAGTCACATGCCAGGTACACCGCCAGCAGAAGCTGCTGAGGCAGACGATGACGGCCTTCCAATATTCCACGACGACGTTCCTATGAGCGACCCTCCACTACAATCATCCCCCGTCGCAAAGGCTGTCGAGCGGAGAACACAGCCTGGAGTTAAGATTGAGGAAGAAGAAGACGATCTAATGGAAATCTCCGAGCCTACAGGCCAGCTCGGCGCCCCCGTTGCCAGCGTCAATATGGCCGGCCGGCGGCCGATAGCAAAGATCAAACAGGAGAACGTTCCTACGCCCGCTGGGTCTTCACCTACTAAACCGTCTGCAACGAACATCGATGCTTCTTCTTGGAATGACGTCACAAGCAACCTCAATGTCATGAGCAGTCCCGCTCCACAGACTGCAGGAGCCGGAAAATTGCAGCCACAGGATGCTCTAGAAGAGGATGGTAGCTTGCGCATGTTCTGGATTGACTACACTGAATTGAACGGCAGCCTATGCTTATTCGGCAAAGTTAAGGATCGGAAGTCGGGCAACTATGTCAGTTGCTTTCTGAAAATCGACAACATCCTACGAAAGCTGTATTTCTTGCCCAGGGAATACCGTCAAGTCAGAGGGGTAACTACTGATGAAGAAATTGAGCTAAGTGACGTGTCAGACGAGGTGGATTCGATTATGAGCAAGCATCGGGTCAACCTACACAAGATCAAGCCATGTACAAGAAAGTACGCTTTCGAGTTGGCTGACATCCCTAAAGAGGCAGACTACCTCAAACTTCTTTACGGTTACGATAAGATGCCTCTGTCTACTGATTTAACAGGAGAGACATTCTCGCACGTCTTTGGAACCAACACATCCCTCTTTGAGCAGTTCGTTTTGTGGAAGAACATCATGGGGCCATGCTGGCTGAAGATAGATGCGCCTGACTTTGGTCCAGTTGCCAATGCTTCCTGGTGCAAACTCGAGGCTCAAGTTGTCAAGCCCAACAACATCACGGTCTTGAGTGCTTCGGACAACCTCGATGCGCCTCCCATGACACTTATGAGTCTTTCTCTTCGGACCACGTTCAACGCCAAGGACAACAAGCAGGAGATCCTGATGGCCAGCGCCATGATTTACGACAATTTCTCGTTGACCGACACCACGCCCGTGGACCAGATGCAATGCAAAAGTTTTACCATTATGCGGCCGAACGGACCTGCTTTCCCCATCGGCTTTCAGGGCGAAGTCGAGAAGATCAAGGGTAATATGTACCTGAAGAAGACTGAGCAAGAACTTCTCAGCCTTTTAATGGCCATGTTTCAACGGCACGACCCCGATGTCCTTGTCGGTCATCGTCTGGACGATGTAGATTACAGTGTCCTGCTGAATCGTCTACGCGAAAAGAAAACACCTGGATGGCACCGCATTGGGCGCCTCAAGAGGAGTGACTGGCCCAAGACTATGGGTAAGGGTGGAGGCAGCTTCTTCGCTGAGAAGCAGTTGGCTTCTGGCCGCTTGCTGTGTGATTTGGCTAATGACATGGGAAAGTCTCTCATGCCCAAGTGTCAATCGTGGAGTCTGGAAGAAATGTGTCAGCTCGGTCTCAACAAGCGACGTGAAGAGCTCGACAATGAGGCCGCTCTGAAGACTTGGGCAACAACAAAAGATGGTCTCCTGAACTATGTCAAACACTGCCAGGCTGATGCTTACTTCATCGCTGCCATAGCAATCAAGGTGCAGATGCTCCCCCTCTCTAAGGTCCTGACCAACTTGGCTGGTAACTCTTGGGCTCGAACGCTAAGTGGAACTCGCGCCGAACGCAACGAATACATTTTGCTCCACGAGTTTTACAGAAACAAGTACATCTGCCCGGACAAGCAGTGGGGCAAGAGCAAAGTCAAGGCAGAGGAAGAGGCGGCTGAGGGAGAAGAAGGTGCAGATGCTAAGAAGAAGGACAAGTTCAAAGGTGGTCTCGTCTTCGAGCCTGAAAAGGGTCTCTATGACAAGTTCATCCTGGTCATGGACTTCAACTCCCTTTATCCCAGTATTATTCAGGAGTACAACATTTGCTTCACGACAGTTGAGCGATCTGACATCTCGGAAGATGACGACAAGGTGCCCGAAGTTCCTTCAGACCAAGACCAGGGTATCTTACCACGCCTTATTGCTACGCTTGTCTCTCGCCGTCGGGAGGTGAAGAAGCTTATGAAGGCTAAAGATGCCACTCCTGATCAGCTGGCTACCTGGGATATCAAGCAAATGGCTCTGAAACTCACCGCCAACTCTATGTACGGATGTTTGGGTTATACCAAGTCTCGCTTCTACGCACGGCCGCTCGCAATGCTCACCACATACAAAGGTCGAGAGATTTTACGAAAGACCAAGGAGATGGCCGAGGAGAAGGCGCTTCGTGTCATTTACGGTGATACCGACTCAGTGATGATCAACACTAACGTCGACAACATCCAGGATGCGATCAAACTGGGAAATGAGTTCAAGAAAGAGGTCAACGACAGTTACAGGCTATTGGAGATTGACATTGATAACGTCTTCCGCCGAATTTTGCTGCACGCAAAGAAGAAGTACGCTGCCATCAATATGGTGCCTGTGGATGGCAAATACATCGAGAAACTCGAAGTCAAGGGTCTCGACATGAGGCGCAGAGAGTACTGCGCTCTCTCCAAGGAAACATCGACGTGAGTTTTACCGGTCGTCATTGATTACTGTGCATAGCTAACGGATCATAGGGAGCTACTCAACTTCCTTCTTAGTGGTGAGGACCCTGAAGTAGTCGTCGAGAAGATTCACAATCACCTCCGAGAGCTCAGCAAGCAAATGCGTGAGTACGTCATTCCGCCTCGGAAGTACACCATCTACACGCAGCTCGGAAAGAACCCGAAGGAATATCCCAACGGCAACTCCATGCCCTCGGTGCAAGTTGCTTTGCGCCTCATGGCCAAGGGTAAACACGTCAAGGCAAAAGATGTCATGAGCTTCATCATCACTGGAGAGTCTTCTGGATCTGCCGAGAATGCAGCCAAAAACGCCTACCCGGTCGATGAAGTCCTGAAGCCTGATAGCGGACTGAAGCCAGATATCGACTACTACCTCCACAAACAGATTCTGCCACCGGTGGAGCGTCTCTGTGCGCCCATTAGCGGAACAAATATCACGCTTCTTGCTGCCTGTCTTGGGCTTGATACGTCTAAATATCGCGTCAGCACAGTTTCTGGAGGTGCGCAACAAGAGACCGAGATCCACCCTCTGGAGTCACAGATCCCAGACTCCGTACGCTTCCAATCCTGCTCGCCGCTTTGGCTACGCTGTCGAACCTGTACAACTGTCTTCCCCTTCCAGGGTCTCTCCCCGACTTCACCAACCACAGCGTCGTTACAAACAATCTCGCACAGTGGGATCCAGTGTCCTGCTGAAGGCTGTGGCATGACCTTACAAAACATCAGTGTAGTAGCACAGCTAGAGTCTGCAATTCGCCAGGTCGTCGCCTCCTACTACGCGGGATACGTTCTCTGCGATGACCCACAATGTTCGAACCGCACACGCAGCATCTCCGTCTATGGCCACCGATGCTTGGGTCCTAAGGGCCTCGCTCGGGATTGCTTGGGCAAGATGACTTACGAGATCAAAGAACGCGACGTATGGAATCAGCTTCTGTACTATCAGTCTCTTTTCGACGCTGATCGTGCGGGCAAGATGGATGGTGGTATCAAATCCGAGGATATGGAGAGAAGAGAGAAGATCAAAGTGTTGGCTGAAGTTAACAGAGAGAGATTTGATACGCTGAAGGGTGTTGTTGAGAAATGGTTGGAAAAGAACGGAAGGCAATGGGTACAGATGGATAGCTTGTTTTCCTTTGTGCCCAAGGCATGATGAATGGCCTCGATGTATGCTTGGATACCAATAACTGTTTTCATATGCATCGTAGATGATGAGGTTCGCATACGGTAGGATGTTAGCATGTTACGATTTCGCTCAGTTGCATAGTGTAGCACTTTTTTGAATCAACGAATCTTGCAATCACGGCATTCAACTTCTTTTGCCTTCTTTACGTGAGTATATATGCATGTTTGGGGATAATGATATTAAAAATTATGTGGCTCGTTTATTGTTGACGAGTAGGTAGTCCAAGCGAGCCTCTCCCTCAAGAACCATTGACTTTATACTGTCGCGATGCCTCTAGGAACAGCATCGTTGTATGAAGCAGTCCTCCCTCCGGTTTTTAAGGCCATTTGACACGCCTCGTGGAAGATGGTGATGAAGCGGTGGATGTCGTGGAAGGAGTTGTACAATGGTGCTGGCGCAATCCTCAGCACATCAGGTTTGCGTTCGTCCACTACTACACCGCGTTCCTCAATGTAGTACTGAACCTTGTCCAACAAACCTGGATTGAGGAGCACACTAAGTTGTGCGCCGCGCTCCATGGGATTCGCAGGTGTGATGATTTTGTACGGTGGTTCGCCATGTGGATACTTGAGTAGCCGGGCCTCGAGGTACGCCGTCAGTCTGAGACTGCGTTCTCGTAGGGCTTCTATGTCGGTTAGCGCGAAGACATCTAAGCTTGCCATTACGGAGGTAATATCGAGTGCGCTTGGGTTGCTAAGTTGGAAGCCACTAGCACCAGTGATAGGGACGAATTGGTTGTCCATGCGGAATCTGCTGCTCTTATCGCTTCCCCACCAGCCACTCAAGCGCGGGCGGTATGATAGTTGCGCGCCATTTTCTGATGTGCTGCCTGTGCCGTTTGTTCGAGGTGTAGAGGCTCTTTCTACCTTGCCGTGTCTTTCGTGGACGAAGAGTCCGCCAATGGTGCCTGGGCCGCCATTCATGTATTTGTAGTTACACCACGCTGCAAAGTCGACGTTCCAGTCGTGTAACTTCAATGGTATGTTTCCTGTTGCATGCGCCAAGTCCCAGCCTACTGTTATGCCCAATGATCGGCAGTGACGCGTTATCAGCTCGATGTCGAAGAATTGACCGGAGTAGAATTGGATGCCGGGTAGAAGGACGAGGGCAGTACTTGGGGCGTGGTGTGAAATCACGGAGAGGATGTGCTCATTCGAGAGGTAGGGCGAGGAGGGTGATGGTGGATCGATGGTGATTAAAGCGGAGGGGTCAAGGTTGTGGTGTGCGATTTGCGAGAGAGCAGCATACTATCGGGTTGTCAGTCAGTCACTGGTGCATACTGAATTACGGTTGGGTAGCATACATGGTCGCTAGGAAATGCCTTGCCCTCGATGATAATCTTCCACCTATCCTTGGTCGGACGGTAAAAACTAGCCATCAAAAGGTGCAGGTTCGCAGTCAATGTCTCCATGACGACGACTTCACTGGGATGCGCCCCGACAATCTTTGCTGTCTGGTTTTTGACTGCATCGTCGATGTGTAGCCATGGCGGAAGACCTCCTTCGTAATTGGTAAAATGTCCAAAGACGCCCTTTGAAGCCCAAGTATCGAGATAACGATTGATGTACTCTTTAGTTCTTCGCGGTTGAAGCCCAAGAGAGTTTCCGCAAAAGTATATGGATTCCTCGTTGTCGTCTGATCGCGCACTTGCATTTTTTTCTTTCCGCTGGAATCCATAATTGCGGTTCCTCAGATCGCCCTTGGTGGGTATGACGAACTCATTCCTCAACTTACTCAATCCGTCCTTCTCATCTTCGCGTCGCGCAAACTGCTCGGCGCGAAGTTCGAGCTCCGGTATCGCTAGGTAAGGGTTGTGACCGTAAGGCATTGTCGCGAGGGACAAAGGAGGCAGCGTCAGCGCTATGCTGAGTCACGGTGCATGAGGTACCAAGGTCACAGATCAGAAAGTCTGCTGAATGAGATTATTTAAGTAAGCATCAGGTACGATAAGTAAATAGCTCGAACGGGTAGGGCTGTAACAACCCGGTGGCTCACCCGATGGATGGTGGCGGTGGCACAAGGTGGGGGTAGTTTCGTGACTAAGCGGTCCAGAACCGCGAGGCAGCAATCAACGTTGATTGGTGCTAGAAATTGTGACATCCTTAGCTATGACCTCAGATCTTCGATCCCTCCACCTCGGACATCTTCTCGGACTATTTCGGTATCGCAACAATGACATCTCCATCTACCATGTGTTTGTCATGCTGGCGCGCAGCGAGACGGACTATTACACCAAGAGTAACTGCACCCACAACAATCGTATCACAATCTGTGAGGGCACATAGCAGGATCGCCGCCTCGCGCGCCACTCCGCAGTCGCTATATCTCGACTTCCTTGCACCTTCTGCCCTACTATGGAGAGCTTCAAGACATATCCCAGCACACAATTCAGCATTTGTACAGCCATCAAGAATATCACGACGAGCTCTCGCAACATCATCCGATGCCTCGACCGCAAAACCTGCCCATGTAATCCAAAATCCACGAACCGACGACTCGGGCAACCCAATGTTGATTTCTATCGCACCACGTGCATCGAACCGCCTTTATAAAATATCTACAGGCGATAATAATCCAAACCTTGCGCTGCGCGTGACAATCGAGAGCGGTGGCTGCCATGGTTTCCAATATCTCATGGACCTAACGGACTTGTCCAAGAATCCACCTACCGAGGAAGATACTGTATTCGAAGGGGAGAAGGGAGAGAAGGTCGTCATCGATGAGTCGAGCCTGGAGTTGCTGAATGGGAGCACAGTGGATTACACAATGGAATTGATAGGCAGCCAGTTCAAGATAACAGGCATACCGGGGGCAACGAGTAGTTGTGGCTGTGGGACGAGCTTTGATATTAAGATATGAACACATGGGGGAAGGGTTCTTCTGTTCGGCGCCTCGGCCGAACATTTAGCTGATCATGGCCAGTTTCCATTGTTATTACCATCCGTGGGCATACAAGGAGCTGTGCACAAGCTTTTGTTCTGTAACCACTCGCGGCTTTTCCCTGGTTACCCTTCAAAGTACGGCCATCAAGCCCTGTCTCAACTCGCCTGTTCTCAGACGCTCTCAACAATTGTGCACGCTTGACTGTCTTATGGGCCGCTCTGACGGCTGGAGCTCAGATTGAAACTTGCTGTGACCCCTTTCTTTTGTTTTTATTGAATGATTAATCTGAGTTTTGACCCTTGTGTCCAAGCTTGGTGTCTCTACTCTCACACGATATGGGTTTCTGGCCCTTTTTCTATTTGTCCACTAAAATTCGGAATACTTCACCGGCTGAAGCAAATGTGGATCGACACAGGTTGTATATCCATGCACAATCGACACGAGGAGCGGATGTCAGTCAGAAGTGCGCCATCCAGCATTAAAATCTCAGCATCATGATTACTACGATACGTTACTACAAAATAGGGCATTATGAAAAGGTTTGTGAACCCCGAAAGCAACTACATAATAACAAAATAAACCCTGGTTCCAAGAGATATTCTCCGCCAACCGGTGCTTATGCAAGGGGCAAGTCCTTCAGCATGGAAACAATGGTTTAATCGGGCACTTTGGGATGGAGTTGGTAGGCCGAGAGGCATTCACAGCCCTCTGATATTCAAAAAAGGAAGCCATGAAAAATTGGCTCATTTTCGGATGAACCCAGATCCTCGGTTGTGCATTGGCTCCTAAGAACCCTAAGCTTTCCAGAGAGTAAATTACTACAATGATTTCAGAAGCATTTAGCCGCACCGTCGAGCGAACCTGCTCTTCAGATGTATATACAGTGGGCCAACCCCAAAGCAACTCATCACTGCGTTGACATAAAGCATGAGTGGTATGATAACTACTTTTGCTATATTTATTAGTTATTGTGGAATTCTAATTCCGCTGAGGATCGGACTCAAATTGGATGCAGATATTGAGCGCATGCAGACTGCGGACTCGAAAAGCAACGTACTGACCGGCAGCGTGTATATTGCATACGGGAAGGGTGGTACGGGCCGGGTCTTGTAGCTTAACGAGCACCAGCGTCCGAAGCCCCTTCTCGAATATTCAAAGCCCAACCATGTGTACGCATTCTAGATCTACAACAGAAATTTATTGTTCATGATTCGAGGAGGAGTATATCTCGTTGAATACTTTCGGTAACTTATCAAAACTACCTGGCTACAGATAATGACACATGCACGTCGCTGCGTCGCCAGTAAGTCCTGACATTGATTCCTATATTCGAACCAGCATACGCATTTAGCTTGATAACACGTTAGTAAAAGAATTTGGGTGCGCAGGACTTGTCAGCCACGTAGCAGGATGAACTTGCGTATGAAACCGGCCTGGGATCATACGATGCCCCGCACCAGTAATCGCGAGCGAACCACATCGTCAGGTACTATACTGGCGTTGGAACCACACTTGAAAACGCCCCGTGGGGTTCACCTGATGCAATCAACATGCTACGTCTACCTACCCACACTTGCGTCTTTCTGGAACACTGCGGGTGCACCAACAACTTCAAGCGAATGCTTGAGGCAACGAATTTACCAACTATAACATTCGCCATCAGAAGGACACGATATGTTGTCATCAAATCGCTGGTTCCAGTCTCTGCTCTCAACTACAGAGTATAGAAGTCTAAATGAAACTGCCTTTACAGCTCCTCATCAACCAACGTGGCTCATGCCAAGTTAGATTTGAGCTGCATGCTAACCAAGCATGCTATCGAGCGACGTGCATCAAAACAAATCCCTCGCTTACTACGCAATAAGGTCAGTGAGTCGAGGAAGAAAGGAAAAAGCATACAAATCGATGCTGCCCCAAAAGCCAAATGTCCGCATTCCGTTAGCGTTCATCACTAGGCAGCGCCCCTGAGTGCACAGGAGCATGCGCAGCCACAAGGCATCAAGTCCTGATTGGGGTGGTTGACAATGATATCTGCGCAGTAGCCTAGCTGCCAGGATATACAAAAAAGCAGGTTTATGCCGCCCAGACGTGGAGCTGACGTTGCCAGCTTGGAAAGAGATGGGGTTCTGTTACGTTGGTGTGGTGGACAAGCCACCCGCCAGCTGAGGTTTTTGCTATTTCGTAAACGACCCAACGGCCGAACGGGCCCGATGGGCATCTTGTCCTTTGTTGCTCAGGGTGATGAGAGTAGGAAAACATGCAGAGAAGGGAAGTGTTGTCTATAAGGAAGGCGTCTTCGCACTTATGGTGTTGACCTACAACATTGTTTTCAAAGTATTACACTTTTCCGACAATTGGACTTAGATTCTTATTTTTCGATCTGACAACCTCTTCTCTATACTAGAGTATCGCGAAATTTCTTACATAAAGATCTCAGACGATTCTTCACAGTCTCCAACTTGGTTTCAAACCACGCACCATCTCATCCAACTACCCATCATCCACTAACATGAATCTCGGCTCATGGGATGGAATCTCTACTATGTCTATTGTTTTTGTTGCAATCGGTGGCGTGATAGCCGTTCTCAGCCTCATAATTCTCGCCGCTACCATTATGGGCATTCCAAACCGCAGGAGGCGACAAGACGACAAGGGAAATTTTTCGTCAGAAGAGATGGAAAGGGACAGCATAGATTTTGAACTCCTAGAGAAGGATATTATCGAGGTTACTGTAACAAGGATGCCGAGTACATCGCACAGTAGCCCATCTCACGGCACATATGCTCCACGAATGCCGTCAATACCGGGTCAGTCTGGAACATTTTCGAAATTGGTACCACTGCAGCTGACTTGAGAAGTGTGTGAGTGGTTTACAAGGGATCGATCCGTCCCGAAATCGTTGCAATCGACCTGATTGCCTGTGTCTCTACACCTAATATCGATGGTCTCACACGATGTCATTTGGGCGCCTTGCCTGGGTTACTGTCAGACGGAGTTAATATGATTCCTAACAGCGTGGTTACTATTCCGTTCCATATTCGACCGGATTCCGCGGTCAGCGCTTCGGTACCTTATTGTGGCTTGGAGATCGGAGTTAGGTGTTATGACCGATATGTAGTATTTCGCTTATGGATCCGTATCCATCGCCTCCATCTGTTGTTATTCGTCCAAAAGTCAGTCGAGTTACATAAGCACAATCCGATCTCGGGCTGAGTTTCTTGCTGCCTTGTGGCTATGCGCGCTTTCTTCATCCGCGGCAGCACACATGCATGTACCAAGCCCCATTTGGGAACATTGAGGCAACATACTTTACATCAGTCAGCATCTTCGATGACCAGTTACATGATCAATCGTGTGCTAAAACCAAAAACCTCTTACATTAGCAGTAATATGTCTGCCTAGAGCTACTCAAAGCCACTATTGCGGAGCATACATCCGCCTTAGCATATGCGCTATTGTGGCTATCCCCTTGAGCCATTACCAATTTTCCTAAGCTCGTCATCAAACGCCCTGCTTCTTAGGAGCGAGGGTTGGTGATAGGCAATCTACATGTTAGGCAAGAAGCGCTTGATTCGGGTATAGCACTTGTTCGCTCCGTGCGATGGTACTACTGCGTCCCGCTAAATCCGTTGTCACCGTTGACAAAGGTATCCACAATTGAATTCAACCGCGTGTCGTGGAAATGCGATATGGCACGGTCTCATTTCATCTGCAGGTAAATCAGTGGGGAAACTACGTTCGACACATATAAAGGTCGTTGCGAAATCTCTCATACTTACACGACCCAGATCACCAGTGTGCTGATTGTACTTGACATCCTCCTCTAGAATATCGTCTTTTGCTCTCCACAGATTTACCCACTTCTCAATTTTCTCAATATGGCCACTTTTACCCCATACAGCGAGCAACCCTCACTACACACTCACGCACCCTACCGCGCAGCTTCCCTCACACAGCCCGCCAATCTCCGACAGGCACTCAAAGATGCCCAGGCCGATGCAAGCAAGAGTCTCATGGGCATTGCACAGGGCATTCCCAGCACATTTGTGACCAAGCTCATTGCTAGCACGAAGCCGGATTTCATCTGGATGGATGTTGAGCACGGCATGTTTGACCGATTGACATTACACGAGTAAGTTTTGCAACAGATGATGAATGAAAAGCAATTTGCTAATAAAAGAACGAAAGTTGTATACACGCTGCACAACACCATTCTGAGGGAAAGTCAATGGTCATTTGTCGTGTACCCAAACGCGATGAAATCAGTCTCACTACTGTACTCGACGCTGGCTGTGCCGGTATCGTAATTCCCCACGTCGAGTCAGCAGATGAAGTCAGGCAGTTCATCAAGGAGATGTACTTTGGTGGTTAGTCTCTCATCTCTCAACACTCTCTCCATCCCTGCCTTATCCCCCTACCCCACCATTTCTTTTCTCAAGAGTATCTATGATAACACGATTCACAAACAGACGGAAAAGGCCACCGCTCATTCTCCCCATGGACTTTCACCCCCGGCCTGACCAAATCCCTGTACCCAAATGACCCTTACAACGTCCAGACTGCAAACAACCATGTTTGTCTCATCCCACAAATCGAATCGCTCAAGGGTCTTGAGAATGCTGAAGAGATTGCTGCCGTACCAGGCATTTCCGGACTCATGTTTGGTCCGGGCGATTTTATGATCGATGCTGGAATGGATATCAGTACTGTGTTGGCTGGTCAACCTGAACCCAAGTTTCTTGAGGCTATGGCTAAGTTCAATGCTGTTGCTGCGAAGAATGATTTGCCGATCTTTGGGTACGTTACCTCTCGCCGCAATAATTTTGCGGTCACATTCCTTCTCAAGTAAGCTATATTTGCCTAACAATTTTTGTCTTTACAGTGGTGTCATGAGCCTAGACCAGATACCTATGGCTATTCAAACAGGCATGCGCGCTATCGCTGTCCAATTCGACGTCTGGGGCACGACGAGGTTGATGGCAAACTCGTTGGAGCAAGGATGGAAGGCTGCAAAGGAGTTTGAAGGAAATCCCAGGCCGGGTTTCTCAAATGGAACGGGCAAGAAGGCTGGTGAGAATAGAGAGAATGGGGAGAACGGAGTGAATGGCAAGTAGGTGTTAGCTGCTACCGTATTTCCCTCATAGAGATTTTTATAGACATAATGTATTTTCCACTTTGAAGCGGTATGAGAAAGAAGACGTAACATTGTGCTGGTGCAATACAATTGTGAACTTCATCTCGAACACCTATCGTAGCTGTGTACATGCAGTACCTTCGGAGCAGGTAACTCCTTGTTCTGTACGAATTGTTATTATACACATCTAGGAGATATACTATGTAGTATGTATACCCATTGAACGACGTGACTAGATTACTGAGAACCAAAATCTCACTCCTACTTCGGCCGTAATTCTACATTTGCATGTTACGATGCAAAACAACAAGCCTATTACTATCAAGCTTTTTTCGAAGCGCCAGCAAGATTAGTGGGCCACTGTAACAGCCGGAATGAGAAGTAGCAAGCGACTACAGCAGTGGGTAGACAGAATGACGTGTAACCAGCGCTATACCCGTACTTAGCGCTATATATGAGCTGTTAGCTTGATGTTCAGGCAAAGTAGCTGGCCTAGGACATACTGTGGGACTCACGATGCACCTGTTAAGACATACCCAAGGATCCGCGGCGGCGATCCTGTGCTTGATACACTACCAAAATGAACCTAAGGATCAACCGAGGCGATCTTGTATGCCAAAAACTTCTCCGTGATAGCTGTCAATTTATAGATACTTTCTTTATAAATTGTAAACTAAATTGGAACCATTTCAACTACAGCTGACTCCGTCTTTTCGTGCTTCGCCACTGACACAATCTTCAGCCCAGCCTGCGCAGCAAGCTCGTGAAACGCTTTCTCGCTACGCACCTTGCCGCCAATATTCAAAATGAACATGTCGACAGTGCTGGTGTAGACACTCGGATCTTTGGGACGCAAATATTCTGCAATGAGTATGCGCGAGTCGTTCGCACAGGCTGCGCGTATGTTCTTCAGTATCTGAAGGGCTTCGAAGTCGGACCAGTCGTTCAAGACCCGCCGTATATAGTACACAAGAGCGCCTAGAGGAGTGAGCTGCTTTGATTCCCAACATGGATGTTATATCTCGAGAAGAGGGAAGACCTCGGTTTCATACCTTTAACCGGTTGTTCTCCAAAGATGCTGTGTCCAATCTTTTTTACTGAGCCCAAAACAGTAGAGCCTTTATGCTCTTCTACCGCCTCAGCAATAACATGCGGTTGATCCTGTAAAACACACCTATCTGCAGGAATCGCCGGCGACTCCTCCAGAATCTCCTTCAATGCTTGGCCCTTCCCTCCAGCCACATCAACAATGAGCTCCCTATCAGCATTTCCCGCGGCATAAGCGCTCACCCAGCTAAAATCATATACTCCTGTAATAGGAATATCGCCATCGATAGCCATGGCGCCATTCATCTTAGTTGCTAACCCCGGGATCGCCGCCATGATCTCGTACGCTGTCTTATCAGGCATGCCCATCGCAAACCCACCCGGCGAGCGATTTGACCTAGGCGGCTCAGCGAGCCCGTTCGCTGCGAAATAGCCCGGCCACTGTGTCGTCGGTCCCATGAAGAAGTCGAAGAGGTACATGTAGAATTGCCCAACACGGGCGTCCGTGAAGGCCTCTGATGTAGGTGTATGTGCCACATGGCCGGGTGTCGGAGATCTTAGTACATCGATTGCGACGAGGAAGGCCGTGAAGCGCTCAATGAGGTTGTACTCAACGCCCAGCTGTGTTGTAAGATCCTCGAGCGATATTCCTTCCTCCGGGATGGCGTCGAAGATACCGTGCTCGACAAAGACACGCATTATACCAAGCTCGGCCATGGAGGCAAAATACTTGCCGATTGGCGTCTCTGCCAGGGAGAATTGAGCAACCATGTTCAGGTACTGAATATACGAAAAGTGAAATGAAGAGTAATGGACAGTTCCAAGAATTCGCAACTGAGCGAAGATGTTAAATAAGTCTACGAAGCCGCAGATCCATATACAACAAGCAATACTAGTGCCTTAACACAGTAATGTAGGCCAAATTTGCTTAGCTTACTATTAGCATTTGACGCGTGGCTACACTTCTGCAGGTGAGAGCACTCATCATTGTAGGGGCCCCGCTAGTTTCCCCTGCATTGTAAAATACGTACGTATCGGAATACGAGTCGGTGTCCGACGCTGAGCAGGGGTCCCACAATTTTAGCATTTGCGAGGTCCCTACTACTTGCCACCGCTAGTCCCAGGTAAATAAATTCCAGCAAGTAAAATACTTAGTGGTAATTTTGAAGAAAGTGATGCAATCGGTTCAGCATTTGTACTCTAGTACGCGATTATTGAACCACCAGTAACAGCACTCGTCTTCCCAAAAGCATCCCTAACAAGCTCTTGAACCCAATTCGGAAGCCCCTTCAGCCATGAGATAGGCGCCGCAGCGCTCGGAATAAAGAGCTGAGCACCACGTCTGCTAATAATCTGCTTCACAATAATCTCTGCTACCTCCTCTGGTTTCAACATGCTCTCAAGAATCTTCGGGTCCTGGCCACTCTTCGATATTGACTCCTCGATCAACGGCGTGCGCACCCAGCTCGGATGCACGATCGAAGTCTTGACACCAGATGCATGATACCAGATCTTCAGCTCGCTCGTAAGGCCCTCATGGAATGACAGCGCCGCAGTCTTAGTCGCTACATAGTCTGCATTGGCTGAGTTCGTTAGGAACGAGTTGACGCTCGCCACCGTCACGATGTGGCCTTTGTTCTTCGCCACCATGTCTGGCACGAACTGCTGAACCAGCCGCCAGTGCGAGAGGATGTTCGTGTTGAAGATGCGACTCAGGAACTCGCTTGGAGTTTTAAGAATTGTATGAGAGCCCGTGATGGCGGCGTTGTTGACGAGGATTGACGGATGTCCCAGGTCTTTGCGGATTTTATCCCCCGTTTCTGCTATCGCAGTAGGACTGGAAATGTCACACCGGAAGTACGTCAGTAGGCAATTTGATGCAAACTCCTCGGGTGCGTCTTGTACGTCGAGCACTGCTACACAGATCCCGTATGAAGTGAGGGCTTCTGCGACAGCCTTTCCGATCCCACTGCATCCTCCGGTAACGACTGCAATTTCAGAGGTCCAGTTCCAGCCATGACCTGCGCGTATCTGCCAGTTATTTGTAGCCCATGAATTTAGAGCACCATTGGTCTTCCTGACGACACCCACTGCAGCTAGAAAACCCAATATGCGTATGGGAGTGTGCAGGTCGTTGATGTGTGAGAGAAATGTTGATTCCAGAGTCCTTCTCCACGTCGGTTCCGGTGTGTATAGCAGCAAGCCGAGAATTGGACCGGTGACTATTGGTTCAAACGTATATTTGACGATAAGGGCTAGCCCTCTGAGAGGGAGTTCTAAAATTGCAGTCATGTATTTGTTGGTAGTTTGCCTACAGGAGACAGATGATCGCCGAGGCATTGAATGTGTCAAAACTTGAAGCGCGAGTCTTACGAGGTGAGGTATTCCGATGTAAATGGCACCCTGCTTGAACGACTAGACCGTACCTGTCATCCGGGCTCGGGAAGATCCGAAAACACTTTAGGGTAATCACCGATTGGGTTGTGGCTTTCGGGCTTTAGGTTTATTAGTATGAGCCGGGTATACCCAACTACTGTATGAACATTGCGGCTTCAAGGATCTGCTGATCGCAATGGATCGGAGATCCAGTATATGTGGTTAGGCTGTAAGTCGGAGAATTTGATTAGAGTGCTTATGAAGACGATTCAGGCGTTCGGACATAGCGAATTCGCGCATGGGACTTCCTGGGGCTCACCGCTGCTAACAAAGTTAGTAAAATCGTAAGATATTCAACCGATGAATCGTACACCGCACCCCAGAGGTTCAGTCCAATCCATTCAAGATGTTCTTTTGGGAGCAAATCTACAGCCGCCTCATTTTTCAAAGCGGCGTAGGTTTTGTATACCGCCAACTATTCATGCACCCGCCCCCAATAGCAGCAGGAGTCAAACTCGACAGCCAAACAGCCATCATCACTGGGTCAAACACCGGTCTGGGACTCGAGGCAGCACGACAGCTCCTACAGCTAGATCTCACTCGGCTCATCTTAGCCGTCCGATCCGAAGCCAAAGGCAACCTCGCAGCAGAACCCCTTCGTAATGAGTTTCCACACGCCCGAGTCGAGGTCTGGATCCTAGACATGGAAGACCCCGAGTCTATCTCTGCATTTGCTACAAGATGCCAGGCGCTGCGTAGGCTTGATATTGCTATTCTCAACGCCGGAGTGCAGAACAAGGACTGTGTCATTTCTTTCAAAACAGGAAGAGAGCAGACCTTCCAAGTAAACTACCTCTCAACAATAATGCTAGCTGTGCTTCTTCTGCCGATACTGAAAGCCAAAGGGAGGCTGGCTGGCAAGCCTGCCAGGCTCACAGTAGTGACGTCTACGACTGCCTATTTTGCGGATTTCGACCTCGAGAAAGCAATTTTACCGCAATTTGACGAAAAGTACGATGTCACCAAGTGGTATGCGCGAGAGAAGTTGCTGCAAATGATTTTTGTGAGAAGACTGGCGACCATAGTTGATTCTGATGAGGTTATCATCAATACAGTTTGTCCGGGGCTGGTTGGGGGTACAGAAATCTGGCGGACCTTGAACACAAGCTCTTTATTCCAATACATCCTCCCAGTCTACTTTACTTTGTTTAGTAGAAGTCTGGAAGAGGGTGCGAGTACGTACGTTCACGCTGTGGTGATTGCAGGCCGAGAAAGCCATGGAGGCTTCTTGAGTGAGTGGGGAGTGCGTCCGTAAGTACTTCACAAAAATGAGTTCCAACCCTTTTAATATTTGCTGACCTTGTGTTAGATTTCCGGTTGTCATGTATTCAAAGCGTGGCGAGAAGTTGATCAAGAAAGTTCTGAGCGAAAGCAGAGAGCTGCTAGGAGCTATGAATATCCCAAATGCATTGATACAAGATATAACTATTGTAAATAGTTTGTAATGATCGAGTTACCGCATAGTTTCTACCTGAATTCTTCAGATATATGTATATCAGCCTGACTTCAACTTCTCTGGTCTGAGAGTAAGTCTAACATTCAAAGGAGGATGCACATAAGTAGCACGGACGCGCTGATCATGCCATGGTTTCTCAAACCATTCGTGATCCACAAGCTCGACATTGTACTTCCATAGTAATCGGGCCATTATCTGCTTGATCTCCGAATGTGCTAGACTAGTAGTGTGTTCTCAATCAGTGGACATTCTCGTAATGCTGTCGGAGAAAAGGTTTCGAGCAAGGAATGACATACTTCTGACCGATACAGCTGCGTTTTCCGGTTGAAAAAGGCTGAAATGCTGCTTTATTATCGTCTTTGAAGCGAGGGTCCTTAAGCCAACGCTCGGGAGCGAAGACTTCGGGCTCGGTGAAGTTGGTTGGGTTATGATACATTGCCCAGTGCCAGATATCTACATTTGTCTAGGTTTAGTGTATAGTTGTCAGTGAGGTGTTCAATGTTCCATGAAAGGACCCATGATTATCCTATTAAGACTTACCCCTCCAGGAAGAAAATACCCGCCAATAACCTCACCATGTCGTTGAATCAGTCGTGGTACAGAGCCTACAGCGGCCGGATAGATACGCAGGGTCTCGTCTACTACAGCTGTGAGATATTTGAGACGCTGTGCGCTGAGGAGTGTGATCTGTTCTTCACTATTGAAGTATGAGTCAATCTCTTCTCTTAGCTTGGCGAGTACACTAGGGTGGATGCAAAGTAGGTAAGTTGCGCCGGCAAGTCTAAGCCAAGCCATGGTCAGTTCTGTCGTTGTCTAATGATCTGAGATGAGGTGAGGGTTTATCATACGCGACTGCGGTTGTTTCGGACCCCGCTACGACGAAGATGCTCGCATTATGGCAGATTGCTTCAAAAGAAAGGCCCTATCGCTCAAAATATCAGCTTTTTGAACAAATCCGCTATCCACGTCAGCCTTGTTAATCTACTTACCTCTTTCCCCGCAGCATGTTCAGCTTTCATAGCCTCAATAAAATCCGCTCGACTCGGCTCGAGTGCCAAACGCTTCGCTACCTGAGTCCTCATAAACATGTTATGCTTCGCAATAATTCTCGCAGCAAACGCCTTGACAAGCGGCCCTATCATTGCCTCCAAAAACGGATATGCCCGCCGGAAATGCGCCATGTCATGCTGCGCAACGAAAAATTCTAAGATCGTCGCGATCCAAGGATGAAAGCCCCTTCGTTCCATGTTCCCAAAGGACTCGCCAAAGCTGAGATCACCAATGACGTCGAATGAGAAGAAGTTGAACCACTCAGCTATATCAAAGGATCGTCCCTTGGCGCAGTGCTCTTCGAAGCAGCTAAAGAGGTGATCGACGTGATGCCGAATAAGAGGCTCCTGGCGCTGCATGCCTTGCGCCGAGAATGCTGAAGCTAGTAAATGGCGTTGGTGCGTATGAGACTCTGTATCAGCCCCGATAATTCCTGAAGCAACTTCAGTTACGAAGCCTGGGTGCTTGAGGTTCTCTGGCTGGCCGGGCTTGCGATGCCCGTAGACTTCTTTCCATGCTGTTGCGTGGAGACATGACACAGAGTTTGGGCTGGTGCGGACGACGCCGCCGTACTTTTGATGCAGTGCGAGAACTCGTTTGTGCGGTGTGCTAGACCATGACATTAAAAGGAGGGGGATGGGCGATATGGACCATAAGAATGGCCCAGGTACTTTCCTAAGTGGGTTGATGTAGACATTGTATATGATGGACCATAGGATATGTCCCAGAACCTTTGGTACAGGTTAGTAAAGACGTATTCCACGTCGCATTTTCCTAGAGTATTACCGCCCATAAGGCCACTTGTATCACCACCCAAATTGATAGGACCCCTTGACATCCAGTGATCCTTCGAATATACCATACTATTTTGGAGTCCATTACGTGCAGAAATGAAATATAGCCCTCAGTGCTCTTCCAATGTGTGCAACAAACGGTCATTTTCCCAGTCTGTAATTCTCGGAAACACTGGATTTCTAAGAATGCTTGTTTGGCATTTGATTGCGATCAACTAAGTGGGTTAAGTAATATCCGGTGAGTTATACTATTGGACAATGGTCTATCGGGGTTTAGTATCATGTCTCCTTGTTGTATCCCGCCACTAGCTCACTTGCTACATCCTAGTTCCGGTTGAGGAAGCCTCGCTAGTGTACCCACAAAAGGACCGGAACTAAGAGTGATACACTATTGCCCGCTCCTGCGCCAGTGGATATTGCATGTACATATATACACCAAGTTTTCAATGTATTTTGCCCAGCTATGCAGCGTTATTTGGACCTATAAACCCCTAAAATAAGGCAAACTAAGCTAGCTACAGCCTCTCTCTACATTTCTGAAGATCGCTACTTAGATCGTAGACCTAAAAATACAACTTTAGTAACCCTTAGGACGCTTCTAGTTAGATTAGAGGAAACGGAAAGCGTATCCAATGCCAATCCTGACATGACTAACGCAGTATCTCAACATACCAAACTATTTTGAGTTCCAAAAGTTCAACGTACCTCCATTTTACAGTATCTTCCTAAGCAACATTTTTACGACGCGGAGTGAAGTTACAGATAACCGGCTCGGCACACTTGAGGTTGAGTTCAACCTTGATCTTCATTTCTTCCGTGCCAATGTCCTCAATCCCATTAAGCCCACACCACGTGATGCTTTCAAACTCTTGGAGCAGCCGCACTAAGATATACTGAATCTGAAAACGGCCAAAGACTCGCCCAGGACACTGGCGTGGGCCTACACTAAAGGGTAGGTAGTGGCCATACTGTGGCGACCATGTTTCCCATCGTGAAGGATCCCATATATCGGCATCTGCACCTACTGTAGTCTTGTTGCGCTGGAGACCTGCGACTGAGTATACTGTAGAGTTGAAAACTTAGTTAACCGTGAACAGTAGGGGCCCAAGATCTTGGTGCCGTATTCAAGTTGCAATCTTACCAATGATTTGTCCAGCTGAGACGGAGATGGGGCCGCTCCCATCTGGACCACCTCCAACAGGCAAAATTGTATCTTTCCTAGCCTCTCGAATGTTAAGGCCGAGTGGGTGGTACATCCTCATAGATTCTTTGACTGTATTGGCTAGCAGGTCTAGTTTCCTGAGCTGCTCCACTGTGGGGATTCTGTCCATTCCAATGCTTGTAAGACAAACCTAGTTAGCATGAAATCTATAGTTTGTGATAATATCACCTTTCACTTACTGCTTTTCGATCTCCTGCTGAAGCCTTTTATATAGAGTTGGTTGGCGGGCTAGGTGGTATATTGTCCAAGTAGTCAGAATGGCACCTGGGTCCTGCGTGATCATTAGTGTTTAACTTCATCAGCAACATGGCCATGATGAAATTGTTGACGCGAAACAACAGGCTGGAATCAAGAGTTTACCTTCGAAGCCATCAAAACAGCAATAAGTTGACCCCTAATGAAGTACCGATCATTCGGATGCGTAGCGACCAAATCCTCTACAAGATTAAATTCCTTCTTTGTCTTCCAATCTGTCTGGTTGTTAATCGGCAACGCCAAAGTCTTATCAATAAGATCATTGATATATCGTGTTAATTCGCGATACGCTCTAGGGACGAAAAGCCAATCTGGAAACAAGTTTGCAAGACGCCTATAAATGCACATTTCATTAACACTATTCTTGAGTTTCAACCATATAGCTTACCCGAATAGGAGACGATTGGTGTTGAAAGTCAGAAGCTCTTCCATGGCCTTACGGAACGGCTGTTCGTTTGCAGATAGCGAATTCGTGGATTCGCCTAAGAAGACTTGGCTCACCAGGTCGAGTTGGAACTGAACATAGTCAGTAGAAAATCGACATCAGGAAAGGCTTGCATATTGGAACTTACCCTATCGACCACATCGTACACATCCACCTTCTCAGGCGAATTCTTAATGAGTCTTAGAAGCTTCTGCATATGCTCCTCGGCAGTCGGGATATCATCGGAACGGACACGAGATACCTTTTTCACAACACTTGTCAACCATCTCTCTCTAAAAGCCCACAGGAAAAAAGGGTCTTCTCACATGCGGCTCCAGCTGTTCTCTACTCGTCTTCCACAATGGCCCGTCCGCTACCCCAGCATCAATAACCGCATCTCAAAAATCACAATCACCTCACTTACTCGTAAATACCGAATCTCCCAAAATACTACTAAAAACATCATGCGGCGTCTGTCCTTTCGCGAAATCCACAAACTGATCCGCCTGAATCGCCTTGATATTTTCCGCGCGATCAGTAATAAAAATATCACCGCCAAGTAGGTTCATTTCAACCGTACGACCGGGTGTGTTCAGCACTTCGTCACAGATGTATTCGACAAATGTATTTGACCGTAGGCGTTGTACAAGGTTCCATGCCATGTCTAAGCCTATTTGTTACATACATGATGATTAGTTTCACTGCTGTGTTGGAGTCAAGCGCTAGAAGTGGAGGAAGGGGGATGGCTGCTGACCAAAAGGTAATTTGTAAGGGATTCGAGGGGCGTGCGGGATAGATGGTATCTTTGCATGGCTATTGTGCAGTCTGGAGGCTAGAATGGCAAAGAAAATGATTGCTGCTATGCCGTAGAGAAGTGGCTTTGAGATACCAACGTCTATGGACGTTAAGATGCCCATCTTCTGTTTCTTTAGCTCAGAGTCTCCGTTGAAGAAAGAACGATGTGACAAGTTATAGTGTACAGGAAAATACCAGCCAACTGTATATCGTAGATGGTTTGGCAAATCGACACAACTGCTGCTCAGGTATCTGGGGTGCATACAAGGCAGTTGAAGACCGGCCGTTCAAACAAGTTCCTTGTCATCTACTGCGTAAGTTCACCCTGGACTTGGGCTTACCAGGCAGGAATTTGATAGCGCATCACGGGAATCAATGACTCTCGGAAGCAATTCTAGTCTTAGCATGTGTATCCTGGAAAATGCCTCTTGCGTAGTTTACCGCTGCACCCGCTGTACGGCAACTAGACTAGAAAGGGTTTTTCCCCCTCAAAACGTGATATCTGGCATGACTATATGCAAGAAGCACATAAGCTTTGCTGTGGACCCTGTCGCTAAACAGTTCGGGTTCCGAACAGGCAAGCGTCGTTCATCAATAGGTTACGTCGTATTTAAGCGCGAAATGGATACAACAACGCCGAATATGGTGACTTCGTCTGGGGAATTACTACTACAACTCTACAAGTAATTTTCATGTTAAGCCTACATTGATATAGCAAGAATGAACCAAGTGCATTGATCTTATGTAGTTGATACCCAAAATTCTGTCGCAGGAGTGCCAGTACTCTGTAGTGCAAAAAAGCTTATTTGATCGGGTCAGCCTTGTTTTGCGAAGTCAAACAAGAGAGCTTAGACGAGCCCACACCGAAGCCATGCTTCGGGATTAAAAGCGGGAAGATTTTGTTACATAGTTTACACGATTACTCGGGAATCAAGATCCCTGCTAGTGCTAGAAGTAAGTTTGGAGCAGGGTACTATGACATGTATGACAATCATTGGCTGCAGGGGAGGCCTACCACCACTACCCTGTATCCTTTTAATTACGCCGTAACTACAACAAATCTGCATACTAGTCTGCCTTAACGTACTGCATAGTAACCTTGCTGGACACCATAGTTGGCAAGTATCAGACTTTCGGTGATGGCAACATACTTTGATTCTCGGCGAGATATCGAGCATATCGAGCAAAGCTCCGTGAATATCATTGTGCAGAATATATGTATTAGATGCGAGATGCCCAGATTTCCACTACATCTTCCACTGTTCTGAACAAATTTTCCAACACTCTCCTCTTGAAACGTGGAAGCATCCATCTTCCACAAGACTAATACAGGACGTCGGAGACCTGGTATCCCTTGAGCCCAAATTGATATACCATAACAAACAGCAATCATGGGTGGCGACAAAACAATGCCCATAGCCATCATTGGCATGAACATGAAGTTCCCAGGTGACGCAGTCTCAGCACAGTCATTCTGGGAACTAATCATGAGCGCAAGAAATGTATCCAAAGAGATACCCGCCGATCGCTTCAAAATAGATTGCACGTAGTCCTCCACAAAAGTTTACACTTCCATATACTAACTCAAATCCCCAGCATTCTATCACCCCGACCCAAACCGCCTAGACAGTGTAAGTCTACCAAAGCAAACCCTAACATCAAACAAACCAATTGACCCAAAGCCCAACAGATTCGCATCAGAAATGCACATTTCATGACCGAAGACCCCCGCGCCTTCGACGCGCCCTTCTTCAATATGTCCCACGCCGAAGCCTCAGTGCTCGACCCACAACAACGCGGCCTCCTCGAAGGCGCCTACCGCACCTTCGAAAACGCCGGCATCCCCATGGAATCCCTCTCACGGACCCCCACATCCGTATACTGTGCTTCCTTCTCCCGCGATGGCGAAACAATCACAGGCCGCGATTTCGCATCGCAATCCCGGTACCACGCTACCGCCAACGGCTCCTCAATGCTAAGCAACCGCATCAGCCACTTTTTCGATCTCGCAGGACCGTCGTTGACGGTGGATACGGCGTGCTCGTCCGGGCTGTACGCGCTGCATCTCGGTGTGCAGAGTATACTGACGGGTGAGAGCACAATGTCGCTTGTGTGCGGCGCAAACACGTTTATCACGCCAGAGAGCCAAGCGCTTGCGCTTAGCAACGGGGGGTTCCTGAGTGTAGACGGTAAGAGTTATAGTTTTGATGCCAAGGCGAATGGGTATGCGAGGGGAGAGGGGTTTGGGTTTGTGCTGCTGAAGCCGCTGGATGCGGCGCTTAGAGATGGGGATGTGGTGAGGGCGGTGGTGAGGGCCACGGGTGCGAATCAGGATGGTAGGACGCCGAGTATTACACAGCCGAGTCAGCAGGCGCAGCTGGATCTGTTGAGGGATACGTATCGTGTTGCGGGATTGGATGTTGCTGATACTGGATATGTGGAGGCTCATGGTACAGGGACACCTGTTGGTGACCCGATTGAGGCTTCTGCAATAGGGCAAGCTTTCCGAGACGGTCGTAGTCTTGACAGACCGCTTTACATTGGGTCTGTCAAAGCGAGTATTGGTCACTTGGAGGGTGCTTCGGGCTTGGTGAGTTTTGGATGAATTGTGACTGATGTGTGTCTACATATTGCTAACTGTTGTGGTGGTTTAGGCTGGTGTCATCAAAGCTGTTCTCTCACTGGAAAAGGCGGTAATTCCGCCGATTGCCATGTTTGAAAAGGTCAATCCTGCTATTGATGCAGCAGATCTTCAGCTCGCGGTAAGAGCCTCTTTTGCAGACTGGGAGAAGTGTTCTCGTTGACTTGGCTTAGTTCCCCAAAGAAGCAGTCCCATGGCCGGCATCAGAAGTTCGCAGAGCATCAGTAAGCTCCTTCGGATACGGAGGTAGTAATGCTCATGTGATCCTTGACGATGCGTACAACTATCTGCGCAGCCGTAGCTTGAAAGGCCTGCATAAATCCGTCAGCGGACCTCTGCCTACGAACGGATACGCAAATGGTCGTACAAACGGACATACTAACGGACATACCAATGGTCACACCAACGCGTATTCTAATGGACACGCTAATGGCCACTCCAATGGACATAGTAATGGCCACACCAACGGCAACAGCGCCATTCCACCCACAACCCCCTACGCCATCCTTCCCTTCTCAGCGGCAGACAGCGACGGCACAAAGCGCCAAGCAGAAGCACTCCAAACTTTCCTCTCCTCCCACAAGACTCTCTCCTCCACAACTTTCCTCTCAGACCTATCCTACACTCTCTCCTCGCACCGATCCCTCCTCACATTCCGCTCTTTCGCTGTCGTCTCTTCTCTCAAAGATGATCTTACAACCCTCGTCTCGCCCAGCATCTTCAGCAGTACCTCATCCTCGCCCGACCTCTCTTTCGTCTTCACAGGCCAAGGTGCACAATACGCTCGTATGGCTATCGGACTCCTGCACTACCCGATTTTCCATCAAAGTCTGGAGGAGTGCGACGCCTATCTCACCACTTTGGGTAGCAGCTGGTCTGTACTAGAAGAGCTCAAGAAGGACAAGGAGACCAGTAGAGTCACAAAGCCGGCGCTATCGCAGCCTCTTTGTACCGCTATACAAATTGCTCTCATCGATCTGCTGCGTACATGGGGCGTTGTTCCTCGTGCGGTAGTTGGTCATTCGTCAGGTGAGGTCGCAGCTGCGTACTGTGCGGGTGGGTTGGACCGCGAGAGTGCATGGCGAGTCGCTTACTTCCGTGGTGTTGTGGCCGATAAGTTGGCTTCTGACTCGGCGAGGGAGGCAACTACGATGATGTCGGTGGGTTTGGGCAAGGACACTGTCCAGAAGTATCTCAAGGCGGAGCCAACCGTGACGGTCGCGTGTGAGAACAGCCCCGTCAACGTGACCTTGTCAGGTCCAAAGGCGGCCATCTTGCGGTTGTTTGATACGTTGGATGCTGAGGAGGTTTTTGCACGGAAGTTGCCTGTGACTATCGGATACCACTCCGAGGCACTACGCGATGGCGCAGTCGAGTATGAGGGTTTACTGGCTGGGATATCCGCGCCGGTAAGGGACACGAAACAACCTAGCAGAGTCGCCTTCTTCTCATCTACAGAGGGTGACTTCATAACACTGGAAAGTCTTGCGAGACCGAACTACTGGGTGAAGAACCTTCTCTCCCCAGTCCTCTTTACCGATGCCGTAACAGCGCTCGTCAGCGAGCGGAAGCAAGCTACCAAATTCCTCGTTGAGATTGGACCGCAATCTGCTCTCCGGCGGCCCGTCAAAGATATCCTCTCACAACTCGGAGAAGGCGAGGATAAATGGTCATACGCTGCCGTGCTTGATCCCCGCAAACCCGACGTCTGCTCCCTTCTCGAAACCATCGGCGCCCTTTGGAGCGTCGGTATCCCCATCGACCTAAACCTCCCCAATCAAGCCAGTTTTCAGCCCACAACCCAGCCAAAGCGTGTAACAGACCTCCCCTCATACCCCTTCTCCCGTGCCAAGCTCTACTGGGACGAACCTCGCATCAGTGCCCTCTACTCTCAGAGGCCCTTTCGCCGACACGCCCTCCTTGGCCTACGCGAAAATGATTTCAACTCGGCTCAACCGACCTGGCATCACAAGATCCGTCTCGCGGAAGCCCCTTGGATCGTCGACCATGCGCTCGAAGGCTCTCCGCTTTATCCCGGCACGGGCATGCTCGTCATGGCTATCGAAGCCGCACGGCAGCTCCTCCCACCGAGCGCAGAGATCAGTGGGTACAGACTGGAAAACGTACGGTTTATGCGATCTATCCCCGTGAATGAGTCGGAGAAAGGCACGGAGGCAAAGATCTATCTTCAACCACGCCGGCATACCGCCAAAGACGCCGCGCAACGCTTGTACGACTGGCGAGTATTCACGCTCGGTGGCGATGAGTGGATCGAGTGCGCGTATGGAAGCATCCGCGTCGAGCTTGAGGAAGCAGAGGCCTCGCCCGAGACAGCCGCTCGCAAAGCTAGATGGGCGAGCGCTGTAAGCCAGGAGCATGCAAGCACGGCGGGACAGTGCACATTGAGTGTGCAGAGCGGGCAGCTGTACGAGAACTTGAGCAAAAAATCAGGGTTCGACTACGGGCCATATTTCCAGGGCTTGCGAGAAATCAAGTACTCTCGCAACGGATGTGCATCGGGTACGCTTGCGCTACGGGATTATGCGAAGAATATGCCCTACGCCGATGAAGATCCTTGTGTGATTCACCCCACGACGTTCGACTCGGTCTTCCACGTGGGATTTGTCTCACTCAGTATGGGTGGGTGGGAGGCGATACCGACGCTCATGTTCAGCAACCTCAAGGAGCTATGGGTCTCACACAAGCTATTCACACTGCCCGGTAACCCGCTATTGCACGTCGCGACAAAGGAGGTGGCTCGCACATTTAGGGAGTATGAATGGGATGCTAGCACCTTACTTGCAGAGACAGGCGAGCCTGTTATCGTTGCCAGGGGCGAGCGCGGAACTGTCATCGCTGGTGCCGGCAGCAGCGCCCGCAACGATGACGATGGTGCTAGTCGCTTCTCATATGGCATTGACTTCAAGCCCGACCTCTCACTTCTAGATAAGACCGAAACTGAGGCTCATCTCAAAGACCTTTATGCGCGAGACCCGCAGTTTTCGCCGGACCCTAAGGACGCCGAGGCTGTCGACCGTGCCGATGCTATTGCGCTGTACTTCATTGAGCAAGCACTGGATAAGATAGAGAACGGCGAACCGTTGGAGTTCGATAATCACTTGACCAAGTATGTAGATTTCCTGCGCAAGGTCCGCGCCAATAGGCATAAGTACACGTTGGCATCGCGGGGGCTGGGCCATTTGGCTATTGAGGATGTCTTACGTGAGGCAGATAATGAGCCAACCCAGAAGCTTGTGAAGAAGGCTGGCGAGCATCTCTATGACATTCTGGCGGGAACAGATAATGCATTGCAGATTATTTTTGAGGGAAATCTTGCCAATGGTAAGTCGAAAAAAACCCGGCTGAAAAAGGGCAACAATAAAACTGACATGGGGGGATAGATTTCTACCATTGCGACTTTTACTCACGCCACTACCGCAAAGCTGGCGCGTATATGAACATGCTAGCACACGCGAATCCCCAGCTAAGGATTTGCGAGGTTGGTGCAGGAACGGGCAGTGCCACGAGCAAGGTGCTGCCGTTCTTGATTGACACTGAGGGCCTTGAGGGTGATCGATTGGTCCGGTATGTTGATTCGGGCATCTCCCTCCTCTTCCTTCTACTGACCATTCTCTCAGCTTTGGCGAGTACGCATACACCGATGTTTCAGTCGGCTTCTTCGAAAAAGCGCGCGAAAAATTTGCCTTTGCCGAAAAACATATGCGCTTCGCCAAACTCGACCTTGAAATCTGCCCATCCCTCCAAGGCTTTGAACTGGGCAGCTACGATGTGATAATGGCCTGTAACGTAATTCACACCACATCAGATCTCATGAAGTGCCTTCGCGACCTTTACGCCCTCCTACGCCCTGGCGGTAAGCTAATTATGATGGAGACCACTGTCGACAACATCCGTGACGGCATCATCTTCGGTTTGTTGCCGGGATGGTGGATGCGTGAGGGCCATTGGTGGGACGGTGAGGATGTTGACGCTGTGCCCGGAGAGGACGAAGCACTGGGACCTATTCTCACTGAAGACGGATGGGATGCTGCGCTAAAGACAGCGGGCTTCTCGGGTGTAGACATGGTGTTCAGGGATAACGAGTACAAACCCCGCCACCGCGTCTCAACGCTCGTCGCAACAAGGCCAGAGGAGGTTGAAATCGAAGTTTTGCGCGAGCGTTGGGTTATTCTCGCGGATCCCGCGCAGGGTGCTTATGTCGATGTGCTGAAGGCGAAGCTCGCCGCCGTCCCATGGATCGGCAAGACGGAAACGTACACTCTCGAAGGTCTGGTTGCCGCTGGATTGGAGCTGAGCAGCACCAAGGTCATCAGCTTGCTTGAGACTGACACATCCCTACTGGGCACCATCGCAGGTCCGCAATTCGAAGCCCTCAAGAGAATTAGTTTGGATGCTAAGACAGTCCTCTGGCTTACACGTGGCAGCAGTCCTGGTGCTGGCAACCCTGCCGCCGAGATGGCAGTCGGCTTCTCGAGAAGTGTCTGCTCTGAGCGGGGTGATCAGTCCTTTATCACACTGAGCTTGGAAACCGAGGACCTGGCGGAAGGAGTAAGCCATGTGATACGTCTTCTCGAGCACTTCCACAAGGCAGAAGGAAACAGGAGCGCAGATGCCGAGTCCGAGTATGCAGTGCACAACGGTCTCATCCACATCCCGCGCATTGTCCCACAAAAGAGTGTCAACCAGACCCTTGCAGCGCGCTCGAAACTCCCTGGCAAACTCAGCTTCGCACTCGGTCAAGCCGCCCCCAAGCCACGCATAAACCTGACCATCCAACAGCCCGGTCTCCTCGACACCCTCTACTACACCGAAACCCCTACTCCCAGCACCGAGCTGCAATCAGGCGAAGTCGAAATCGAGGTAGCAGCCGCCTCCTTGAACTTCCGCGATGTAATGATCGCCCTGGGACAGGTGCCTGGCGACGGCCTCGGCCTCGAGGGCTCAGGGACTGTCACCCGCATCGGTCCAGGCTGCAAAACCTTACAACCTGGTGACCGCGTCATGTACTTCATCTTCTCAACAGGTGGCTGCTGTGGAACCTACGTACGTTGCGATGAGGCCTCGACACGCAAGATTCCGCGCGAGAATATCTCCTTCTTGGACGCGGCTGCCATCCCTGCAGTGTGGGCTACAGTTGTGTATGCGTTTGATTATGTGGGCCGGCTACGCAAGGGCGAGAGCGTATTGATCCATGCCGGAGCAGGTGCAGTGGGTCAAGCTGCTATTCAGCTCGCACAGCTGCGCGGGGCTGAAGTCTTCGTCACTGTAGGAAGCGAGTGGAAACGCAAGCTGGTGAAGGAGCTTTACGGCCTCGCAGATGATCACATCTTCCACAGCAGAGAAGCTAGCTTCGTTGACGACGTGTTCCATGCCACAGCCAACCGCGGCGTCGACGTCGTCCTGAACTCCCTCGGCGGCGAACTCCTCCAACACTCGTGGCTTTGCACTGCGCCCTTCGGCCGCTTCATTGACATTGGCAAAGCCGACATCCTTGCCAACAACACACTCGAGATGGGACATTTCCTACGCAACGTCACCTTTGCGGCTATCGACGTCGCAGGAATGTATGCCGAGAACAAACCACTCATGCAACTTGTGCTCGACGATGTGTTCAGTCTGTTTGCAGCGAACCCTGGGTTGCACAACCCCAAGCCGCTGCATGCGTTTGCGCCGAGCAAGATCGAAGAGGCGATGCGTGCTTTGCAGGGCGGCAAGATTGCTGGCAAGGCGGTCATTGATTTCCAGATGGCGGGTGATTTAGTAGTGTATCAGCCCGTACGGACACCGGCATACGGCTTTGAGGCACAGGCTACCTATGTCATTAGCGGTGGTTTGGGCGGTTTGGGGCGTGAGATTATGCGCTGGATGGCTTCTCGCGGTGCCCGGCATTTCCTCGTCACCTCGTCTCGAGGTGTGGCCGGGCGCGCCGACGTAATTGCCTTCATCAAAGAGATGGAAGCGCAGGGCGTCGTGGTCCACGCGCCGGCGTCAGATATCTCCAACCGCGCTGTTCTCGAGGCTACCCTTGAGAACGCTAGCAAGACACTACCGCCCATCAAAGGCTGTATTCAAGCAGCGATGGTCTTGTCAGACAACATGCTCTCTAACATGACTGCCGAGCAATACCACCGCGCCCTAGCCCCCAAGTACCAAGGCTCTTGGAACCTTCACGAGCTCCTACCAAAGGATATGGACTTCATGGTCTTCCTCTCTTCTATGAGTGGCATCATAGGCAACCCCGCGCAAGCTAACTATGCAGCCGGTAACACCTTTGAAGACGCGCTTGCGCGGCACCGCGCTGCTAACGGGCTAAAGGGAGTCTCATTCGATCTCGGCTTGGTCCTGGAGGCTGGATGGGCGAGCGACAACTTCGAAGATGTGACAAAGAGTTTGCGCGCTGGCCTGGGTGGACTGACGCAAAAGCAACTAATGGCAATTTTGGACGTCTTGTGCGATCCGGAGTATGACTGCAAGGGTAGTGCTGCGCAAGTGATCAATATCCACGACAAGCCTGTGAAACTATACAGGATGTTCCAAGACGGTGTGTTGCACTGGGCAGGCAAGCCACTTTTCAAAAACCTACTTCGTCTGGGCCAGGTTGAGCTGGTCAATGGCGCTGGAGGGGGCAGTGAGGGTGAGGCCTCAGCAGTTGACTACCTGGCGCTCATCAGGGCTGCAGCTGATGCCGAAGAGGCCGGGCAGATTGTAACGCTGGCATTGCTTGGGAAGCTGAGCAAGTCGCTATCAGTGCCAGCGGAGAGTCTCGATGTTGGCAAGCCGGCCTATGTGCTTGGTGTTGACTCACTCATTGCGGTTGAACTGCGGTACTGGTTCCTCAAGCAGTTCGGTGTAGAGGTTCCTGTGTTTGTCATTTTGAAGAAACAGTCAACCGCTGAGTTGTGCTACCATGTGGCAGAGCAGGTTGTTGCCGCCAAATGAGTTTAATGATGGCCATGATGTATATTAGTAATACGTTGATGAAGGAGGAGAGCAAGACGATAGTGGAGCGATCATCGAGTGCAGGTCCGGTCGGGATGCGGCCCCACTTCGCTTCAACCGCCGAGGTTACGATATGTTTTGGGTAGGCCCAAGTCCTTCACGCCGTCTTATGATGATAATAACCCTGTCTAAGGGCCAGAACAAATGAATTGTGTTCTGGATTTCAAAACTTTGCTATGTGCATGTACACTAAGAAGTGACCGAAACCAATGATATCTAGATACATGCTAGAACTCATCACGAGCATATAAATTAACTAGATATTACTAGTTACTCTATTCGCATTATCACCGAACCAACTATCGACCAACATCTCTACATCATCTCCCATACCAATATTACTGTCTCCAAAGGCGCACCTCTAGCTCTGAGGACTTCCACTTTTGGCGCCATACCCAACCCAGTCAGGCCTTCCACAAAATCCTCATCGCAAAGATCCCGCAATCGAGGGTCCTGTTCTTCAAGTACTCCGTCCTTGTTATTCCAGAACCGTAGACCTTTCAGTGCACCCTCTTCAGAATGAAGGATTACATCATAGTGGTGCGGAAGTGGTCTAAATATCGGTTCATCATCAGCCATGCCGTGGACATATGTATAGCCGACAACCCTGAGCTCCGAATCTGAGCCATGTTTTCGGACGGCCATGAGTTCGCGGCAGCCAGAAAATACGTAAATGCGATCCTCAGGCTCGCATATTGAGGGTGCAAGACTAATGTGTCCCGAACGTGTTTCTATTATGCTGCGGCCTTTACATGCGTCTGCAACGTATCTCAGATATGGCTTCGTCTCGATTGCGTTCAGATCCGATGCATCGCTATCGGGAGCCAGGATGCTTTCGAGAAACTTCAGACTATAAGCGAAAGAGGGAAATACGACGTGTCCTGGTACTGTTCGTCCCCAGAAAACGTCAAAGCAAAGCTTACAGCAGAATGCTTCGATCATTGGCACATTTGCTGGGTGAGCGCTGCTTAAAATACCGGGAGGCGCACTGTCTCTGATAAACTGAATTATGTCGGCTTCGTCTGTGCCGCCAACGTTGACAACAGTCTGTTGGGCAATGGTCCCAACATACATTCCAGTGACTTCAAGACGCTCATCTGAGATGCTGAGCACATTTGCCTTCATATAACCGGAAGCATATCGGGCAGCACAGGGATAGTTGGTGCTCGGCGGATGAGACCAGTCTGGAACCCACGTCGGCATCTCTAGGGAGTGATCCTACAGCTCGCAAAAAGGTAGCAAGCGCAGGCTCTAGAAGTGGCTAATGAATCGCTCAACGTAGCTCTAGTATACTTTCCCAACCGGCAGCTTGTGGTTCACATCAAGTTGCATATCTTGCTCTTCCTGTCTTGCTGTACTTCTCATTGCGTAAACTCTATCTCGTGGGTCTGAGCACTGCAGGCGGCAGGTTCGACGAATGATTATTCCTAGATTTGTAGCATTCGGAAAGTTCATTCGGTTGACAATTCCCATGCGTCGTCTGAACTCCAGAGGTACAACTTACTTCCACGGTTTGAAGCGGAAACTCCATTTGGCCTGTGCAACCTTGTGCCATTCGATCGAAAGGTCTCCGCATGGTAGTACTGAACGATTGCTATCCAGACATACTTCGTGGTATACCCACAGCCTTTCAAACCAAGAAAGTCCCAATAAGTCTGAGATAGCCTGCATGACACGATCATCAAACGGTAATGGGGTTGACATATCTGCCCAATGCACGTCTCCTTCGGCTTAGCTTCACAGTGCCCTCCGTGAGGATGACATCAAGTTTGCGATCCAGCTGATGGATTGCATCAAATGCGACCACTGATTTATCACTCTCTTTTCCAACCTAGCACACAACATTCTCGGCTGCTTTGTAGATATCTGGCATAAGCTGTACCTGCAAAGCGCTCGCGTCGTAATCTGATTGATCGATACAAATCGCATCAATACAGATTAGTCGTTCTCGTTCAGGAGACTTGAGGTATGGTAAGGCAGTGGCCAAATTGCGTATGATATGAAGTTTGCCCTTTTCATGACTTCCTGCCAGAAGAGTTTCAGGATCGGCTGGCGAGCCCCATGTGTAAGAAAGCGCGTCGAAAAGCAACGAATAGGATCTTTGGAAGGTTTGTAATCCTTTCTCCGACTGCTCTGATAATCAGAACCGTGAGAGTTGATAAGATTTATCAAGGTCGACTTCGAGTGGGGACTTGAAAACTCCAGGCTTAATAGTGAGAAGTCGAATATAACCCTTCTTCGAATTGACGGGAGCGTAGTTATAACTTTCTTCTTCAATCTGCGAATCGGTGTTACGATGCTTCTTCATGTTATTGTCAATGTACACTCAGTCTCAGGTGGTCGCTTCTTTGTCGACTCGAATGCAGGTGATTGAGCTGGCTGATTCTTGGCTGACATGTCAAAGCTGAACGAGGTCTGGAGGTAGTTTGAGATGGAAAGCTTGTGCCATCGTGTATCGATCGTGACAACTGTCTGACACAACGAACTACCCGAGAGAATATATGGTGATATGAAGTATGTGAGCAGGCTGAGGAACCAGGTAGAAGGACCAGACTGGGAGCCTGGATTAGAGCATTAGGCTAAGAATCATTCATGAATAAATGACTGTCACGTCGTAACTTTAAGCCACTCTTCAGGCGAAGAATCCTGAAAATGGTGTACATAACATATGCATTCCGCGGCTGCGTCGATTCTAACAGGACAATGGGTATGCATGGCGGCGTTGGAGAGCTTTATGACTGGTCTGCGACGCACAACGCTTGCATCATCGCAAAGCGGTGATACCTCCTCGAAAAGTGACGATGCCTCCTCGGATTGTTCAATATGCAAGTTCCGTGTAAATTCGACAAGTTCTGCACGCAGAATTGACTGATCGATGCTGCTTACGCAGTCGGGTGATTATCTCAGCTAAGCGAGTTTCGGGTTGGAGGGATCATTGAGCTGTTAGAAATAGGGTGCAATCACCTTAAGATCCGATGTATGGCAATTTTACACCATGTGATACGTCTTCTGGTCTACTTTGGGGAGGGTTAGTGTCAACCTTCTCTCAGTCAAGTGAGGTCAACCAGATGTACGGTACTAAAGCAAGAGTTTTGTACCAACATGGGACGTGCAGAGCCCTCAGTCAGCAGAGCCGAATGCAAAAATAGACATGCCCTCTTCAGCACCAACTATTCTTCGCGGTTTTTCTCAACGATCAAGCATGCTGTTGCATCAGCACTCTTGCATCCAGTAGTTCTAAAATCAATTGGAGACTTCAACGAAGCTGGATTGGCCATAAGAGACGAGATCTCTGTAGAACAGTGCGGCGGAATTACCAAAGATGCTTAAACCAGGCGTTGGATGCTTTGGACTGTTCCGACAAGTAGAGAGAGCGTATCTGAAGCACAAATTGTGATTGTCAAGTATGCTGGAGACTCATTCCCTGCTAAATTAGATGACAAGGAGATAGTCGATGGACTTTAGGCATAACTTAGTTTTGTGCTGCGACCTAAGCATACATATCATAAAGACAGGGATGCAGAGGGCGGAAGGGCGACTGATGGCGCGTGATGGCTACACCGTCGTGCTGAGCCGCGCGCAACGTAATCTGATTCCTTTTGCACGCCAACCAACGCGTCATGTCGAATGATCAGGTCATTTATCCCCGGGTAAAACGGGCTTCGCAAGAAATTCCAGGATGGCAGTGTTGGCGGTTTGGGTGATGGTGGTTCTAGGCTGGTCCTACTAGAATGCACGGACCAACCCAGCCATCACCAACCTCCGCATTTACAGCCTGCCAGAAATTACGCAACCCAACGGCTAGGCGAATATGGATCTCAAGTACGAATACCGACCTGGTAGTTTCCACATCGATCTCTTCCAGCACCAGCCGAAATCCAAGCCGTGATCGACACTTTTTTTCACGACAGTCAGCATTCGGACTTGTTCATACACCTTCCTTTGTTTACCAACACCATGCTTTTCAACAAGCGGACTCTGGCACTAGCCGCTCTTTTCTCTACACTCGCCAGCGGACGACCGTTTGATTCAGCAGGAGCAGGAAAGCTTGCCGAGAGGAGCAAGAGTTATGCGGTTGTCAATGTTGGTGGAGATTCGACCGAGATATCTGCAACGCCGGCTTCAACTATCAAGACGACAACGACTGTTGAGGTTGTTGTCCCAGGAGAGACTGTCACTAGAGAGGTGACGGCGACAGTAGTCAAACCGAACCCGGCACCTGCACCTACGCCCTGCCCAAGCTCAAGCAGTGTGGCGGCGTCATCATCGAGTTCCTTGGACTCTTCGACATCAACTCCTATTTCTTCGACACCTCCAATTTCTACACCAACCACGCCCACAAGCGTGCCATCAAATAGCACGTCGATACCAACCGAGACACCAAAGCCAATCTTCATTGCCGTCACTGTATCCGAGGATGATGGTCCTACAGAGTACTATGATAACGGCATGTGGCACACCAACTACAGGATAAAGACATTCGAGGGGGATGCCGCGGCTGCTCCAACAGCGCCGCCTGCAGCTTCTCCAACAGCGCCGCCTGCAGCTTAAGCGAGATGTTGGGTGGTTCCTTCTCTTCTTCCTCTCAGGTTAGGCGGTAGGCTGGCTCAGCTGTCTGTTTCTGTTCTTTTGCAGTGGTTTAACGAAGAAGGAGTAATGGTGGCATGTCGATACGCTAGTGCAGCAGACAAGTATGTATGTAGACACACATGGATCAGGCGTTCTGGGAATAATTGTAGCGACGGACGGGTCCTTTGGGCCGCATGTATTATGTACTTTGACTAGATGGATAGCTGAGATGAATGACAATGATTCCACGGCTGCACGTGTGTGTTGAAGAGCAATATGCTGATGGTCTGGTACGGAACAGCGAGAGCCGAGGGAGGATGATGATGACGCAGGTCCAAGGAGAAGATGACATCCCTGCCGTGATTGCTTGGCAAACGGGTGCGCCCAAGGCGGCGGTTAGTATAGCCACGACGAGCTCTCCACTCCACAACCCCGGACTACCCGCTTGCCTGGATACACACAATGGCGTCGCCGCCCCCCGTAGAAGACCAGGCCCGGCTGCTTGAAGATGCCCTCGCCGTGGTGCGCCAGCAGACGATGCTCATGCGGCGCTGTCTCGAGACACCGGGCAAGTTGATGGATGCGCTCAAGTGCAGGTACGCGCATGGCCCATGAGTGAAGCAATACATGAACATATAGACCATGGCTTGCACGTAGCAACTGCTACACCTGCCCTGCTATGTCCCCAAGCAATGCTGACGACCCTCTTGCGCAGCTCGACGCTTGTCTCAGAACTGCGCACCAGCAGCCTCGGCCCCAAACAGTACTATGAGCTATACATGGCCGTCTTCGATGCCCTGCGCCACCTGGCCGTCTACCTGCGCGAGAACCACCCAGTCAACCACCTTGCCGACCTCTATGAGCTGGTTCAGTATGCCGGCAACATCATCCCCCGCCTCTATCTCATGGTCACCGTCGGCACCGTCTACATGGCCATTGAGGATGCGCCCGTCAAGGAGATCATGAAGGACATGATGGAGATGAGTCGCGGAGTCCAGCACCCCGTCCGTGGCCTCTTCTTGCGCTACTACCTTGCCGGCCAGGCCCGCGACCACCTTCCCTCGGGCGATGGTGACGGGCCTGAGGGCAACCTGCAGGACTCCATCAGCTTCATTCTCACAAATTTTGTCGAGATGAACAAGCTGTGGGTCCGCCTGCAGCACCAGGGACACTCGAGGGAGCGGGAACAGCGGACCAAGGAGCGACAAGAACTGCAACTTTTGGTCGGTAGCAACTTGGTCCGTTTGAGCCAGCTGGTCGATCTAGACAACTACAAGAAGATTCTCAACCCGCTGCTTGAGCAGATTGTCCAGTGCCGGGATGTGCTTGCGCAAGAATATCTCCTCGAAGGTATGTCTTGGATCCCAGGTTATGTGAGTGTATAGCTAACAGGCTCCAGTTGTCACTCAGGTCTTCCCAGACGAGTTCCACCTTCACACCCTCGACCAGTTCCTTTCCGCTGTCGCACGCTTAAACCCGCACGTCAACGTCAAGGCTATCGTCGTTGGTCTTATGGATCGATTGTCGTCGTATGCACAAAGAGAAGCCGAGTCGGAAAGTCCAGAACAGCGCAAGAAAACAGAAGAGGAATCGATAGCACACCTTTTGGAGCAGATGCGGATAGCAAAAGAAAAGAAGGCAACCGAGCCAGAACCTGCGCCGACAAAGCAAAATGGCAACTCTTCAGAAACTTCAGAAACTTCAGAAACGCAACCGTCCCCAGAAGAGACCACGGAAGAGGCCACGGAAGACTCGTCAAAGCCTGCCGAGATACCTGCTGAAGAGGCTCCAACGACAGAGGCAGACGGTGAAATTGAGAAGAAACGGGGTATACCCAACAATGTCAAGCTCTTTGAAATATTCCACGAGCAGGTGCAGACATTGGTGAAGATGCAGCGACTGCCAATACAAGACACCATTGGACTGCTAGTGTCACTGGCAAACCTTGCTCTGTAGGTCTCAGTGATTCATTCTGCTCACCACGTACTAATTCCCACAGGAACATCTACCCCGAACGGCTCGATTACATTGACCAAGTTTTGACCTTTGCAAACCAAAAAGTTGCCGAATACCAGAACAGCGCAGACCTTCACTCGCAGGCTACTCAGAGCCAAATCCTCAGTCTCCTTCTTTCGCCCATCAAGACCTACATCTCGCTCTTCACCGCTCTAGCGTTACCGAACTTCATCCCACTCCTACACTCACAACCATATCCGACTCGAAGAGCTGTAGCAGGCGAGGTGGCAAGAAGTCTTATGCGAAACCAAACTTCTATTGCGACAGCAGAGAACCTTGAAAGCGTATTGGAGATTTTGAAGGTCTTAATTAGAGAAGGCATACAACAAGCGCAAGGATACCCAGGTGGACCAATTCAGAGAAGGGCACAGGAGACGGAGGAGACTATAGAGGAACAGGGTTGGCTCGCGCGGATAGTACATCTGATCCATGGCAAAGACAATGACACCCAGTTCAAGGTAGGGTTTACTAGGGTTTCCTCTATTTCAGAAGACTAACACCACTCAGCTCCTGCAGATCGCGCGAAAAGCCTTTGTCGAAGGCAACGAGCGCGTCAAGTACACATCTCCTGCTATCATCACAGCGTCACTCAAGCTTGCTCGTCAGTACAAGAAGCGCGAACACTTTGAAGACAACTGGCAGTCGCAGTCATCGGCTCTTTACAAGTTCATGCACAACACCCTCTCGACGCTATATACTCGGGTCACAGGCTCCGCAGACCTCTCCCTTCGCCTCTTTGTTGCTTGTGGTCAGGTCGCAGATCAGAGCGGCTTCGAAGAGGTCGCATACGAATTTTTTGCACAAGCTTTTACAATCTATGAGGAAGCTATTAGCGATTCAAGAGCACAGTTCCAGGCTGTATGCGTCATTGCAAGTGGCTTGCACACTACAAGGAATTTCGGAAAGGAGAATTACGATACCCTAATTACCAAGTGCGCACTGCACGGCAGCAAGCTGCTAAAGAAGCCGGATCAATGCCGCGCTGTGTACCTTGCAAGCCACCTGTGGTGGGCGACTGAGATTCGGGCACTCGGCGAAGAGGACCCGAAGGATGTAAGTGTCTTGTAATCCTGTTTGCATGCAGCCATTAATACTAATGAACTCAGCTCTACCGCGACGGTAAGCGCGTCCTCGAATGCTTACAACGAGCACTCCGTGTTGCCGATGCCTGCATGGACGCTGCCGTATCTGTCGAGCTATTCGTCGAGATCCTAAACAGATACGTCTACTACTTTGACCAAGAAAATGAAGCTGTAAGTCTCTCGTCGTATCCAATCTAGACCTCTGTTTTTCTAATTAAAAAAACTCAAGGTTACAACCAAATACCTCAACGGCCTCATCGAACTCATCCACTCAAATCTCCAATCAAACGAAAACGCTTCTTCCCTCGAGAATCCTCGTAAACATTTCCAGCGCACTCTGGATTACATAGCAAGTCGCGAATATGAAGGTGTGGTGACAACGCCCAAGTAGCTGTAATAGGTAATTTGCATGGTGGAGAGATGAACGTTGTCGTGATGGTGGTGGTGGTGGTTGAGTTCTGTGTGTGAGTGTACGTCAGAGATAACAAATGTTGACATGCATGGACTTGGGTGTATACCGAATACGATACGAAATTACCAACATTGAATGTTGACAGTCATCCTAATGATATGTGTGATGCGTGCAGTCATTTTTTTTATTTCTGAATTCTTATAGCAACAAGGATTGTGTTGTCGTTCCATACGCCATGTGTACATAACCCTCGCAAAGAAAAAAGTCCCATGTGATGTCCAAACCACGGGTATGTAAAACCTCGTATACCCCCAGAAAATCAAGTAAAAGAAAAATGTCCAGTAATCAGCCCTTTTGTATCACCCCATCCCTCTCAACCAACCATCATATACACAAAGAAAGAAGGAAAGAAAAGCGTCGAATGAGTGCGTGACTGGGAACATTTGCCTTTTCCCCTTTTTCCCAACTAAAATCCCATCCTGCCCCAAAGCAAATCTCGATAAAGAAAAAGTAAGGAAACGTGAGAGAATGAGCGTCGATCAAAATCAGCATGTATATATCTCCAGAGAAAAAAAAACCCAACCATAATCCAACACCGCACCCCAGAATCGTGATAAGGGAAGATCAAGAAAGAAAGAAAAAAAGAAAACTACCGCCCTAAAGAGAATGTAAAGCCCTTTTCCGACCAGCCAAAACATGGGAAAGGCAGTTAGTCAGCGAAAAAAAAAAGATTGTACGTGGTAAATAGGGGATATATCCAAACCTCCCCAAGCAAAACCCCCCGGGGAGAATACTAAATAAAAAAACGGAGGAGAGAGATTTTTTTTAGACATCCCAGCCCCTCCACTCCGCATACCGACTAAACGCGTCGCAACTGACTGGCCGCGCGGGCCATGCCCGCCGTCGAAGACACAGCAAGGGGTTCTGAGCTGAATCTTCGAAATTCCTCCTGGGCCCAGGCTTTCTCAGCTGTATCTATACTCGAGGGACTGTACTCGTGACTGTAATTTGAACTTGTTTGGGTGTACGGTCTGTCGTGGGTTGAGGACGAAGTAGAAGAGGCGTCGTCGCGGTCTGGGCGCAGAAAATGCGGGTGGTTGTTGTTGTTATCGGTGGAGGGGATTGTGCGGTTGGGAGGGGTGTAAGGGTTGGGTTTGGGGTTCGAACTAGAGGGGTGGTTGTTGTGGTGGTGTTGAGGTCGGGGCGGTGTTTGGGATACTAATATGGGACTGCGTTCGAGGTGGGTGGGGTTTGCTGTGAGGGGTTCGCGGAGGGAGGCGTCGACTATGCGGGATTGGGGGCCGCTCATTGTGTTGAGGAGTGAGATGATTTCTAGGCTGGGGCTTGTAGAGAGATTGGATGGTTGGTGCGAAATCGAGACTGATCGGGCCGCTCGGTGCGTTTTGGGGAGGTCCGGGAGGTAGTCGTCCTCGGAATAACGGGGAGAGGAGAGGGGTATGCTGCTGGCTCGGTGGCGGACGGGCTCTTTAGGTGGTGGGCAGAGGGTGTATTTTGCGGATTTCGGGAGATTCGAGTGACTTTCTGCTACGAATTTCATAGCAGATGTGGGTTTGTATGCTGGGATGGGTGTCTTGGTCCGGTAGTGAGCGAGTGGTGGCTTCATGGGTGCTTTGGCCTTTTTCCTGTCACTGTTCATTTCGAGCCTCGCCAGTGCATCCGTAACTGCATCGCCAACATCGACATTGTTCAGCTCGTGGTTCTCCAGCTCAAAGGTCTGTTTCCGGGTTACGACCTTGTGAGATAGCATATTCGGATGCTCTAAAACAGGACTTGTGCCCTGTGGTGGTGCGGCATCGGGCAACGGCCATTCGGCTGGAAGTTCTGGAACTGGAGGTGTACTGTTATTTGAGCGGAAGTTTCTGTCATTTGATGTGCTCCCGGATGCAGTCGTGTTCAGTGTTGACTTTGAGGGACCTGAATGTAGAGCTGATTTAGACGCTAGCATTGTACTATGTGGACTCCTTCCTGAATCCGTCGAAAGACGTTTCACCTTCCAGCTACCAGTCTTTTCGTCAACCTCTAGAGTCGAGTGTGGATATCGTAACGAGTCGGCAAGCGTCTGGGTATCCTCAAACACAGAAGACTGGTACCGGTGTAGCGTCTGGTTCGAATCATTGTGGTGGATCATGGGTTCTTTTGTGCAATTTTCTTCAACCGGGGTCTTCTCATCATCGTTGTGGAAATCGAGGCGACTCTTAGAATAGTCTCCTCCCTTATTCGCGCCGTTTGGTACGTAGAAGCGTAGATCAACGCGGACGACGGCAAACAGCATGACGACTAGAATTTCAGTGAGGAAGTTGAAGCAGTAGAAGCTAGCCTTAGACAGATACCAGGGTATCGCCACATTTCCGCGCTGAACATCGACCATCAAGGTTGGTGGGATCCAGGCTAAAACACACCGGAACACTTGTCCGACCGAGAGTATGCATACTGAAATGACGAGGATCGTAATATTGTACCGTAGTCGGCCAGCACCAAACTTTTCAACCTCGGTACGCGGAATGAGAAGCGAAAGAGCAACTAGAATGGCGGGCGCGAAACAAAAGGCCGTGGCATATGTCTGGGCGACCAGGAAGAGGACTCTGAAAGCATCTTGCTTCAAGTGTGTAAGAGTAAAGAATTTCCAGATTTGGCTTACGATGAGACCGAGCAAGGTGAAGACCAAAAGGACAAGTCCGCCTCTATGGAAGAGACGGTACTGTGTTGACCATCCTAGGCTGGGGTGTTGGGCGCGGATGATACGTTGAGCGAAGAACCAGTTAACCATGTACAAGATGATGGTGCCGACATAGGTAAAGATATTTGCTGCAATAGCAAGTCCGACATCTCTAGGATAGTTTGCCCATGCGATACGTAAGATCATGGTGATGATTCGAATTTTGCAAAGACCTATAGCGCGTAAGTCGTCAGTGTATTGCGGTGATGGTCAAGATAGCTTACCCAAGATGGCGCCATTGAAGATGAACTTGTGACCGCGATGCTTATTGCTTTTAAAGATTTTAATGTGAATAACACCGAATACTAGGTAGAATACGAGGAAAATGACTGCAACGGGGACATCAGGCAGGATGTCAGGCGATCCGCCTAACCCAGCATCGCGAGGAGCATATGGGGGACCTTTTCCCGTTGCTACACTATCCTGCTTGAATTTTAGCTACGCGTTTCATATGTTTACACTCGATCACACATACCGGAGGACCTTGTGCTCCTTGTTGCGAAGACATACTTCACTGTTTGTTAGTTGGGGGAGCGCGCGCAGAATGTTTAAGTCAAGGAAGTACAAGATCAAGGGAAAGCCAACACGGCTCTCTCTCGATAAAGGGAACGGGACTAGATAGCGTATATCAGGTGCACACACTGGGATGGCCGCGCGACTGCTGGGGCTCAAATCATAGTTGGCAATGGCTTAGACCAAGGGGCCCGACGGTCATACATAAGCAAAATGCATGACCAGCATGTACAATCGTGACGACTCTGTAATTAGTCTGAATTAGAGGGGGCAGCGGTTCCATGCACGTATATGCGGCCCCATTGTTAGCTCAGCTCGACCATGGTAGCACAGCTCAAAGCCGCAGTGGCATTGGCTGCTCAATGGTAAATGCGTTCCGCGTTCGTGGTGTGCAAAGACAGAGATAGACGCGTCGATCTAGAGGGCCAAGACTGGTTGCCCTTCCGAGGACCGTTTCTTAGGGCAACGTGCTTTTCTTTGATGAATAACATTGCTCTTCGTTTTGCTCTCCTATATGGGAAAATCGCTCTCGGCGTGGGCCCTGGGTCTTGGGCATCATGAGCACACTTGCGGTTGTGTTACAGCGCCTAGCAGATGCGCCAACACGGCACTTGTTTCTCTTGACGTTATCGAGGGCCTGACGACGGTGGTGCCGGGTCTCCTCAGTGAAGCCGGAGAGATCTGCTTCTGTCGCTTACTAGACGTTGAGTGGGGGGAAAAGTGGTAAGAGATCGGTGGAAACGGTATATGATTGCCGACCAATGACGCCTGTATCGGCCCTCGCATGGCCGGCGCCGACTTTACTTGTTCGGCGTCACGGAGCATCATGGTGTAGATGCAAAATGCTTGATATATGCCATTGGGTCTGTGCCTGAAAAGCATGACCGGAATCAACAAGTAAAAAACTCATCTCTCCAAGGCCACACACCTTGCAAGAAGGACCAACCCAAGGCATCATGTCAAACACGCCGCTTTCTACCCACCGCCTTGCCAAAGGATGCAGGATGCAGAATGCATATCCTTTCTACCCCAGATTTTCGGCACGGTGAAACCCATCGGAATGACGCTTGAAACCTACAACTTCGTCCGTTGGGCCTGACAACAACAACAATCCTCTTTACCATCACCAATGCCACCTGCGCCGCACAGCTAGCCCTCGGACCACCCATCACACACTCGCAATGCCGCCCAAAGCGAAGCCGCGCGCGGGCAAACAAGCCAACAACGTCACCAAAAAGGCCATCCCACCGCCCTTTACACCCGCACCCCCGGAGCTCGAAAACCTCCTCTACACCTTCGACCGCTCTCTCGTCTACATAACACACGTGGACCCCCATCCCGCATGGTTCAAACGCCGCATCTTCATCGTGCCCCTCCTGCTCAACGCCAGCTTCGTGCTACTCCTGCTATGGCGCCTGTACACCATCGGTCCCCACTACCTCAATATTGCCAAGTCCGTCCTCGGACAAGCCAACCACACAACCATATACTGGGCCTCCAACACGTGGGGCTCGTTGCTCTGGAAAGTCGGAAGACGCATGCTCCTGTTCCTCTTCGACTTTTTCCTCTTCCGCATCGTCGGGCCCTGGCCCTGGAGTTTCTTCGTCGAGCAGCCCGGCAACCCTGTTAGTTGGCGCTGGAACGTCGGGTTTAGAGATCAAGAGATTTATGTGCGGGTTAGTAGGGGGTGGGGAGCGAAGGATCTGCTCGGTGAGGCGGAGGGAAGCAGCGGGCGCAGAGGAGGCGAGAACCCCTTTTTCAAAACGCGCATCTTGCCTGCGGTGGATAAGCAGCGGCTCCGCGAGAAAACAGGCTATATGCTTATGGATGCGGATTTTGACCTCGATTTCTTCGGCATGGTAGCCGCGACGCAGCTCCTCGACCGCAAGGACATCACTCTCGATCATGTCCGCAAAAGCGTCTTCGTGTACGTTGGCGATGCGGAGCGCGATAATGGCCAGTGGGCTGTATGGGACTGCGCCAAGCTCGACGAAGGGTCAGAAACGGAAGCTAGGGAAAAAGTCGTTGCCTTCAAAGACAAGCTGACAGCCATGGGCAAGGAGAGTTTGTTCTTCAGATGGGTCGAGCTCATCCAGTACGAAAGTAGTGCCCCTGGTGGCTTTACCCCCGAACGACAAGCTGCTGCGGCCGAAAAAGTAAAGCAAATGTTTGAGGATCAAGGGGTCGATTTTGAACAGTTTAGTAGGGATATAGGGGGGTTGGATGGCATGACGGATATTTGATTGCATGCTGTCTCTTCTTCTTTTTTCCGTTCTAGTGCTGAGGGGAGGAGTGGAGGGGGTGGAGGATGCATGAATGAATGGTTATGTCTCCATTGGTCTAGATTGCGATGATACCCTGCTTTCGTGTCTGAAGAAACAATAGAATTATACATCCATCCATCCATCCATCCATCCATCCATTCTCGGCGTTCTTTTTTTCCCTCTCCTGCTAGATTTCTTCTTTGCATAATGCGATGCTAATAGTTAGTCTTCATGGACTTATACTTCTTGGTTGAACAAAAGAGCATAATGACGATAATTGAAATATTGATTGCGTTGAGTCCTTGGATTATGCCGCAGTCTTGGAAAGGACATCCAGATAGTATCATCATTTTTGGACTATTTATAAAGTAATGTCCCCTATCCGCTAGATCGACTTGACAATTGTGGCTATGGGAGAGATTGTGAAACACCGCTCTCGAAACGTGGCGCACATGTTCGTCTGATGAGGGAAACCCTTTTTCGTTTTCTTGGTGATTTTCCTTTTTTTGTTCGGGAACATGTCCGAGGACTATGGGCAGGATGAGTGGCGTTTGATTTGAATCTTTTTCATTGAGGAAACTCTATGAGACTTGCTCTTCCAGGTGCACGAAATGGTTTCATATGCGTGGTTTGAAATGAAGCATGGCTTTTGCTCGCCTGGTATTGGACCAGTTCTTTATTCTTGCCCGAAAGGAGTACGTGAATCTGTGTCTTCCATCGGCTCGACAAGTGCTAAGTAAATTGCATCATCCGGTCAGCGATTTATCCTGAACACCATATACGGCCAGGTGAAAAGTCCTGCAATCCTAGAAAAGGATAGCAATGAATTACAGTACCCGCTCCGAAGGCGTGCCAAATACAGACATGCATAGTGCAATACATAATCTTCCTGTGAAATTTCAAAGCTTTGTGAACTAGCAGGTTGGTCAAATTTAATGATAAAATTCAACGATCAAAAGCTGATGATCGTCAGGCAACTGCAACTGCTGAATGCGTAACATGAATCGAGTTTAGACATCCCAATATCTGTCTACTCAGCTCCCATCGTAAAAAGCATACTGGTCAAGATTTGTCGGTGCCAAGTCGTCGCGGACTAGAAAATTCGACGACTGCATAGGTATGTATTCGCTGAACAGATCCGCCATGCTTGCTCCAGGCCCGAAACCAAGGTTTTGCATGAATTGTGGCTGGTTATCCGGCCGAGTTGCGCTATCAAGTGACGCCAATTCGTCAAAAAAGGTCTCAAGATCGCTGGTGAGCTCAGGGTATCGTGGGTCGGTTTGTGATGGACTAGGCACTGCCACATGCGATGGATTTGTTAGATACGGCCCAGAGAAGAAGTCATTGAGGGGACCTATTGTTGACTGGGTCATGGTACGGCCATCAGGAGTTGCGTTTTGGTGTGATTCTGGTGTTGACAGATTTATGGCTGTTGAAGATCGTCTGGCCGGCATGATGGAGCTCTCAAGAGTCTGTGAATCATCATGATGCAAATGAGGCGATGTTGATAATATGGCCGCTCGCGACCTTTGTAGTTGGGTGCGGGTCGTTTCACGCAGATTGAGTTGACTAGCAAGTCTGCTGATAGTGACAACCAGACATTTGATCGGTACGGGTAGTCGTTGGATACCAATGTCCAATTGACACTTATCAAGTCCCTTGAGGAACAGTTGTAAACTTATATCCGAAGGATGGGAGATAAAACAAGCGCAGTCATATGTCGCTTGTAGCAGGGCAATCGGCGGGGCAAGCAACGAAAAGGAGCTGCTAGAAAACAAAGCATCCACTTTTGGGGGTAGACACGTTTTCCACCTCTCAAGACGCTGAGCAGCCACTTCTTGGTAAGCATCTTGGGATGACTGCCGCCCAGTGCTTACGAGTATGTCAACCAATTCAATGACATTGTTGAACGTACTTAGAGAAAGCAGTGGGGTCATCCTATTAGCATGCGTAGGATCGTTAAAACCAGACCAAGGCTGCCATTCTTCCAAACCATCTTCTTCAATAGGCCCAAGGTGCCCTAGATCGGTCTTCCTAAAGTGAGGACGGCGGTTGAGCTGAAATGCTAGCATGCCGTCGAGGAGTAAACACCCGTAGTAGATATGCTTGTGTCTAGAGTTTGCCATCAGCGTCGATTGGTCTACATTCTCCAGGGCTCTTGATGCGTAACCAACGAGCAGCCAAGCTGAACCCGTCAACGTTCGGGAAATGTTGAATACGACCAGATTCAGAAGAGCTCTGATATGTCCGACATCGAAACGTCCAGATTCGCTTGGTATCATGGATCTTGCGGTCTCGTAAAGCTTCATAGGCCTTGTCGATGATGGATCAAGGGAGTCGTTCGGGTTTGCGTCGTATAGTGATGCCACTGCCAGGATACTCCACATTTCAGCATGCGCCCCAGAACCGGATTGCTCGGGATTGCTGGAATGACTATGTAGAGGGTAAGAATAGGCGGATTTCAAAGTATCCTGCTTCTCGCATATGGGAAGCCAAGAGTGTATATTGGTAAAGTATACTTCGAACAATTGCCAGCTATCCTGCGGGATTGTTTCTGGAGCACCGATGCTGGCCGGCTGTTTATGCGATGTTGCTGCGATTTGTGCAACACCTGGAGGCTCAACACTGCGCTGGAACTCAACATTACTTGCTTGGCTACTGTTAGCCTTTTTGTCTAAAGGCTCCTCGGTATCCGAATCCTCGTCGCTGCTAAAAGAACCGGGCGAGGTAGCTTGTTCATGCCTTGACGGCTCTCCTCCAGACAGCTGCTTATCAACGTCGATGTAGAACTTTGATTTGCGCCACCGCCTGTGAAGCTTGTTCGACTCCTTCGAGTCACGGCTGAGGAGCAATGACGAAGCACCCCCTTGTGCTAGCTTCTCTTTGAGGGCAGATTCGTTGTCTAGATTATGCTGGAAAAGCCATGCAAGTGCCAACTCCAGGGTGCGAATGTAGCCTGGTTGAATACCTCTCTTCTTGGGGTTTGCCGTGTAGGAGCATTTTCTGGTGGTCCCTGAGCAGGTAGAGCAAGTTGGTTGGAGGCCATCACACTTCTCACGTGCAACGCGACATTGGTCGCATGCTCGTGACACACGAGTGCGTTTGGCAGGCTTCTCTTCGAATAGAGGTGCGGATTGGCGCTTTGCCTGGCTTTGTGCAGGCATGAGCCCGATGCGAACAGATTCGCAATATAGTACGATCACAAAACAGGATGCTTAGTGGTGCGTGTGCATAGCTGGATGTAGGGCGTCATGTAGTAACCCAAAGAGTCCACGTAAGAAGCCTCGGCAGCGAGAGAGGAAGACGGAGCAGTCTGGTTGGTCCACGGACGCTACGGAACTCAACGGCCAGATGGTCCGGGTTGTATCATGGATTGCGGAGGGTGGGCCGGGGCTGTTAGATAGTGGATGTGTATACCTCGCGCATAACAGGAGCGCAAGACGTCGAGTATCTACGCGAGTTCGGCACGACGCGCAAGTGAGGGGAAAAAGGCTTATCCGGCGGCGCATTCAGCCGGCCATTGCCCTCGCTGCTACTACCCCGTATCCATCGGCCCACCACCACCACCATTGTGACATGCCTTTGCGTAAAACCAGCTGCCATCCATTTTTCCGTGCTCTGCCGTTCTCAATCGCTTACCAGGTTGACGGCGGACGATTAACAGCTGCCTTGCCCATCCCTCCCATGATACATTATACCATGCATATCTCGAGTCGTCCCAACCACTTTCGGCTCCACAGTCTACCCATATCACCTGCTGTATTCCGCCGCACGGCTACTTGAAGAACCACCGGAGAACCAGAGAGTCCGAGACCTGAACCCTTGACGCCTCTGTATTCTCAGCCAGACCGGCGCCGCCATCATGGCCTCCGCTGCGATAGGGACCAAACGCGCCTTTGCTTCTTTGGAGGAAGAGAACGGTGGAGCTGCTGATAGCTACCGCTCCTATAGTAATTCGGTGGCGCGCGAGACAACTACAGCAGACTCTACGGTACTTCCCCAAAGGCGCAAGGTCAGCCCAGATGGCGCAAGTACGTAAGGATGTACCTGTCTAGTTAGTTGCGTGCTGACCAACAAACAGCCTCTAGCATTTCAAGTGCGCGATCCACCCCTCGCATCACCCCCGCTCCCTTGCCCCCAGCGAGTTCTCATCGTCGCACGTTTAGAGCAGATGCCTCAATAGTGCTACTTGGTATGCCTGGGACTGGAAAGTCCACCCTGGCCGTCATTGCCTCGATAGCATGCCGGAGGCGGGTGCTCGACGTAGAAGACATGTTTCAAGAGATAACAGGCTTCTCTACTGCCAAGTACCGCAAACAGTTTGGGGCTGCCAACTTTAATTTACGGCAAGAAGAGCTTCTGCGTGGCATTTTCGATGAATACGATCAAGGTGCAATTATTGTCTGCAATGGACTCTCGTTGGAGAGAAATGGACAGTCGTTGGTACAGGACTTTGCTCGCACGCACCCCGTAATACACGTGCAGCGTGACCTTTCCAGTCTGCACAGCTATCTGGGAGGGCCCGATCTAAAAAGACTGAAAGACATGTTGACGTTAACTGCACCCATCCTTCGGCGATGCTCTAATTACGAGTTTTATAACATTTCCGAGATCAAAGCTACCAGCGCTGACACTCCTGCTGATCAGCCAGTGGCCCCCGCATTTCTCACGCTAAAAAGAGCCCAACGAACGTTTCTTAAGTTCCTATCAATAGTTACAAATCCCGAAAACTCGGGTGGCTCAGTCGGGCTATCAATTCCAACGTTGGAACCTGGATATCCGCTATCGGACGTGGCGACGGAGCTACGCAACTACACGTGTGCCGTCCAGGTACCGCTAGAAGACATCCTAGCCGAAGATGCAGATGTACAACGTCTGGAAGTTGGATCAGATGCCTTTGAAATCATATTTGATCTTAGCCAACCACGCATCATGACCGATGCCCTGGATGAGGTTAGTGCCTGCATATCCAAGGTACGGAGAAGTACAGTAGTGCCCATTATTTATCATATACTTCCGACATTCCCCACAGACGGCCATCTGACGCTTTATCTGGAACATGCACGCCATGGATTGAGAATGGCACCCGAGTATGCGACAGTCGATTTGTCGCTAGATGTAGCGACGCTTGCAGATTTGATTGCCTCTCGAGGCACGACCAAGATCATTGGCCACCTCCATGCGGACACGCTATGGGAGGATAACTTCTGGGTTGTGCAATACGAAATGG